GCCCAACTTCTAATTTAGGAAAGTGTCGTGGCAAACCAAAAAGGAAAATGTTCTAGTCAAAACCCAGGTAAACTAATCAGCAGTTATCTCAAAACTGTAACTTATAAACACAATTAGGAATGTCTTTTTATTCTATCAAACTCAGGAAAGTTGAATTTGGTGCCTTTAGCATTTTTGCTTAAATTAACCAACTCATCGATTTGGTGCATTCAGCATTTTAACATTATTTGAGGTAACCAATTCATCGAAACGCCACGATGTTGTTAGTTTGGAAGTAACAAATGTTTGCAATGTCAAATTCCTTGTTTTCTTTTGTCAAAAATAAGAAATCACTTTCATATGTTAATAGTAAGTGTAATATTATATACCGGACCTCAATTTCCCCGAAGCTCCGTAGATACATTATACATTGCCTCCTCCTGCACTCTTTGAATTCTAAAAGAGAGCCAAATGAATGTTCCAATATCAAAACCAAATTGCATACTAGAAAAGAAACACTCCTCCGAGGCTTCTTCCTGGAAATCACCTTTTAACTTAAGTGCTTCACCAAACCCACTGCTTATTTTATTTTTTTCCTCTCGAGTTTTAGTATTCTATTAGTGTGACGGTTTTAGGGTTTGAATGCATGCATGAAACCCACAATTCAGATATGTGATCTGGCTCCACCATTCATGCACATATTTTCAAAGCAGGATTTTCAATTCGTTTATTTAATTAACTAAAAACTAAATTAAATTGTCTACTTCACGGTTTTAATTTTGTGGCGACCCTAGAATAGAAGAATTAGTTCAATGCGTTTGCGTCCAACTGATGCAAACAAAAGAAGAAAAAACAGAAAATAAATTAACCAGAAATGTTGGGATTGCTAGATTCATTGAATTTTGGAGGGATCGCAAAATAGCTTTCTTCCCCCAAGTTGTAGTGACTAGGGCCATATATATTGAATGGACAGCGACATATTGTGATTGATCAATAATTCGTTATTTATGCAGTTGGAAAAACAGAAAAAAGTGCGAGCACAATTTTTTGTAAGCATTGTAGCTTATAAGAACGCTGGATTATTCACATGTTTGGGCTGCATTTTCAACCCTTTTATGTTTAGGGTAGTTACCAAGTTCCACCTAGCAAGTCTATGCAATTGAGTTTTACATTGAGTATACCTGACTGGAGAAATATGATTACAAATATTGATAGTAATAACAACGAAATTTAAAACTGTGTATAGTGTCATCAGAGTTCAAATAGGTCGAGCGTCATAAGACCACATATTCGAGGATTCCAATGATCAACCATGCCTAAAGAACATAACAAAGATTTCTTTCGTTGTTCAATGACAGTAATGTGTTTTTTTGCCCCTCTCTTTCTATTTTGAGGTCGTAGTAAGAAATTAAATATGATTAAAATGATCATAACACTATAACAAGATATTCCCTCTGTCCCAAAATTATTGTCCAGTTTGAGATTTCACTTTTAGTATAATTTAAACTAGAAATAAAAACTCAAACTGGACAATAATTGTGAGACGGAGGGAGTGCTAATTTCTATATAAGTTCGGATTCCTAAGAAGTTTTAATGTCGTTCTATCATCGGACTCTTTAAGTTCTTATTAAAGTAAGAACTGTTCTAATGAGACCAAGAGTGAGTAAAAAATATGTCATTTGACCAAAATTAACTTAAAAAGGAGTTGAAACAAATACGACTGGCTGCTTGGGAAAGTAACAGAAAGAAACAAAAAAAAATTAAGGATGAAGTGGATAAAAATTGGGAGTGAAAGAAGCATTTTGGGGGGCGAAGGGGGCAAGTTGCAGATTGGGGCACGGGGCAGCATTAATTACTAGTACTATTTGTTGGGTTTTTCCCTTTCTTCAGGGTCAAGTCAAGGGTGACAAATTCCAAAATCAGTCTTAAGACTCGACCAAAAAAACTGATACTGATTCGGGTTCATGCCCCGTAGCCACAAGTGTTCATTGTCTCTTGACCCACCTGCTCTCTCCAGCCCCACGGCTAGCTGACGTCATCCTCTTTTGAACCTTTTCTTTAGTGCCTCTGTTTCCCTTCCCTACTCCCCGTTCCAAGTTCAAACCTGACGGTGTTTGACATTCATATTTTACAATTTTCCTCCGTCTTTAAAAATAAACATCCTATAATAAATTATTCTAAAAAGATATAAAATTCATTTCAGGATACCCAAAAACAAAAAAAAAAGAATTTAAATCTATTCCATTCACATCGTAATGGAAAATGATGATGTAAAACACAAATAATAATGTTAATTATGAGTTATGGGTTATAAGACATTTTGTAAACTGTATACCATACCATCATAAAAGAGCCAATGTTCTTACTCTTTTTTCATTGATAAAACATATCAATGTCGGATATTAATTGAAATTATGTCTTGATAAAAATAATCGACAATAAATTATCAGCAATCACTTCTAATTTGGATGTTCTGTGGGGGAGAACAAATGAATCTCACCTGGACATGCATGTGTAGATTCACTTTGACGTTAGCATTGTGCTTTATTACAAGGGTTAGGTAAATGTAATTTCTGTCTTTCTGATGATGTTTATTTACTCTGGTAAAAGACAATTTTTTGCTTCCGGATAGGCACTTCACCAAGTTGATTTGGTTTCCTTAAAAAAAAATACTCCTTTGTCCCATATTTATTGTCCACTTTGCCCAAAAAATTTTGTCCTAAAATTATTGTCCAATTTGACTTTTTATGGATCAAGTTACACATATGTCCATAGTAAAAAACATTATCTATAAAATCTTAGTGGTTAAACAATTACTTATGTAGGGGTATATCCGGTTGTTTAAGATAAAATATAATTAAGTTTGATCAAAAATAAAATCTTTTATTTTAGTAAAATTAGACAATAATTATGGGACGGGGGAGTAATAATAATAATCTCAAAATAGAAATAAATAAGGGAAAAGATTAAACAGTGACTTTAATTAGATTGTGCTTACTCCACACAAAGTGATTCAGTGGGCCCAACAGGCGTCCACAAATACAGTATCAGCCAAAAATAAATAAATAATGGTAACCAAATCTAATGAGTGGACTGCCTGCCTTTTATTTGATCACTCTAACTAATACAACGCAAATACTAAGATTAAAGCTAATAATTACAATTAGGAGTAAACATAGCAGAATAAAGTAAATTTTACGTGCGTAAGCAACTAATGACCAAGTACGATGAATCAGTGGGAAGCAGCCTAGAAACGGGACATGCGCAGGTTGAAACCGTTTTATTCAACAGTTGAATATGATTGCTTGAATGATTTACATTTTATGACTGGGGAACTAGTATTTTTTTCATAAGTATTTGTGGTTTATTTTGGCCAACGGCGCTGAAATTTTATGTTTGCATCTTTACTTTTTCTTATTTCCTGTTAAAAAAAAAAAAGTCCATTTTGAATTTTAAAATTTATATTAGTTTTAATACAAATTTGAAAACTCAATATGAATATTTTTTTGGGGACAGAGAAAGTATAAAATTTTAAATCATAGGGTGAAAATACACTTAACAGATTTTATATGATATGATTTCCATGAGCTTTGAAGGAGAGAATATTGTAAGAAAAAATGATTGTGAGTCGACAACGAACACTTTTTTTTTTTTTTAATTTTTATAAGAATAAGGGTTGAAATCTGAAATTAGTACCAGATGCATGCACAATTTTATTTTAAATATTAATTGGAGATATTAATTGATCAAAAGTGCGATTATTGGGTTAGTGTAGAGTTAAAAAATTAAAAAGTACTACTTACAGGATTGATAATTAGTACGGAATAGAAAGTAGTAATATTATGACTAGCATTTTAATCAATTCCCAGATATAATAGAAATAAGGACAAGGGAATCTATCTAGAATGATATTTATGAATATTCCTCCTCCTCCTTGTTTTTCTTTTAAATTTTTTATTAATATAACTCATGCTCATTAATACAAATCAAAATATATTTTCAGTAGGGAGGCTTGAATCGGGACTCTGTTTTTTTTACTTGGATGCCGGATTTATCACTCTAGTAATTTTATTTTTTTTTTTTACGACTACCACTTCTGTTTTTTTGGTATCTTATCCAATCAAAATGAATTGTGTTACAGTATTTTTTAATTTATTTCAAATAATTCAAGCTAATGTGTCATTTGAAATTAACTACTTCAACACAATTCGAAATTATATATATAGCTCAGTAAATCATATGAATAATTAGGTATAATCACAACAAACTATCAGTGTAGGTAGTTGAGGGGGTAAAAGTACCAATGGACTACTTTAACCATGACAAGTATTATAATTTTTATCCTGAAAATACGTCGTCACTAATTTAATATTAGCACATACATGAAAATATTGGTTGGCAAGTTTTATCTCTCAAAAGTGATCCAATCTCGATTTCTAATTAGTTGAGAAAGTGATTATTAATATTAGGAAAGTTTTAGTGAGGTTTAACCGAGAAAAGAGAGAAAATTGGGTAGTTTTGGGCTTTTCTTGCTATCGAAATGAGCAACAGTAGTATCACCTGAGACTAACCCAATAAGAGATAGTACCCAATAAAAAAAAAAAAAAATTTTAAAAGAAAAAGTCTATGACGTCATATACCCAGCCGTCGTACGTCGTCTGACTCACGTGCCAAGGGACATCCCTCTTTTTCCATGTTTTAGTGTTTTTTTTTTAATACTAATAAACAATTTCCTTTTACCGAATATAATAATAAATATATGTATATAACTTTTTGTCTTACTCATTTTGATATTCCAGGGACATCCCACTTGGCCAAGCCTATAAGATCATTATCATTCGTCAACCTCTCTACAATCGATATTCTATTTTATTACCATTATTAAATCTTCCTTTTATTTTTAACCACCAACAGTATCCAATTTATCCGTTTTCCACGAGTATATAAAGGGGTTATCAGTCTACTCAAAGTTTTGTCAAAAACAACAAATTTTTCAGTCATCATTAGCTTGAAATTCATCTCCCCCAAGAGGCACAAAGAATCCAAACAAAAGAATAAAAAAATAAAATAAAAATGGAGTCTTTCTTCCACGAATTTCACAACCCAATTCTGGATTATGCATCTGAATCGTCTTTCGATTCCCCACAATCCCATTCCTTCTCCCCATCTTCCTCATCCTGGGATGATGTTCTGTTCCAGCACGACTCTGATTTCCTTCTCCCCTTTAATTTTCATGACGCCCAAGAAATGCTTCTGCTCGATGTTCTGGCCGACGGTGGAAGTTCCGGTGGCGGTTCTTCCTCGTCTCCGAGTCCGAGAGAATCATTTGAGTCGAATTCGTTCGGCGGCGTTAAGGAGGAAGAGGTCACTTCCACCACAGAAAAGGCAGAGCCAAAGAAGGAAAAGGGCTACAGAGGAGTCCGTCGGCGGCCGTGGGGAAAATTCGCTGCTGAAATCAGGGATTCCACTAGAAACGGAATCCGGGTTTGGCTTGGAACCTTTGACAGTGCTGAAGATGCCGCCCTGGCTTATGATCAAGCTGCATTTTCAATGAGGGGTACCATGGCGGTGCTCAATTTTCCGGTGGAAGTCGTCCGGGAGTCGCTCCGGGAAATGAAATGCCGACCGGAAGAAGGGTGCTCACCGGTGTTGGCTTTAAAGAGGAGACATTCACTGAAGAAGAGATCATCGTTGAGGAAAAGCAGAATTGTAGAAGCAACGCCCAGAGCAGAGAATGTCATAGTTATGGAGGATTTGGGAACAGAGTATCTTGAAGAGTTGTTAAGTTCGACGGAAATTGCTGCCGGATATGGCCTGAGCAGATGATTTTACTTGCCGGTCAACTCAACCCCAAATGGGTTCTTCGTTGATTTTGTCCATATTTTTTTTTGTTGTTTCATTGTCACGGTACGGTTTTGCATTTTTGAAGCTGGAGTCGTCTCTTTCTTTTTCTTTTTCTTTTTCTTTTTTTGAAAGACAGTTTTAGGGGATTAGTACCCTTACTTTGAGGATATTGTGAAGACAGAGATGTAAAATGAAAATGATGTAATATATCCTACTATATTAGAAACAAAAACATCCCTTTCAAACATCTCATATGATTGCCACGCATGTAGAAAATACTAAATTGCCCTTTTGTCTAACCATAACTAAATTATTAAATCTCCCTTTGCAACAAAAACCTCCCTTTCAAACACCTCATATTATTGCCACGTGGCATGTGAAAAATACTAAATTGCCCTTTTGTTTAACCATAACTAAATTACTAAATCTCCCTTTGCACTTTACGTGACACGTTTTTTTTTTTAATTTTTTCTTTATGTTTCATTCAACTAGAGTGATTTTTTAAATTGAATTGATCGATTAGGTTTTTTGTTACAAAGTGTCGATTTTGTTTTAAGCGTATACCCTTCGGATGAAGCTTATTACAAAACTATTAAAAATCTCCAAAACTAAGTATTGATTTGGCACGACCAATGGAGAACATCAAGAAATCATCTTATTAATATTTAAATTTATTAGGATGCTTTTATATTTTATCTAACATTTACTTCAACACATATATTCGATTAAGGATATTTATATTTAATAAGTAACACTTATAAAATATTTTTAAAAAATACATGGCGAAATACAATTTATTTATTTTTTTTTTTGCGAAATACAAATATTTCTATGATCACACTTATAAAATATTTCTAAATCCTTCAAACATTTCTAAAATATATCGCTCCAAATACAAAATTTTATTTTTTTTCAAATATAAACATTTCTAAGATCTACAGATAGACTGGGCCAGGGTCGCGCATTGCGCGACCAGACATCACTAGTCTATAGTATAAAAAAAGATAAATGTCTCTTATTAAATCACAATTTTCTGTGAATATATTTTGTGATTTTGTCTTCTTATTTTTTACATTAGAAACTCGCTTTATAAACTAATTATATAGAATTATTGAAGGATACACATCAAACAATTTTTCACAGGCATTTATTCCATGAGTTGATATTACACGAGACTAAGGACTTGTTTGATAAAGTCACTTAATGCTTAAAATTATTGGATTAAGCATTTTTTTTTATTTCAGCATGTTTGATAACAAAAAATGAACCCTCTTAATGAAATAAGTGGTGCTGAAACTACAGTACAAAATATAAACAATAAAAATTAGTTTATTGCTTATTTCTTAACTGCTTAATGAATTCAGTATTTCTAATTCAGTATTAAGCATTCGGAATTAAGTATCAAACGTGCCCTAAAACTTGAGAAGTCAAGCATTGTTTAGAAATGGAGTCCTTAAATATTCAGTTAATGTTTTCTTTTCCCCTTAAGATACTAGATAAACTGTTATACTTGGGTGAAACATTTTGACCAAATCATGTTTCCAATCACATCAATAAAATCAAAAGTACATATTGTTCCTGATAAACAATCCCCAAGTTCGTTCCTTTTTTAGCGGTCTCAATTTCTAAGCTTCATCCCATAATAGGTTTATGATATCTTCAATGATCCCTCCATAATAATACAAGGTATCCTAATGTTGATTCTAAACTATTGAATATATGATTAATGTTGACCTCATAAGTAAGACAACTCTTATATTTTCAGTACAAGCACTTCACATACATCTCCATTTTATTTGGTTGAAATCGCTCTAATCAATGTTTGAATGTCCTAATCTTTAATTCGATAACAATTTTTTATCCGTACCACCTCTTTATTTTTTATTTTTTTTTTGAACCGTCGCACGCATTCCACATGAGTATGTGATCGGAAACATTCCCCATTTAGCAAATCTTTCAGTGTACTAACAATCATGAGGCAGAAGAAGCACACACTCGAGCCTCTCATTGAAATTTAACACTATTCGATTTTGGATTATAGGGTTGGTTATTATTTGTTACACTGTTCCTGCCGGTCACATTGGGTTTCAATTATAGTATCTGACTGTACAAATGGAAAAACTGTTAAGGCTGAATTAATTATTACAGGGGACAATGTATCTATGCCTCAATTATTTGACCGGGACGCTGATGACACATTGCACCCGTCATCCGGGTACGTAAGCTAAGATATTGTGACATAATCAAATATATGTAAAAACCACCATGCGAAACAGCGGAAGATACTTGTATTAAAAAGGAATGTAATAACCACACAACACCATTCCTATATTCTGGAACCACGGTTTTAGAATATTCATGTTCTAGAAGTAACCATCTGGACTCCTTCTGACTAATGTATAATAAGCACTTGTGATAATTTCATTAACTCCGTCATCTTCTTCATAAATTCTACGTATAATAACCGTATTTTCGTAGAAAAGTTTTTTATACAGCAAAAAGGTTTCTATAAACTAGTTTTGCTCATGACATCCCAAATTTGACATCACATCATAGGATATTCCCTCCACAATGTTAAACCCTTATACAGAGATTTTGACCATCTAAAACCTCTTTACCCCCATGTCAGCCATTGCGTTTTCATGGCGCACGAGCTCTCGTCACGTTTATGGTCTTTTCAATCTTTTTTTCAGGACCACATTTTTGTTATACATTCTGTACACAGAAATGGGCCGTAAATGGGTAACAGTATCCATTAAGCCTTGTACTGAATAAGGCCGAAAAAAGCGCCCATCTTCTAATGCTAGCTTTTGATGTTGAATCGTTGACTCAAAACAAGCAAAAAAAAAAAAAAGGGCACTGAAGAGTGAAGAGCAGAGCAGGTTACCATTTTCATGCCAAAAGCAAAACTGACACCAAAAAATCCATCTGTCCAGTGACCCGAATTGTACACGTACGCTTCCCCAGTACACAGGACTTCCCGTTTTACAATGCAAAAAATAGCCTGGAAATGTACTACTGCAATTCAGCTGCTGCCACAAAGCAGAACTTGTTCCCGAATCTGCCTTTATTTTCATCCCAAAACCAATACGCCAGAGATTTGCTTGCCCAAAAATGTGAAAAAAATGACCGAACTTTATCTCCTCTGTCGGACTTCGATGCCACATTGAATTGATTTTCGCCCTTTCCTGGATGTTTCTCAAAACCCTCATCCTTTTTCCTTCACTAGTCTTATATTCATCTTCATTTTCTTCATCAGTCAAAGTCCCTTAAGTAAGAAATTTTCTTTTCTATCCACAAATGGGGAAGAAGGGTTTAATCCCTGCATATTCACCAATACAGCTTCAACCCAACAGAGAATTATCATCCAGAGTTGCTTCCACTTGTTTGATTGGGAAGATTATCCGGGACTATCCCCTTCACGGACCAGAAGTGAAAAGTTTTGCTGAGCAATTGTGGAAATGCAAGAAAGATTTCTCTGTTTTCGAAATCAAACAGAAACAGAACACTTTCGTGTTCTGCTTCCAAGAAAGACAAGACTGGATCAATGTTCTCCTGGATTCTCCTTGGAACATTAAAGGGGGTCTTTTAATCCTGTCGATTTGGTCACCTGGTAAAATCCCAGATGAGCTGGACTTGTCATCCTCCCCGTTCTGGGTTCAGATCCACGGCCTTCCCGTCGATTACCTGACTGAAGAAACTGCGCTTAAGATCGGTAAAATTCTGGGCAAGTTCATCTGTTTGGATAGCACTGGATTTGATGACGGAAAGTTCTCGTGGAAGAATTTTCTTAGGATTCGGGTTATCATAGACACTAGACGCCCTCTGCTTACCGGACACTGGATCAGTCGGACTGGCCTGAAAGACATTTGGGTTGATTACAGGTATGAAAAGCTGGGACTCTTTTGTTACAAATGTGGCCGTATTGGGAATCGTTACATGAATTGCAAGTTTCCTGAGGGAAAGGCCAAATTTGGTCCCTGGTTATCAGTCCCTCCATGTTCTGATGCTACCGCCGCACTTCGTTCTTTCGCCGCCGGTCGTTCCTCTGGGGACGGTGGAAGAGAGGTGGGGGAAAAAGCAAATTCTGGCACCACCTTGAGTTCTGTGCCCCCAGAACAAACCCGAAAAGAGGTACATTTTTCCTAGTCTTATATAGTTCTAATCCTTTTTCAAGTTTCTGTCATTTTTCTGTGCAAAACCTGAACAATGATGAGGGTAAAGTTTGAATCTTTTGGCTGAATTAAGTGCATAAAAGTCTCATGGTTACTTTGTTCTTTGCCTGATTTCATGAAATGATCAACAGATCATCTATCAGGAGGAGGAAGACATTGCGCTGAAGGAATACTTGCCCCACCAAATATATCATGCTGCTGACAAAGTTTCAAGAAGGCATATGAACATTTCTCTAATGTGGTTTAAATCAATCTTGAAGTCAGATATTCATTTAAACATTGCATACTCCTATGGCTTTACTCGTTATTAAGTTTCCCTCAAACTGCCGCTTTGTCTTTGGCCTGTTTGTTTGTGACCCAAAACTCATTAGTCAGTAACAGTTACTACTTCTCAGAGCATCATTGGATTAGAAACCAAAGTTAGAATTTAGAAATCAATTGTATTCCAAATGATAACCAAGTCTTGCAAATTGGCTAATCCGTTTAGAGTTAAACTCATTACTTACGCATTACTTGTGCTTATGATTGCCAATTCTGTGCAGGATCACTAAGCAAAGGTTGATCACCAACACTATCGACTCAATGGCCATGATGGTGAACTGTTGGATAAGCTATAGCCGGGTTGTTGCTGCAAAAGCCAATGATATCATCAGCTGGTGGTTCGTGTTGGTGATGGTTGCTTATTTTCTGTATATGGTGTCGAAGCTGATTGGAGTAATTCAGACATCATGGTTGCTCAAAGCATACAAAGGTAAAGCATCCTCACAAGAGCTAGAGCAGGATGATCATCGAAAGGCTATCAAGGATATCATGACTCTGGTCTCCTTTTTCGTGCTGCTGAAATTCCTCTGAAGATTATCAACAGATTTAACCCTTTTGAGTTATTGGTTTTCAAGTCCAAAAAAAAACCTCAAGTAGTAATAGTAATTTTGGTAGCTATCTAGGATTCCTAGCTGCTACATTTTGTTATTTACTTTTGACCACAACATATCTAGTATCTAACTTAGAGAACTGGAGCATTTTGGTTCGGCAATTTCGTTGGCGTTTCGCCCTTTTGCCGTTTGGAAGACAACTATGGTGCCTGTTTGGCTGTTCATATGCATTGTTTGAGGTCTATCAGAAATGTAATGAATTTTCTGAGTGATGCTGCTATATGAAGGATGAAATTAAACTGGAATTTCGAAATTGTTTTTTTGGGCTTTGGGCTCTTGTACTCTTTTCTCTTCTGCCCTTGGGCCCAAATGCAATGCCTGGATATATGATGAAAAGGCAAATTATGAAAAGACCCAAATTTCCTTTATTCAATTTATTTATCTTTTCTCTTCTGATTTTCAGTTTAATCGTTTTGTCTTCTTTCACATTCTTAGTTTTTTTTTTTTTGCTTTCTTGTTGTTGCTTCACCCTTGAATTGTTAGGATAATTCAAATGAGTGCTTTAGAATGTGTTAAATTATACTCCCTCCGGTCCTTAATATAAGGCATTTTGATTTGTCCTAGGTTTAATCTAGTACGTAATTTTAATTGACAAAAAAACCTTCAAAATATTTCATAATAATGAAGAGAATACGAAGAACGTAAAAATATATTTTTAAGGTTTTTTCGTCAATTAAAAATGCGTACTAGATTAAATCTAAGATAAAATAAAAATGTCTAATATTAAGGACTGAAGGGAGTAAACCTTCATTCCGCAACAAGGTTCATGCTATGTACCCAGTAGGGTAATAAAAATGACTTTCTGATTTGTAACTCGTCTTGAAATGATGACGGATCCTAGTGAAATTCTTGATGTCTATTAAGTATGTGAATCCAAGGTTTTCTGACTTTCTCCAAGGCTTACCGTGGTGGTGATTCTCCACGTATCTTGTCTTTTTTTTTTTTTCATTTTTTTTTATCTTTTCCCTTCTCTTTAGTCTCTTGTGTGCTTAGATGATGATCATACAATTTTTAATTAGAGTTCCTCAATCGTGACAGTGATATCCTCACCACCCGTATTGTGAATGGACACAAGTCCAAAAACTGGGCCGCTGAAATTTATCCGAAAAGAATATGAACTAACGACTCTCTTAAGTTTAATACTCCTTCCGGTCCTTAATATAAGACATTTTAATTTGTCTTAAATTTAACATAATATTTATTTTTAATTGACAAAAAAATTTTAAAAATATTTCATAACAATCAAGAAAATACAACGAATGCGAAAATATATTTTTAAATTTTTTTCGTCAATTAAAAATGCGTACTAAGTTAAACCTATGACAAAATCAAAATGTTTTATATTAAGCAACGGAGCGAATACACTAATAGTAACTTTGTTCAAACTATTCCAGTAACTTTACTGATTTGACAAGAAGAAACTCTTAACGAAACTCCCCCATTGAGGAAATTAGTAACAACCCCCTTTTTGAAAGTTCTGAAAAAAAAAATAATTTTACCTTTGATTTTAAGCATAACTAAGCTTTCTAACATGGCCAACTACTTGCTTTTAATTGTTAAGGTTAAGGACTTCTAACTAACGGCGATAAAGAACCCTTGAAAGAAAAAATCAAAGGAAGCTCCAACTTGAATCCATGGCCATTGATATTGGATCATTCGAAATGCCTGCACGTGGGTAGTACAAATTTCGTTTATGGTGGGACGATTGGGGAAGACACAATTAGGTTTGCTTAATTCTTGTTTTTTCCCCCCCCCAAAAATTGTTAACAGTGGCTGGCTAGAGACTTAGGTTGATTAATTATGACCACCTTCGACCCAATCCCACTAATTTATATACTACAACATCCTTGTAAGCTGATACATGAAATTTTCAGATCAAAAAAATCTAACCAAATAATTGTATTGAATCCTATTTTTAGTTTGCAACCAAAGGTTAGAACACATAAGTAGCGAATCCTATTTGTAGTCATTTGTAATGAAATATGTGATACTAGCAATGTTAGGTAAAAATTGGTGTTTAATTCTGAATGGTTAATAATGAATTAAAAATATTGAATTCATCAAACAATTAAGGAATAAGTAATAAATTAACTTTTATTGTTTATATTTTGTACTGCAGTTTCAGTACCACTTAAATCATTAAGAGATTCATTTTTTTTTTTTTGTATCAAGCATGTTGAAATGAAAAAATGTTTAATTTTATAATTTTAAGCATTAAGTGGCTTTATTAAACAACTCCTTAGGCAATTCGAAGATTTTTTAAATTATTATATATACATATTTGTTTTGCAAATGCTAATTTCGTTTAAAATACAATGAAATCTATTATTAAGCGATAGAAAACAAAACGGAATGCTTAAAAAGCGATACAAAACAAAACAGAATGGTTAAACCAATCAGATTAAAGTGACTTCTGAAGAATGATAAGCCACTAGAATATGTCTTCTCCCCGACTCTAGAGGCTGCCGGATTTTTATATTTGGTGCATATAATTACAATCATCACTTTCTAAGGTCAATAGATGGTCACTAGTTCACTAAGTTAGGCACATAACGTGACATGTTCTTCGCAAATTAGAATATCTGATGATTTTGGCAGGTTTGAAAAAAATTATCCTTTTTTCAAAGGAATTAGTGGAGCCAGATGAATGTGACCGTCAATTTCATGACCGTAAGTCAATTAATCTTCATAATAAAAAGGTCCACTCGGCAATTACATGTTGTTCGAATGTTTTTTTTTTGTTGTCTGTAATTCCTCTGTATCATTATATAGTAGCCGTCCCTACAAAGTGACATACAATTCATTGTATAACCAAACGTTATAATGACATTGATTCTAATAAGTTTGTTTCGTTTTTTCTTTGTTTTTAGGTATTTTTTGTATTAAAAATATAAAAAGATATATTAAAAATATAAAAGGGTATATTGGAATGATATAATTATTAATTAATAATTCTGGAAATACTATCAAAAGAAATGAAACAAACAAAGTCTAGATATTTGATATTACCTCTGTTTTTTAAACAAAGTTCACGTTAAATTTTTAGATTTTTAAAAAATTAATGTGAATTATTTTTCTAGAATGGAAGTTTTTTCTACTCCTGTCTTATTTTCACCATTGAGTTTGTTCAACTCTAATAATACGAGAGTACACATTGTAATGGTGGCTCAAACTTCCTTGAGAAAACAATTTGCCCTAAAGGTTTCATTGCCAGTTGATGTGAATTGAGTTGACCACCCCAGAAGCATTTGTAATTTTGTAGTGGAAGGTTGCATCGTCGAAACTCAGAAGAGAAAGTCATCAAATTACAGCCGGTATTAATGAGTCAAAAGACAACATTATGAGATCCCCCCATTTACAACCTACCAACATTTTTTCAGGTATAAAAAGAAACCCACAAAAATAAAAAATGCTCGAAATAGTTACACAAATACATTACGAGGATAAATATAATAATAACGTCACAACAAAATAAATTTGGGAAACCTACGAGTACGATGGATCACATTAAAAGTATTAAAACCTGATGATAGCGATGGAGCTGGAGCTTGCTTGATAACTACGTATGTACAGTGCATATACGTATTATTAGGTTCAATTCAGAGTTTTTTAAGGATATGGAAAATAATCTTGCAATTTTTGGAATTTTTATTTCTATTTTTTTTTTTTTAAACCTGTCGCCCTTGCAGTCGAAATTCAAATGAGCCCAATGAATCTGCAAAAATAATTTTTCCGAGTCCTCAAAATGATTGATTTATCATTTATATACGGTAATAAATCTGTAACTTTTAAACCGAGCCAGTGTTATCAGCTTTTACTTATCTTATTAAATTCAAATGATTTCCCAAACCCAACTTTCATCACTGTAAACATACAGTATAACAAAAATTTGAATATCATCACTCATCAGTAATGTCACGGAATTTAATTAATATTGGTTATAATGTAGTAAAAAAAAACACTCTTTAATTAATTACTCTTTCTGTCTCATTTGTAATAGTTCACTTTATCAGAATTAAAATAAGACAACAAAATTGGAGTATTAAAATGGGACGAAACAAAATTCCAGGTGCATTGTATTATAAAATTCTAATGGGGGAAGAAATAAAGAGGAGATCAATGACACATATCAGCTACGTACATCTGTAAAAATTCCTTCTTCTTTTTATTTTTTATTTTTTTGAAAATTGAATTAAAATGGATGATGCTAATTAAAGTTAACCAGCGCATAAAGGGGTACACAGCTACAGTATATGCTGTTACATCTTTCCGATATTCTAGTTTTTGTGTATTTACAATTTTTTTTTTCCCCTGAAAGAGGAGAAAGAAAGAAGAGAGAGAGAGAGAGAGAAAAAGTCGTATAAATTACCACTAATTTCTCAAAATAATCGAAAATGTAGGAATAAATGTAGCAATTAGTACTCTCTCATGTCCTTATTATAAAGCATTTTAATTTTGTCTTATGTTTCACTTAATATGCGTTTTTAATTAGAAAAAAAATTCTTAAAAATATATTTTCACATTCGTCGTATTCTCCTAATTATTAAGAAATATTGTTAAGGTTTTTATTTCAATTAAAAAGATATTATATGTTAAATTTCGGACAAATTTAAGACAAATCAAAATGTATTATAATAAAGATTGGAGGGAGTATTACAGTACTACTAATTTCGGAATTAGGAACCAAAGTAGTATTTCAAATGGAAAATATAATATCTTTTTCTCAAGGAAGTTTGACTCAGGTTGTAATAACAGAATACGAGGTGGACTTGGATGGTCCCACCTAAACTCGTGTTTACACACGAAAATAGCGGTCAACCTTCTGAATTGACGCAAGTGCATAATTTATTTTCAAATTTTGTAACTACAACAGTCCAAAATCCAGAACAAATAATCACGTTGTTAAATAAACAATAAAAACAATAGATGCATTACTACGGAAAACAAAATTAATAATAGAACTTCTTGGTACACAAAATATATGAAAATTAAACACGTTCAGATTATTATATACTTATAATACGCTCAAGTTTGTGGTATTTCTGCCTCTTTTGAATGATTAAAGGTGTATGAGTAAAGCTGGTATAAGGAGAAATGGAGAACAAAATAATTAAATTAAATGTGGCATTAAAACTTCATATCATGATAAGTACAAATCGGTGAGTTAATTGAAAAATAAAATAAAAATAGTAGTAATACTAGGGAACAAGCACACGTGTGGAGGAATACAGGGTGGCAGAAACGTCGACGTTTCAAAGGAAAAGTCACGGGGGCAGGAAAATTTGACTGGCGTACCAGAGGGAAGCGCTAAAAAGGAGAGGAATATACCGGTGAAGATCCCCCAAGTAGTATTGAAGAATTACAGTGCAGTTTTTGTTGTTGGGTAATATAAATACGGCGTTACAAACCCATCTCAATTTCCTTCATCCCCAACCATAATCCTCTTCCCCCCTTTCAATTCGAAATTTGGTAAAGGATCATACCCTTAATTCTGTTGCTCTAGAGTCTCCCAACACATTTATACTTCTCTTTCTTTTTCTCTCTCCCAGATTTTTGGATTTCAAGAAAGAATTAAGGTCAGCCTCAAACCCGTGTTACCGTTTTTTTTTGTTTGTTTGTTTGTTTGTTTGTTTGTTACTGACAAAAAAAGGGTAGATTTGTTGGCATTCTTTGATTTATGATTCTTTTGGGCTTGCATGCATGATCTTTTTTGTTTTGTTCTGTTCTGTTCTGTTCTGTTCTGGGTTGTTGCCATTGCATGCAAGAAAGAGACGATTTTTAATTTTGTTGTTACATCTGTTTACAGTACCGTGGAATCGCCACCGTTGATTCTTATTCAAAGATCACTCAGTCTCAGTCGATCACTCCTCAAATCGTATTGGGATTTATCCATTTACTGCGCCTTTCAGAGATCGTTAAGATCTCTCTTCTCCTTGCTTGGTAATTCCGACCAACCTTTTTGTATATGTATTTTAGATTCTGAGGAGGAAATATGATTATGGTTTATTCCAATATTTGCTTTGTGTGATGTTTATGGATCTACTGTTTTTGTTCTATTGATTTTTTCTTCTTTTTTTTTTGGACGTGAAATATGAGTGTCCTTGGAATCGATAGAATTCCATTTTAGTCTCTGCTGTGACGTTCTGTTTTGTTTGATTTGTTCTTATCATGAATGATGACTCTTGAGGAGTCTTAATTCCATGTATCAGTGGCGATGTTTTAATCTCTTTTAGATTCTGTTGATCCTGATTCATTGAACACAAAAACAAAGATTTTTGGCCCTATTAATTGCGCATACCTAGTTGTTGTTCTTCTTTCGTTGGTTTGTGTTTCTGCTTCCTTCTTTACACTAATTTGCATGACCAACAGTAGTGTTTAAATTGATTGTTTGGGTGATTTCTTTTAGCTGTGGTTTATCATCAGTTGGATTTGTGTTGGTCTGATGTTTACTGAGCCTAATTGGTGGTTTGCTTGACAGAGAGAAGAAGAGCAGAGGACAATAAGCTATGTCAGGGGATAACCTTAAAGTGCTTAACGCGCTTGATTCAGCAAAGACACAATGGTACCATTTCACGGCGATCATCATCGCCGGAATGGGATTCTTCACTGATGCCTACGATCTCTTCTGCATATCTCTTGTCACCAAAATGCTTGGTCGCATCTACTACCACCATGAGGGCGCCACCAAGCCGGGCAGTTTGCCTCCTAACGTCTCTGCTGCTGTTAATGGTGTAGCACTCTGTGGAACACTTGCCGGCCAACTCTTCTTTGGTTGGCTTGGGGACAAGTTGGGGAGGAAGAAAGTTTATGGCATAACCCTCATGCTCATGTGCGTTTGTTCCCTTGCTTCGGGCCTTTCTTTCGGCCATGAACCCAAGACTGTTATGGCCACTCTTTGCTTTTTCCGGTTTTGGCTTGGATTTGGCATCGGTGGTGACTATCCTCTTTCCGCCACCATCATGTCTGAATATGCTAACAAGAAAACCCGTGGTGCTTTCATTGCTGCAGTCTTTGCCATGCAGGGATTTGGAATCTTGGGAGGAGGTATTTTCGCCATGATTGTTTCCTCAGCTTTTAGTGCGAAACTCAATTCCCCGTCTTATGAGGTGGATCCCATTGCTTCAACTCCTCCAGAAGCTGATTATGTCTGGAGGATCATCCTGATGGCTGGTGCACTTCCTGCCATACTCACTTACTATCAAAGGATGAAGATGCCTGAAACTGCTCGTTACACTGCTCTCGTTGCGAAAGATTTGAAGCAGGCTAACGCGGATATGTCCAAGGTCTTGAATGTTGACATCGAGGCTGATCAAGCCAAGGTTGTGGAGAAGAGGATTGAGGAGAATCCCAGCAATTCTTTTGGTTTGTTCTCGCAACAATTCCTCAAGCGCCACGGCCTTCATTTGCTTGGCACAACAAGCACATGGTTCTTGCTTGATATTGCATTCTACAGCCAGAATCTATTCCAGAAGGACATTTTCAGTGCAGTTGGATGGATTCCTGCCGCAAAGACAATGAGCGCAATTCAGGAGGTGTTTACCATTGCCAAGGCACAAACTCTTATTGCTCTATGCAGTACCGTACCTGGATATTGGTTCACAGTGGCTTTGATTGACAGAATTGGAAGATTTGCCATCCAACTTTTGGGCTTTGCCATGATGACCGGGTTTATGTTTGGTTTAGCATTCCCATACAACCACTGGACTAAACCAGGAAACCACATTCCCTTTGTGGTGATGTACTCTTTCACCTTCTTCTTCGCCAACTTCGGACCTAATGCCACCACTTTCGTCGTCCCGGCAGAGATCTTCCCTGCTCGGTTGAGATCTACTTGCCACGGTATCTCAGCTGCTTCAGGAAAGTTGGGCGCAATCGTTGGCGCTTTTGGATTCCTGTATTTGGCACAGTCCCAAGATAAAACCAAAACTGATGCAGGCTACCCACCAGGTATTGGAGTCAAGAATTCGCTAATTGTGTTAGGTGTGATCAACTTCTTGGGATTGCTGTTCACTTTCCTTGTGCCCGAATCAAATGGAAAATCACTTGAGGAAATGACGGGCGAAAACGAAGACTTCAAAGAGGGAGAAGAAATGGCAACTCAAAACAATAGGTCGCCTCTTCCTGTTGTTTAAGTGTGTTTTGTCGCCTTGGTTTAGATTCTTTTAACTGTTGTTCTGACGAGGAAGTTTTAGTTAATCGCTTTAAATTTCGGTCTCTTTCAACTTCATCTCCTGTTATGAGCTTTTCTTGTAGTACTTGAGATATTGTAGCCATATGGCAAAGGGAAATTTGTAATGGCCTCTTCTTCAATTGAATAACACTAGCAGTTTTCTAACTATCTGTGTCGATTATGATACGCAATCTTTATATTATGGAGCCCATCATTGCGGATTTTGACACAATATTATGACAACATTATAGAACAAGGTTTAATTTTCCATTATCGTCTGGTTTTCCATTATTGCGGAGGAAAATGGTAACGAGACAACATAACTCCATGTTGTGAGCCATCAGAAAAAGAGACCATCATAGAAAATACACAACATAATACAGTTACAGTCAGAGTAAAGCTACAGATAAGCATTTCCAGGCTTACATTATTTTTCTCTGTCTTTTCAGTGCCCAGAATCCCAGAAATGAAGCTATGGATTAAAGATTGAATCAGCCAACATGGATGAACTCTGAATGCCTTCTGCTTTCTTACTTTTGAACCTGGAAAGAACTCCTTTTCAACTGCAGGAAGTTCAGTTTGCACGGTCCCTGATCACTTCTAGATCCATTTCTGAAGGTTCAGTAGCCTGAATCTCATAATGAATCCCATCCAACTCTCTCTTAAACCTTTCTTTAGAAGTTGCATAAAGCATCTTGGCACGAATCCGAGAGACTGCAGGGGACCTGGTAAGCATAGCATACACATATATATACATATATCCCAGATCAAAACTGATGCCAAACTTCAAAGGTGAAATCGGATTTGCAATTTTCAGTAGAGACTTAAATGGTTAAGAAGGTGCAGAGAATCACCATGCAATGAAGAAGATCTTGCTCTTTTGACAATTCTCAGAGGTGACGAAATCAAAGTCATAGACAGCATAACGGCAATCATTTTCCGGCAAGGAAGCCGTGAAATCCTCGTAGCTCTCAGCAGGATTCCCTGTTTTCTCCACAACTATTTCCTTCTTCTTCTCATCAATCTTGAAAACCACATAACGATAGCTCTTCTTCCTTTTCAGCTCCAAGAATGCATCTTTGCTGTGATCAGCAACTCCCATCCCAGAAGTAGCATTTTGCTGAAAACCAAACCCAAAAAATAAAATAAAATAAATACATGAATCATGCAAATTACAGCTAAAAAGAAATCTGAAAAATCCCTTCAACAGGAGGAAAATAAAAACATACTCCTCTGATTCTGAAGGACATGGCTGGAAGATACGAGGAAAAGATCAGGAAGAAATTAAGTGGGTATTCCCAGAAGCTGAAACGAGATTTGTAGGACTATGATGGAGATTAAATATGCCTGAAGTTGGCGTGTGGGGATGTAATCTGTAATGGATTGGAGGAGTGGTTCTCGAGGTTTTGACGGAAAGAAGAGAAAGACAAATGCAGGGGTTGAAGTAAAAGAAACCGAGGAAATGGAAAAGGCATATGTGCCCAACTGAAGAAAGCAACTAAATAAAAAAAATAAAAATAGTTCCTTGTTTTATTTCGCCTTCGTCTAATCTGAACTTGGCAGAAGAAATGGCAGATTCGCAAATTGACCAACATCCCATTGGCTAAATTAGATTTTAACAGGTAGTCACCCGTGCTCCTCATGATAGTAATTAGAACAAATTACGAATCACCTTCATATGAATATTCCATTTGAATTAATCCTTTATCGATTCCAAAATACATAGAAGTCCTTTTTTTTTTTGAGACGGAAAGAGTACCAGTTACATACAAGTTATAGTTTGACGTGTCAAGTTTGGAATGAAATAGATAATGTTAGTTTAAGAGTAAAGGGTTTGCATTCTTTTGACCTTTGCAGCATTGGTTTGACAAGTAAATTCCAGAAGAAGACTCGATGATCCGTAGCGGAGAAAAGATTACTGAACGTTGGCTCTCAGCTGCTTTCGGCAATATAGGTAACGTTGCTAAAGGAGATGTATCACAAAAGAGACAAGAAAAAGATGGAGACGATAATGGGAAACTTTTTGAAGCAGAATCTTAATGGACCACCCACGCTGTGCGTCAAAACTACGCTGCTTCCTCCACCTTTTCTTTTGCCTCGTGCCTTTCAAGCTTTACCTCAGCAAATTCCAACAGGACGCCATGATGTTCCTTCCATGATTCCATCCCAAAATGATTATTTTGTTTGTTGTATTATTTTTATACAACTAACAGGACTATCATTTTGGTACATGGTACCCCTAAATACTGCTTAACTCCTGAACAAGCCACTTCTTTGGTATATGGTACATGGAATCGTGGCTTGAAGCCATTGACATCTTTGCTACAAAAACTTGAAGTAAATGATACTGTATAAAGGATAATGGACACTATCAAAAATTTCTCAGAAAGAAGACAACTGAAAATGCCGCTCTTTGTATGATTCAGATAATTGATAAAATGTCATTCCTCCCATGACAAGGCAAGATGACCTCCCACCCTAATAAATCTCTCTTTTTAAATGTAAGTCATGAGGTATATCTATATATGTACAAACAAGGCTAGTCTACTTTAACCTCGGACTGCCGAGACTGCTTCCTTTTCATCTCGGTTAGAAAGGAATGGGAAAAAGGTGTAACATCGAGCAAAATCAACCAATTTACAGTCACCATTAGCCGGAGATTAACATGCTACATTAAATCAGCATCCTCTTCATAGTCATAATCCGGTTCACTAGATTGCCTGATTCTCTTTGCATCTCTATAACCCCCTCTTCCCCTCTTTGGCTTGCCCCTACAAAGGTACCATAATGTACCCAAATCAGTTTCCAACTTGGCGAAGGTTTTCGTTGCGCAGACATAATACAACTCTACTTAAGCAAACAGGGGGAAAAAATGAAGTACTCACTGGCCATTTGAGTATATTCCCCCAACTTCTCGTCCAGCAGCTTGTTCTTCAGCCTGTGAAACAGATCAGAAGCTTGTGAGACTCATTAGAGTTTTGTTGTGAAGAAGGAAATTTGATCACGCATGCCCCATAATATGGCCGAAACAAACTATTTTGTTATCTTAGTGAGAATTAAACAGATACTGTCTAAATAATATTCTTAATGAGGAAAAATTTACACTAATCCTCGTAGCCAGAGCCTTCGGCGCATTTGAAAGATTTGTGGTAGAACATATAACAAACGCAGGCCCTAGACAACACTCCAACTAGATTTCTCTGAGGTAAGGATAGAACATTATATTGATCTAAATCTGCATAAAGTAGATTTGGCAGATATTCAAAACATCACATGTAACCAGGTACCAATAATCTTTCTCCCTAAATTCTCCTGACGGATAAATTACATGTATCATTTTTAAGCAAAGCTTGCTTTTGAGATTGAACATTATGTTCACTAACAAAGAGTTAAAGCTTGAATAGTGCAAGAAAAGTGACACAGCCAGAATAATTTATAGCATAAAAATTGACAAAGATATATCAGTGCAAGGGTGATATGGCTACATACAGCTGGGGAGGTAGTAGATGATAAGGAAAACATTCTATCTTCAGGCTGAAATTTCCTGGATCGCTTAAGGCTGCAATGCAGTAGAGAAAATTATTAGCTATATGGAAGAAATTAGAAATGGATGCAAAATCAAGCAATCAGCCTAAAAGCACGGTTGTGGAGTGGATGCTCTAACAGCTGTATCCTCCCCTGGAACTAATCAGTTGTCTTTCAAGAAGCATTTCAGTAAATGATTGAACACCAATGGAAACGAACTCCAAAACCTTTATATTACTGAACTAACTTCTCTATACAAGAGGGTTTCTGGTTTTTAAAAAGAATTATGATCCACAAACACATTTCAAGATTAAACCATCCAAGATTTCCAACAATATGATCACCAGACAACCAATGATTCTGATCAGCATGTTATCAAATTTTAAAATACACACAGTTTCCTTCATCTTAACTGCATTGAAGGAATTGAACTCAAGATTTACATCGTTTTCATGAGCAGATTCAGTAACTGTACAGAGTCAAAGAACCTTACAGGGTAGTGTTCTTATTGGTAAGAAACCCATCAAAACCCTTCAACACGTTGCCACACTGACTTGGATCCTGCAAATAACTGGTCTCCATATCGTAAACCTAAATACATTGGAGATTAGAGTCCATCAATTATTCAATGGTATCAGTGAAAAATCAAAAGAGGAAAAATGAAGGAAGAAGCAAAAACCTGCTTCTCGATGTTACGGAGCTCTTCATGAAGATTGGCTCTTTTGTATAACAGAGAAGCCAGCACTGCCGATGGAGTTGAAGGTGTTCGTTGCCCTAACAAACAACAACAATAACAAGGGAGACTGAGATCAAAAAGTTTGAACCAAAAAAAAAAAAAAGCAGTGTGAAGCAGCACACTATATATCACGCACAAACTAACAGATCATCATCAAAAACACAAAATCTGATCGAAGAGAAAGGCGGATTAAATCCAAAGGTTACCTTCGGATTCCATATTAACAAAAATCCTAGCGCCTATTTCCAATTTTTTGAATATAAGATCAATTTCATCGACGACTATATTTTTAATTCGATCGGAAGGAGGGAAGCCCGTTCCCTCAGTTCGTCGGAATCTTCCTCCTTGCTCGCCGCTGACTTTTGACGAAGCTGTTTCCGGTAAGTCGCGAGGAATGCCTCCGGTAATGGGATCGCTTTGGCCCCAAATCAAAAGAAGAAGGGTTTTTTCGATTCTGTTCCTCGAGAACTCAGAAAGTCCAGGTATGATGATGACTAGAAGGCGTGGTTTTCGTTACCTTTACTTGGAGAAGGTTTTAATTTTTGAATCAAGACGCTTTAGTTTAGCCGCTCTTTCACGCCGTGAGCCCAAAAGCGTGATTTGGAGCTGCTGTGAGCCTGTGATGCCTTGCCCGGGTGATGTTCAGAGACTACACGCACGTAACTCGCGTGCCACGAGTTCACTTACATTGTTCACCATGGTCCTTCAACTTTAAATTTGATTCGTTTTCTCTTTTGCATTTTCATAAATTGTTGATTTTGCTTTTAAACATCAGTTATTAAAATTAGTCTATGATGAGAATTTGTCAATACTACTAGTAAAGATTGTTTTTTTCTTTCAAAATAATAATATAATAATACTTTCTTTGTCCAAAATGATTGTCTGGTTTGAATTTTTATTTTTAGTATTATAATTTATACTAAAATTAAAATCCCAAGATAGACATTATATCGGGACAGAGGGAGTAATAAAAATTACTCCTAAAACACATGGATACATGTAATTGTCAGTATGTAGGTTCAGAATCACTTCTATTTTTTCTTCATATATGGAATAGGCAGAATTTTGATCAAATTATTCACAATTAGTATATCTAATTTAGTGGTAGAGTTAGAGGGATGAGCAGTTACGTCGCCTAATCAAATTTTTGTAATAAAGGATGGTTTGAAATTCTAGTGTTGATTAAAAAAATTTTTGTGGGTATTTTTTTTTGCCCCTACTAACTAAATTTTTAGTTATTTCGCCATTGTACTTACAAAATTCTATTTCTGCCACTAAATTTTTATTAAAAAAAGAGTCAAAACTAAAATTTTGAACTCGTACCTTATATAAAACAAGATTTTTTAAGTTAATTTTATTTTAGATTTTGTGATAAGTAATAAGTTTGAACTATTTTCAGAACTAAATTAAAACTGACAATTTTTAAGGAAATGGCCAACAGTGAATCTAATCTTGAATAAGAGGGATGAATACGGCAATTTGTAGAAATCAATACCGCCAATTGTGATGCCTTTTTTCAGTTGCCATTTGCGGCTTGACTGGGCAGGCCCGAAGGATAACCCAACCCGAACCCGCGATTCTGCCGGCGAAGGAAGAAGAACATTGAGCATTCTCTCCAATGAATTTTTTGGTTAGCGTTTCACTCTTTCCATTTTTCCTTCTTCGAAATACTTTCACAAAGCTGTTCACTCTTTCAAAACTGCTATGCTTCTTTTGTTGAACAACCTGTATTTGTAGGAGAAGATAAAGATGAAAAAGAACGAACCGGAAAAACCTCGGCCGGCGCCGGTGCCGGTGAGCTGGATTGAGACTTCGGAATCCTTGTCTCATCATTACCAGTTCGAACCAGATGGTCAACTCACCGTAAGTCTCCTTCCATTCTTGTCCTTCTTTCACTTTTACTGTTTCATTTTTCAATTTTTTTTTTTTTTTTTGCTTTTTCCCGGGTAGCTTTCAATCTATTTTTAATTAATAACAGTTGTTTGCATATGTTTCATGTCGTGAAATCCAAAATTCGGCCGACCTGCTTAATGTATTTGTTTTAGTTATTTCTTTAGTTGCTGTTCCGAGTAATTGGTTTGGATTAGCATTTTTGGACACCTGAATGTAATCGGCTATGAAACTAGCACTGTACTTATAGAGTGATATCAATTCTAGACGAACGCAATTCAGGACATTGTTCCTTCCTGTGACCTAGAGCTAGAGGTTACCAACTTTGTTTTGAAAAAAGTTCTTCCTTTTTGTGTCTTCTGGCATGTGATTTTTTGGTTTAACTGCCTTGGGGATTTGTGCTCAAGCTGCCATTGATGCGAAAGTTTGCTTTGATTGAACAAATATCACATAGACCAAATAAACCTATCATTAGAGTGATCGTGGAGCTTAATTTATAATTCAATGAGCTTATTTTTCTTCTCTATTATCTGTTAATTTCTTCCTATGGATCAAACTGGAAATTCTTTATCCCTTTATGCAGGTGAAGATAGTAAATGATACTAGACCCGCTGCCCAAAGAGTGGCTGAATCCTTTCTGAATAAATTTTTCCCTTCAGGCTACCCTTATAGGTCAGTGAAATTCTGGTGGCATTTTTCATCTAACATATCTGCTCACTCTTTGTGACTTATTCCAGTTTTGACAAATTCATATTCCTTTTGCAGCGTGAATGAAGGATATCTCAGATACACACAATTCCGAGCTCTTCAACACTTTACCAGTGCCACATTGTCTGTGCTATCAACTCAGGTCTTTTTCGAAATCTCAAACTTTAGCACTATCCTATATGTTAATACGATGATCACTAAAGCCGTATGTATTCCACAGCAAATTTCTGTCTGTACAACTCGTGCATTGCATCCAGAAGATATATTTATCCCACACTCAATTTTTACTGTGCAAGTCTGTTTTAGGTTATGAAATCTAGTCGTATATCTTTGGTTTTGGTAGGAAATACTTTAAATGCTGTCCCAACTGCAGGTTTATATCTCAATAATCTTGCTCCTTGCAGTCACTTCTATTTGCTGCAGGATTACGACCCACCCCTGCTCAGGCAACTGCTGTCAGTTGGGTAAGATAATGTTTTATTGCTGCCCCTCTTGAGTTATGAAATCTTTTGTAACACATCATATAGGTTTGCTGGTTTTGGTTTGGTTTGAATTCTCTTAGCTTATTGCAATCGTGTCCAGATTTTGAAAGATGGTATGCAACACATGGGAAAACTCATATGTAGTAATCTCGGTGCAAGGATGGACTCAGAACCTAAACGATGGAGAATCCTGGGTCTGTTTCTTTTTTCTTTTGATATGAAATAAATCTGGAGTTATTGTTTCTTGTTTCTTTCGGCTCCTTGTCTTTTCCTGTATAATTTCTATTTGTCTAATTCGTTCACATTAACATGTTCCCATTTGACATGCTGCTTACGAAGATCTTCCTACTTGCAGCTGATGTCCTGTATGACTTGGGCACTGGATTAGAGGTGCTTTCACCTTTATGTCCACATTTATTTCTTGAAGTAGCAGGTCTTGGTAACTTTGCCAAAGTAAGTAGCAGAAACGTCAATTGGTTTTATCTATTGTAGTTTTCCCCTGGGATTCATGATGAACTGAGCATCTGGTATTTGGTTAAACAGGGAATGGCTGTGGTTGCTGCTAGAGCAACAAGATTGCCCATATATTCTTCATTTGCCAAAGAAGGCAATCTTAGTGATCTTTTTGCAAAAGGTGAGGCCATTTCCACTCTATTTAATGTCCTGGGAATTGGTGCCGGAATTCAGTTAGCTTCTACGGTGTGTTCGTCAATGCAAGGAAAGGTATAGTCAACTGTATTATTATGTAATTTGCATTCCAAAAAGTCTTTTGCTGGAAGTACATGTTTGTTCTCATCATAACTTGTATGTCACGTCTGTCCCATTGATGGGAGTTGTCAATTCAGATGAAAGAAGTAAAATTAATCCTGAAATGTGCAATGCAGCGAATAAGAAGCTACAACTTATATTGTTCTCATCTGTCTACTTTAAAATTCCTTGTTTATTAGGTTGTTTAGATCATGTTTTCTAGGTAATACCTGAAACCTGGCATTTACAATCCAGGCTAGTGAAACATCTAAGATTGTATGAATGCCTGCTGTTGCATCTTCAAGGTGTATGCATTACAAGTTTGGCTTTTTCCTCCTGATGCACCTAATTTGGGATTCCTAGGTTTAAATCGTGTGATGCTAGTGTAGGTAGGTATGAAAGAAAGAAATAGATGAAATAGGCTAAAGAAACTAAGACGCTTTAGGTGATTGTGCCAAAAAGATCAAACTTGCGAGATAGCATTAACATTTCTGTAGAAGGCTGGGAAATTGGTTTCCTGCTCAGAGTTTTAAACTGAACAGTTATTAAACATTTGGCATTCAAACTTGTGTTTAACCCTGATAATCCTAGCATGCTGCAGCTGCTGGTTGGGCCTCTCCTCTCAATTGTACATGTTTACAGTGTCTGTGAAGAAATGCGAGCTGCTCCTGTAAACACGTTAAATCCTCAGAGAACTGCAATGATCGTAGCTGACTTTATAAAGGTAATCTCTGGATGATCTTGTTGTTAGACCTCTCGAATGAGGCGTTCGTCCATTTTTATGCTTCCTATCATACTTACCATTTAACGGTCAATGGAAACAGGAAGGAAAGGTATCAAGTCCTGCTGACCTTCGATATCGAGAAGATCTATTGTTCCCTGGTAGACTAATAAAGGATGCAGGAAATGTTAGAGTGGGAAGTGCTCTGCACCAGGTAGTCAAGCCTTCCAAGCTGTATCAATTTAAAGAAATGTTTCCAGATGAGAGGTTTCTTCTAAACTTAGGAGCTAGTTGCACCAACTTGATATTGGAGCACAATGCCACTGGTGAAGATGCATTGCGAGGTTGGCTCGTTGCTGCATATGCTGCAGATATGGATAAATCTGTTAGTGATTCAAACGGAGTTGTTTTAACGGATGCGTATGCAAAGATGGACACTGTCTTCCCTCCATTTCTTTCCGAACTACAAGCGAAAGGGTGGCATACTGATCGTTTTCTAGATGGAACAGGAACTCGATTTGCTTTTTGACATATTCATTGTCAATCAGCTAGTTGATTTTCCTCGGAATGATGCGGCTCTTTTGGTTAGAAATTGGTGTTTCATTGTAAAATCTGTTGAGTTGTTTAGTCTTAGTGGCTTTTTTCCCTGGCCAGCAAACAGTGTTAACGAAGGGTAGTGCAGAGTTTTGCAGAGGTAGTCAAGTGTTCAACTTTCTTCTGAGTTTTTATTTTGCAGTTAATAATTTTCTATTTAGTTGCTTATGAAATGGATATGTCCTCTTATATTTGATGCGTCGTGACTGCATGTCTTTTGAAAGAGGAAACTGTGTTTGCCAATGCCTTTGCAGGAATATACCAGTCAGATTATGATTGAAATCGATAACCGCCTTTGAATAGTAGGTAGGGATCATTATATAACGGGAATATGGAATGGGACGAGTAGTGAATGACTATAGTTTTGGTGGCTGAATGATGTAGAGTTTAGACAAGGGTCCAATGAAGATGTTGGATCACAATGCTCTGTCAGGTGTCAATCACATAAGCCATACGTTCTTTGATTGAATTATTTTCATTTCCTTTTTACCGAATCAAGGTGTACTTCCGTTCCAAAATGATTGTCTGTTTATTGTAATATAAAAAACCGATGGCTCTGATTTATTCATTCTGTCAGTTAGTTAAAGCAAAAGAAAAATCTAAACCAAAATAAAATTCTTATAGTACTACTCTTTTGAAGATGCATAAGGTACTGCTATTTTTCCAACAGCAGACCTAAAAAAATGGACTAGTCCATGATATTCCACGTGCAAATTAACATATTCCAATAATTCCATCCCAAGGTCCCACACCTCCAATATACTACTAATCAATTGCGTGTTTTATAAACGCAAGCTACCTTTCAGTTGCAATATTTCCTGCTCTGAAGTTTGATGTAATTAGTGCATTGCAGTGATCATCTATGGGGAAAACTCCTTGCTGTGAGAAAATGGGATTGAAGAAAGGTCCATGGACCAAAGAAGAAGACCACATTCTCATCAATTACATCAATCGCCATGGCCATGGTAATTGGCGGACGCTTCCCAAACTCGCCGGTATCCATACTACTTCTGTCTCAAAATGATATTCATATTGATACGAAAGTAGTACCATTTGGCGATCCTAAACACTGAACTGATAACGTTACTGCAGGTTTATCAAGGTGTGGAAAGAGTTGCAGGCTTCGTTGGACAAATTATCTGAAACCCGGGATTAAACGCGGGAACTTCAGCAAAGAAGAAGAGGACACCATTTTCAAGCTGCATCAAACATTAGGCAACAGGTGAGACTGCGCCGGCTTAATTAAGTTCTTCCCAACAATCTTAACTTTAAAACCAATTTCAGCTCTCCCTTTACTCATTTGTTTAACATTAATACTGAAAAATTTAGCTAAAGTAGTACTTGATACATACCAAAATTCTCTGCACTGTTTATTACTCCCTCCGTCCCATAATTATTGTTCAATTTAGGTTTTCATTTTTAGTTCAAATTACACTAAAAGTGAAATCTCAAACTGGACAATAATTTTGGTACCGAGGGAGTATATGTTTCCGTTCTAAATGATAGTTGTGTTCCTTGAAATTTTAGGTTAGTTTGTCGCTCATTTGTTGTTGTTTTGTTCCCTGTTTTATTGTCTGCCCCTATGTGAGAATCAAAAAAGAGCACAAAAACTAGAGACATTAAAACAATGCAATCGATTTTCACGTGAGCCACTTATTAAATCATTCTTCCAGCAGCCCCACTATAAATAATTTGCAATTATACATATCCTTTTTCTCCTTTTTTATTATTGAGAATCCCTAAAATATTAAAATATTCAAGCACGAATTAGTCGTGTAGTTGTTTATTATCCTACAAATCCAATCGTATACTAAAAATCATCAAATTTGTTTGTCATGTCTCTCATGATCATGTGAAAATGTGGATCATGGATAGATATAGTGATATTTTAATTAGCCCTCTATTTTTCAGTCGGGTTGGGATGGCTAGACATAACTGTAATCTCTTAATCTCAACTTTCTAGTTTTCTATGTGGACATTTTCAGATGGTCTTTGATAGCAGCAACGTTACCGGGACGAACTGACAACGAGATTAAAAACGTGTGGAACACTCACTTGAAGAAGAGACTCCAGCATTGTTCTCCTTCTTCAACCAAACAACAACAACAAGAAGATGATGATGATCAAACTAGCAATAATAATATTAGTGATGAAACACTACCAGAAGCAGATGGCCATAAATTTGATCATCATCATCATCATCATCAACTTACAAATCTGCCTAACCCTAATACTAGTACAATTTTGGACCTGGATCATGATCAGGATTTCTGGTCTGACCAGATCATTCACCATTCATACCATTCTGAGGGTGATTCTGAGCACGGGCTTATGTTTCCACATTCTCAAGGATTACAGCATCAAGAACTTGATTATGATCTTGGGTTGAACACAAGCAGCAGTACTGAAGATGGCATGGACTTTTGGTCCGATCTCTTCACCTTAGAATAAGGGCATATCCTAGAATATTTGTGCTGTACGATACTACTACGTTTTCACTATCTTTTATAGGTGGTGGTCAAAATTTATAGGTTTTGTTTTTTGGAAAAATTGTAATTCTTATATATTAGTAAACTGCAAATTTGGTCTTTTCCTGCGCGACCATCAACCGCATTTAGAGACCGCGAATCAAAATTCTCATCTATGATCATACGCGGTCGCAACTTCCAGAATCATATTATTCGATAAAAAGATTTTGGAATTTCGTCAAAACTTTTGTGATTGAGAGGAATTCTTTCTTTGAATTGATCTTTGAAGTGAAAGCCCCGTACTTCTCAACTTACTTGCTCTCCTTTTCTATCCGTCTATCTTTAGGTGCTTCGGCCAAAAAAATTTCCAAAAAAAGATGCGGACAAAAATAATTTTTTTTCTATTTTTGGTGGACAAAACTAGTTGTCTCAATAGAATTGATTCGGATTTGGCAAATTCGAATGGATAGATTCGGATTTGGCAAATCCGAATCTACCCAATAGAATTGATTCATCACATAGTTGTAATAGAGGAGATTCGGATTTGCCAAATCCGAATCTAAGTACAAAATGGATATATTCGGATTTGGCAAATCCGAAACTAGATTTGTCTACACCACTTCGGGACATATATGTTTGTCCAGGTCCTTCCATTGAAGTAGTATTTTGCTTTCTGAATGAATTATTAAATCTACGGCCTCTATTTATAGAGTTGAGAGTCCATTGATTCACCACTACTCTAGCTTATAGGTTTGCTGCGGAATGGATTTTAGAGCAGCCACATGTTGCATTTTTTTTGTTTGCTTAGTCACTCCAGAGGTAATCTTGTAAGCTACTTGTCTAATCCCAGTGGCGGGGCTAGGATTTCACCAAAGCAGGGGCAAAAAAAAAATTTTGAAAAAAATTATGGATTAAAAGGTGTAAAATTTTTTTGCAGGAGCGAAATTATTATTTTTCAAAAATTTGTACTAATATTTTCAAAGAGCTCTTAATGAAATATTTTGGGTAGGAAGAGCGATTGCCCCTACTAGTCCTCCTCCCTCCGCCACTATCTAATCCTATTATGTTCTCGTGGACATGAGTTCCTGTCACATGTTTTGCCTAGTGTATTTACTCATCACTAGCCATAGGGAGTAGGAAAGCATTGTGCATTACCTACTTTGTCCAATTTCTGATTAATGACTCTATGGATTGAAACGATGATTTTAAGCTTGCTTAGTAAGCTATGTGTTTCATGACCACCATTTCAGCATTCCCTTTAACTTCTTTTCATGTGTATTTTCTAACTTTGCTGAATCAATATGCTAGGATCACTAAAGTGTTTAGTTCTATAAATAGTTATGAATGGTTAATCCACAACCTTACATGGAGCATGCATGGACATGCCATATATGTGCATTAGGTGGCAGCAAAAGACAAGTATAAAATTGATTAGTTGATAGTTTGCTATTGTACTACCTACAAATGACCAGGATTGCTTGCTCAAGAAAACCATTAAGTACTAAAAGTTAAATTTTTAAAAATTAAAACCATTTGTTTCATTATGCAATACACAAAGAGTTGAAAGTGTAAATATTTCCGTGGTCATATTCCGGATAAACTACGCTCTCTTCTGCACGTGAAAACGCGGTCGTTCGGAGCTCGTAATTGGTGGTTCTTTCCCAAATCGGAAGGACCTTGAAGCACCTCTGTTAATCTGCTGGGATTGTTTCTCAGAGTCAATATTAAAATCCAGTAAACATCTTGATTTGATTCCACGATTCAATCATGGCGACCGCCTCAGGTACAGTCTTTCATCTCTCTCCGTCATTTCATTTCTTCTGCGGTGAAAATTTTCAAGACCTTGATTTCATGAATCGATTTGTTCTGGTTATAGTTTTTGTTCTTCCTTTTATCTAATTCATGAAGGTGTTGTGTAAATTTCTGATTGAAAAATTAAAAATAAAAATCATTCCTTTCCCCTTTTGTTGCCGAGTCCGTCTTCTGGTTAATTGAAATGATGATTTGGGTATGTGGGTTCATTTTGTGCTTTGTTGGAAACCTGCAGTGGCATTCAAGTCTAGGGAGGATCACAGGAAACAACTGGAATTGGAAGAAGCTCGTAAAGCTGGGCTTGCTCCTGCGGAGGTCGATGAAGATGGCAAAGAAATTAATCCTCACATTCCTCAGTATATGTCATCGGCGCCTTGGTATCTCAATGCTGAGAGACCGGTATGTCCATTACTTGACTTTGATGCTTTCCTTTTCATCTTGGTGCTTCTCTTAGGGTTTGATTAAGTTTCATATCATGTCTCCCTTGTGCCCTAATGAATGTGAAATGGATCTGCTTTTGCTGTTTAGAGTTTGAAACATCAAAGGAAATGGAAGTCGGATCCGAACTACTCCAAATCTTGGTACGACAGAGGTGCCAAAGTATTCCAGGCTGAGAAGTTTAGGAAAGGTGCTTGTGAAAACTGTGGAGCAATGACCCACGATGCTAAATCCTGTATGGAGAGGCCTCGAAGAATTGGAGCAAAGTGGACTAACAAGTCTATTGCTCCCGATGAGAAAATAGAAACCTTTGAGCTTGATTACGATGGTAAAAGGGACCGCTGGAACGGATATGATGCAGCAACATATGCTCAGGTCATTGAAAGATATGAAGCTAGAGACGAGGCCAGAAGGAAATATTTGAAGGAGCAGCAACTTAAGCAGTTGGAGGAGAAAAATAACAAACAAATCAAAGAAGCTGGGGAAAGTGACGATGAGGATTTTGAAGATGCTTTGAAAGTGGACGAAGCTAAGGTTGATGAGAGCAAGCAAATGGACTTCGCAAAGGTTGAGAAACGTGTGCGTACCACTGGTGGAGGAAGCACTGGAACGGTTAGGTAAGCTGTCAGTTTTTCATCTTTTCAAGTTCTAGTGGTTTAGTTATTATGTAGATCCAATTAGTTACCTGCCTGTTAGAAGTGTTTTGCCTTTCTGTCTATACTTCAATTTTAGGTAATATGACTTCCACATGTATTGGTTAATGTTTTCCTCAGGAATTTGCGTATTCGAGAGGATACTGCAAAATATCTTCTTAACCTGGATGTCAATTCTGCCTACTATGACCCTAAAACTCGGTCTATGCGTGAAGATCCTCTTCCCGATATGGATCCAAATGAGAAGTTCTATGCTGTAAGTGTATTTTGAATTTGTGAAGCATACATGACTTGTTTGTTTTTGCCTGTTGTGTTTTTTTTAGTTCAGTGTTGTATTAACAGCTTGCCATTTAACAGGGAGATAATCAAAACAGACTAAGCGGTCAAGCTCTGGAGTTCAAGCAGCTAAATATTCACGCTTGGGAAGCATTTGACAAAGGCCATGACGTTCACATGCAAGCTGCTCCCTCTCAAGCTGAATTACTGTATAAAAATTATAAGATCAATAAGGAGAAGTTGAAGGGTCAGACCAAGGAAAGCATTGAGGCAAAGTATGGTAATGCTGCTGCTGTAGAGGAACTTCCAAAAGAACTTTTACTTGGTCAAAGTGAAAGAGAAGTTGAATATGATCGGGCTGGTAGGATCATAAAGGGTCAGGTATGCTGGAATTGATAGTTATTTACTTCTTGTGCTATTTTTTCCCCCTTCACCCCCCTCCCTCTCCACCTAAAATATCATGTGATCCCTGCTTGTCTATCTGCTAAAGGTCTTATTTGTTTGGTAATTTCATTTGGGATGCCTTATAATGTGGTACTTAATTATTTTGCAGTGTATTAAAAAAATCTGTTCCCAATTTGTTTGTTTCTTGTATTATTATTAGGTTAAGGTTAGAAGAGAGACTAAACTAGCACTGTTCTTCTTTTTGGAGTTTTTTTAAACGGCCTCATCTGTTTTGAATTCTATTTGTAGGAGGCAGTGCTTCCTCGAAGCAAATATGAAGAAGATGTTTACATCAATAACCACACGAGCGTCTGGGGGTCTTGGTGGAAGGATCATCAATGGGGCTATAAGTGCTGCAAGCAGACAATTAAGAACAGTTATTGCACTGGAGCTGCTGGTATTGAAGCAGCCGAAGCTGCTGCAGATCTCATGAGGGCTAACATTGCCCGAAAAGAGGCTGCTGAAGGTTGGTGTGCTTATTTGGTTTATTTTGTTTCGGGGTGTTAATTTTGACATCAGGTCATTTATTTTGGGGCTCTGAGTGTTTCTTTTTCTCGGGGTTCTTGAAGCTCTGCTTTGACGGGGTTATAAGAACAAAGTAAACATTTTCTAATAGATAGTGCCGTGGTTGTATTTAGAGAAGCATGCCCACCTGAGTAAATAAAATATCAAAGTATCTATTATTACACCTCTGTGAGACTTAGATTTGTCTGTTTTAAAGACATGGCTATTTAAATCTGATCGGCTGATCCGCACTATCACTAATTTTCCAGATGCGCCAGCTCCAGTGGAGGAGAAGAGGCTAGCCACTTGGGGAACTGATGTCCCTGATGATTTGGTTTTGGATGAAGGAAAATTGGCTGAAGCACTCAAGAAGGTGAAGAATATTCTTGTGCTTTTGTTTTCGGAAATGGAATTTCCATGTGTAACATGATATGTAACCTATATCTTTGTTGAGCAGGAGGATGCAAGGAGAAGGGAAGAGAAAGATGAAAGGAAACGGAAATACAATGTGAAGTGGAATGATGAGGTTGGTGTATGGTTCCCCGAATTTTCATTTTTCAGCTTCATTTGTTTGTTTGTATGTATATATTCATGGAGGTGTGGTTCTTATTGTTTTGTGTATTTCAGGTCACTGCTGAGGATATGGAAGCATATAGGATGAAGAGAGTGCATCATGATGACCCAATGAAGGACTTTCTGAGCTGAAATCATCACGAGATTCACCAGTGCGTGTTTATTGGTAGATTTTTTTTATAAAACCTATCATAATGTATGTCTGTCTTATTTCGTTCTGTTGGGAAGGCAGTGGCCAGGTACTAAACATGTGGCATCTTTGTGCCTAAAGCTGTGTCCGTAAAAGTCGAAGTCTGTTGTATAGTATGAGAAAAATGGTATGACCTAACTTGAACAGGGTTTGTTCTGTAGGCTGGTGCCTCTGTGTACTTGAGTTCTATAAATGGATTGGTTTCTGAAGGAGATGTGTTGGCCTGGAGTTAGTTGTTTGTGTGTTTGGGTATTCCAACAAAACTGAAAAATCCATTGAGCCTCTTCTGAAGCGCCTGCTCTAAGGTTTCTGATTTTCATTCGTCCGTTAGAGTAGAATTGTTGCAACATATTTTAGATAGACAAACAAATAAAATATGCACTCAACTCAAAATATGTATCTCAAAACTTACGAAGATGGTTCACCTTCAAAAACCTACTACAAAAGAGCATGCTTTATCACCATGCTTAAAATAAATTGCAATAATTCAACTCAAAATATAACTCAAAACTTACTAAGAAATTTTACCCTCGGATAACTACTACAAAGAAAATGGATCACCACCTTGAACCACCAGCACCTCCAAAGCCGGATCTGTCATCGGGTCGGCCCCATTTCCGAGTTTCAGGACCGTCTCCTTGCGATCGTTTAGGGGGCACATACTTTCTACGTGCGGGTGGAGTGGCCACAGGCTCTGGGTGTGCAGGAGGGGCTTCCTCATTCCTTCGAGAAGGGGGTACGTACCTTGAAGGGGCAACAGGAGGAGGGGCTTCCTCTTTCCTTTGGTTCTCAATTTCTTCAATCTTTCGCGCTTCTTCAAGCTTCCTGGCTTCCTCCTCAGCGTCACGCAGTTTCCTTTGCCTCTCCTCCTCAAGTCTCAGATAAAATATCATCTTTCTCCGGACCGTCCTATCCTGTTTCCGTGCTTGAATGATGTTCAATTTGTATTGTCTCTCATTTCTTAACCGGTTGAATTCAGCTTCCCTTGGTCCCACAACTCTTTCCTGGTATATTCTCTTGTTCTCCAACATGCGCTCAAGCCTGCTCTTCTCCTTAAGATCACCTGCATGGCGTTGTCTGCTCAACTCAATCTCTTGCTGTTGCTCGCGTTCGTGATGAGCAGCCTCTACCACTATTCGCTGTTGAAAGGCAGCTTCTACAAGGGTTGCCGACTCTTCCCTTTTGGCTCTCTCCAAATGATCCTCCGTTTTAAAGAGTTCCAGTAACTTTTTCTCCTTTTCTTGACTCTCCCTCTGTTTCTGCAGAACTTGGTTCTTTTCTCTCTCCCTCTCTTCTTTTTCCTTCTCTTCTTTTTCCTTAAGCAAATTCTGATGCTTCCTCAACTGACGCTCAGTAGCAAGCTTCTTTTGGTCTGCCTCTTCAATAATCACTTGCTCCTTCAACTTCTTTGAATCTTTATCTTTCTCTTTCTCCATCTCAATGAGTTGTCGCTCTTGGTCCACTTTGCGTTGCTCAATTATGCACTTACGAGCTAAAAGTCTTTTGTGCTCCTCTTCCACAACCTCTGATAAATTAAGAAGCAAATTTTTCCCTATCTTGTGAGCTTTCTGCTTTGAAGGATAGATCAGGACGCTGGCATTGCTCAAAGATTCAGCAAACTGGGTCAAGTGATCCATTAGGTCATCTGATTCTAATTTTTGTTGACCAAAGGAAACAACACCCTTCAAGTGATTAACTTTCACTGCAATAAAATTGTGTTTCACAGCATCAGCTGACAGCTTCTCGATGAGAGCAAAGTCATCGAAGAACGAGATCATCTTGGATAAGTGATCAATCTTAATTGTTTGATAAACTTGTGACACCTGCCGCAACAACCTCACTGTGGCCATCTTTTCGAGCGCAGGAACATATCGACTCATCTGGATTTCTGAAACAGAAGGAGCCGAATAAAGTGTTACCCCAAGCTCTGAGATTTCAGCCAACAGTGGCTGTACTTTTGTTGCCAAATCCAAAGGAATAAACTCGTCTTCCAGCAGATGGTAAAGATCCTTTACTTCTTGAGTGACACGTGACAGTACCCCTTTCGATTCCAGCTCTGCAAAAAGTCCGGCCCGAGAAAGCACTTCGTGGCTGTCAGATTTGTGTTCCACATCAAATCTAATAATGCTGGCCATCTTCAGATTCTTCTCTTTCTCAAGCTGAAGCTCCGAATGAGATGCACTACCACCGTGTGAATGGTGGTCATAAGGAGGAACTGAAAGTGCAGCTAACACAACAGAGGATGCTATCAACTGTAAATCCCTCTGGCTCAAGTTCTTCTTAAAACTCTTTTGGATGGTAAAAAGTTTGAGCAAAGCATAAGCATGACCAAGCTGACTGGAAGATCTCCAAAATATTTCAGCCATCCTGGCATAATAAACCACCATCAATGAAGCCTTGGGAGTTTTTCCCACCATGGACATTAGTCCATGAATATCTTCAACAGAGCGAAAAGTCTCCTGCCAGAGGTGCAACTCGGTAGCAACATTCAACTGTTCGAACCGGGTATTCAGATACAACTGCAAGGTCTCAGGGAGAGACACATCAGGCCAATGACGATTATCCTTCTGGTCCTCACTGTACTTGACAAAATTTGCAAGATGATTCCGAATTGTCTCGCACAATCTTCTAAACTCTGCAGTTCGATTGTGCTGTCTACAGAACTGAAAGGCGCGGCGAGCAGTAGCCGCGTAAAGCTCCTCTAACATAGAGTTGTTCTTCAGAGTTTCCAACACTGTTCTGTAAGCCTCAAACAAAAACTTCAACCCTGAATATTTATAACTCAAGTTAAGATCATGGTCAGAAGTTCTGTAAGCCTGAAACAATAACTCCAACCCTGAATTTTTATGACTCAACATAAGATCATCATCAGGTTCCAGGCCTACTTGTGCCAGGGAAATTTCAGCCTTTTTGGTAGCCAAATCCAAGAATTTCTGAATCACAGATTCCAGGGAACTGATGTTGACTTGCTGGCAGACGTTGCGGTATTGAATCAAACCATCTTTCGCAAACCAAACCCTCTCCAACTCAACACAAAGCTCCACATATAAGAACATGAGCTTCTCCAGGGGAATCTGCCATGATCGAAACTTCCTGCTGGCAATTATTACGTCATGAAGCCCTTTAAGCGCTTCTTCCTTTTGGCCAACGTTTATTAACCCTTCTGCACGATTCAGTGCAGTTTCAGGCTTGACGAAATTCGCCATATTTCACAATTGATGATTGATGATTGATGAAGTACGGAGCGCCTCTTTCTGTTTTGCGGCAATGCTTTGAGATTTTTCTTTGTTACACAAATAGGACGACTTTGTGTATATGTATATATTGTATATTTATATAGTAGAAAGAACTAAACTACGGGAAACAATCTTATTCCTATTCTGAATCTAATTACCTTTTTATTTCATTTTACTTTTTTTCTTATTCTAGTACGATTGTGAAAACCTAACATCCGCAAGACCTAATTATTTTTCTTCTCACGGCTGTTTATCTGCTAGGGTTTTGCACTGTCAAAATTTTTTAAACACAATTAAGATGTTTATACCAATATAGTAAAAATAAATAAATTACGAGTAATAAAGAATCTGCAGTAAAAATTGTTATTGCTTCTGGAAAATTTAGGGACTTAAAAGTTCACTTTTCAATACTTGGGGACTTGGTTTGTCAAATTAAGGACAAATTATAAAGTCGGTGGGATTCCTATAAACCGCCTTAATAATACTACAAGTAGTATTTGGAAACTTAAAATCCGCGCGTCTTAAATATTTTCCTTCTTACAGTTCTGTTCATCTGCTAGGGTTTTCAGTGACAAGTTTGTACAATTCAGTGGAAATTCTTGCTTTTAATTCTACCATTCAATCATGGCGACCGCCTCAGGTACAGTCCTCTTTCCCTCTCGATGGTTAGATTATTCGATTTTTGCCGTTTATAGTTTTGTTATTCCTCTGGTTCACGAGGATTTTCCATTAAATGTTCGGTCGAATATGAATTTGTGATTGAGAAAGAAGAAGAATAGGTCCTTTTGTTTTCCCTTTCCCCCTAATTGGTCCTGTCGTTGAATGAATTGAGTATTTATTAGATTTGTGGTTGATTCTGTATTTTGGTGGAAATCTACAGTGGCGTTCAAGTCTAGAGAGGATCATCGGAAACGGCTGGAATTGGAAGAAGCTCGAAAAGCTGGGCTTGCTCCTGCGGAGGTTGATGAAGATGGAAAAGAAATTAATCCTCATATTCCTCAGTATATGTCATCGGCGCCTTGGTATCTCAATGCTGAGGGACCGGTATGTCCAGTCCACTTCTATTTTGACTTAACTTGATGCTTTGTTTTCATTCTGGCTGTTTTTTATTTTTTTTTAATAGGGTTTTATTTGATTTTAATATCATATCTCCTTTTTGTTTTTTAGAGTTTGAAACATCAAAGAAATTGGAAGAAGTTAGATATCATTCCCAAGAACTGGTACGATAGAGGTGCCAAAGTATTCCAGGCTGAGAAGTTCAGGAAAGGTGCATGTACAAACTGTGGAGCGATGACCCACGATGCTAAATCCTGTATGGAGAGGCCTCGTTCCATTGGAGCAAAGTGGACTAACAAGGCTATTGCAGCCGATGAGAAAATAGAGACCTTTGATTTTGATTACGAAAGTAAAAGGGACCGCTGGAATGGATATGACACCGCAGCATATGCTCAGGTCATTGAAATGTATGAAGCTAGAGATGCTGCAAGAAGGAAATATGTGAAGGACCAGCAGCTTAAGATGTTGGAGGATAAAAATAGCAAACTAAACAAAAAATCCGGAGGGTGCGATGATGAGGATTTTGAAGATTCTTTGAAACTGGACGAAGCTAAGGTTGATGAGAGCAAGCAAATGGAATTCGCAAAGGTTGAGAAACGTGTGCGTACTACTGGTGGAGGGAGCACTGGAACGGTTAGGTATGTTGTCATTCTTTTATTCTATTAAGTTCTAGTTTCTGCAAGAACCCTCGATTTCTTTGTCAGGTGGTTTAATCATGTAGAACCAGTCAGGTTGCCTTACTGTTAGGAGTGTTTTGCTTTTCTGTCTATACGTCAATTTTACACAATATAAATTCCACATGCATTGATCCATGTTTTCCCTCAGGAACTTGCGTATTCGTGAGGATACAGCGAAGTATCTTCTTAACCTGGACGTCAATTCTGCCTACTATGACCCTAAAACTCGGTCTATGCGCGAAGATCCACTCCCCGATATGGATCCAAATGAGAAGTTCTATGCTGTAAGCACCATTGTATTTCCAAATTTTGAAGCATACTTGAATAGTCTACTTTTACCTGTTGTTCCTTCGAAGTTCAATCGAATTAACAGGGTGCTTTCTATCAGGGAGATAATCAAAATAGACTTACCGGTCAGGCTTTGGAGTTCCAGAAGCTTAATGTTTATGCTTGGGAAGCATTTGACAAGGGCCATGATGTTCACACACAAGCTGCTCCTTCTCAAGCTGAAATACTGCTTAAGAATTTTAGGATCAATAAGGAGAAACTGAAGGGTCAAACAAAGGAAAGCATTGAGGCAAAGTATGGCAATGCTGCTGCTGGGGAGGAACTTCCAAAAGAACTTCTACTCGGTCAAAGTGAAAGAGAAGTTGAATATGATCGGGCTGGTAGGATCTTGAAAGGCCAGGTATGCTGGAATCAGCGGTTATTTTGGTTTTTCGGTTATGCACCCCCCTCCTTGCCAGTATTCATTTGTTCCTACTCTATGTGAAAGATTTCCTGATCCCTGCTTGTCTATGTTATGAGGCTTATGAGTAGTTGTCTTTGCTTTTTGTATGTCTGTTTCTATTTGCTTTTTTCTTGCATTATCCTCAGATTAAGGTTTGCTTAGCATAGAAGAGAGACGAAACTGGCTAGCCATATTGTCGGAGTCTTCTTATACCGGCCTAATCTATTTTGAATTCTATGTGTAGGAGGTAATCATTCCTCGAAGCAAATATGATGAAGATTCTTACATTAATAACCACACAAGCGTCTGGGGGTCCTGGTGGAAAGGTCATCAGTGGGGCTATAAGTGCTGCAGGCAGACACTTAAATTAAGTGTATGCACAGGTGCTGCAGGTATTAAAGCAGCTGAAGCTGCTGCAGATCTTATGAGGGATAATATTGCTCGAAAAGAGGCTACTGAAGGTTGGTATAATTTTTCTGTTTTTTGTGCATTAAGGTGATAATTTTGACATCAGTAGAAAAGTTTTGGAGCTCAGTATTTATTTTTTATTGGGGTTATTGAAGTTCTGCTTTGAGGGGGTTAAGCGCAATATGAGGTTTTTTTTTTTAATAGATAGTGTGGTTATGTTTATTGAAGTATGTGCTCACGAGAGAATGAATCTACTATTTTAAACTTCTTTAGAATTTGGTTTGTCAGATGGCAATTTGTCCTGAGTTTCTGTTGTTTGTCTATAGTTTCTTTCTTTATTTATGATCCTTCATCTCATGAATTGAACAGATACAAGAGCTCCAGTGGAGGAGAAGAGGTTAGCCACTTGGGGAACTGATGTCCCTGATGACTTGGTTTTGGATGAAAAGAAAGTAGCTGAAGCACTAAAGAAGGTAAAAATTATACTTAAGCGTTGTATTTGGAAATGGATTTTCGAGTATAACTTGATATTTAACCTGTATCTCTGTTGAGCAGGAAGATGCAAGGAGAAGGGAAGAGAAAGATGAAAGGAAGCGGAAATACAATGTGAAGTGGAATGATGAGGTTTGTGCATTGCTCTCCAATTTTCAGCTTCATTTGTTTGTTTGTCTGTTTGTTTGCTTACTCATATGTGATCTTATTGCTGTCTGTATTTTAGACCACTGCTGAGGAGATGGAAGCATATAGGTTGAAGAGAGTGCATCATGATGATCCAATGAAGGACTTCCTCAGCTGAGGTTCACCATCAGTGCTCGTTGAGACCTTATTATGAGAATTGAGAACCCATTGAAGAAGTTCATAGTAGAGTTAGATAGAATGTAATGGTTTATGGAAGATGTTTATTATGTAGGCTGTACATAGATTAATCTACGCCTCTGTGTGCTTTCAGTATGATTTTACAAGACACTAATTTTGTTATACTATTCATATCTTTCTTTCATTCCGAAGCAAACTACTTGGTACACAAAGGAGAACTTGAGTTGCAAAATGAGTTGCTACAAGTGACGAGCGAGCCTCCGCTCCTGAAGCATCATGTCTGCGCGAAATTTATTTATGAATTCCTCTGCTCTCTCGTTTATCCCCTTCATCTGTTGTGGTGATTCCAATACCAGCGATTCCCACATATCATCTGCTGAATTCGTTGTAGGCTCGTCGAGTTTTCCCTTTCCTTTAAACAGCGCATTTCCACTGTTATCTCGTCGATCAACAGACACTGATGAAGATTGACATATTTCCTCCTCCTCCTTGTACAGCAGTTTTGATGCTGCAGCCTCCAAGTCTGGGGGCAGGTACTCTTGAACTGTCGAAACTGCAGGCTCGATAAACAGCTGATCGATATATACAGCAGAAGGCCTTTGCTGGAAGCAGTAGGAGTGGTAATGGCGCGTTCGTGTAGTCTTCTTAGGCTTGAATAGCTTGCGATGGATACAAAAAGCAGGCCAGAAAGATCCTTTTGTGCTCGTCTTCCGGACAAGAGTACACTGCCTTTTGGAAGTTGTTCTGATAGTTTTGGAATGATGAAACCTGGGAAACTTGGTCTGCAGCTTGCGAGTGAAGACCCTCCAAGCCTTCCTTGTGGGCAGGAATTTGTTGAGCTTCAAGCTAGACATAGGAAATTGAAAAGAGGAACTAAAGAGAAATTAAATAAGGTGAAAACCATATGAAGCCCTGTGTTCACTATAAATTCTAAACGCTAAGTTTGTGTGAGGGTGCCAAAGTGTGCGTACATTTGCCGCAGAGTAACAACATTTAGGCTAAAAAGTTGGCGGTTTTGATGCTTTTACATGTGGTGGGCTTTTGGAATTTCTGGAAAGCGTTTCTTTCCATACATTGTTATTCTGCTTCTTTATCCAACTTGTTATATCTTAAGATTCTTTTCCTGTCTTTTCAGCCTTGTAGAACTTCTTTACCTCTAAAAATTCTAGATTTCCAGAATCAAATGACAGCAGCCCTTGGGGACCAGAGTAATCTTGTAGGAGACGAATATGTATGGAAGAAAACAAGTGAAGAATGATGCGCCTATTCTGGTCGTTTTAGGATACCTCATCATCTATCTATCCAGGACTAAATATAATAAAACAAATGCAAAGTTAACTTTTCTTTTCCCATTTGGCCATCATCATATGATAAATTTCTCCCTCTTCACATTCATTTTTCTTTGATTAATTACTGAAGCTAAATCTACTAACTTTTCATTTGATTCCTACTTTTTGCACCTTAAGCTAGGGATTAAAAATTTAAAATAACGAACACAGTCTCTTTCGAAATGCAATGGGTATGTTGTTGTCGACCATAAACCTTATTATACCCATATGTAGAAATCCCTCAAAAACTCGTACTACTTCCGTCCTATAATTATTGTCCAGTTTGAGTTTTCATTTCTAGTTTAAATTACACTAAAAATGAAATCTCAAACTGGACAATAATTTTGGGACAGAGGGAGTACTAAAAAAAAAAAACTAAGCCAAAATGCGATTCCCTTGACAAGGAAAATTCCAGCTGATCAATCTTTCAGTGGATTCATAACCACTCCGGTAAACAGAACCAATCCAGATCTATCCTCTCTGATGATGAACATGAAAGGATGATTAGTCACAAAAGTCTTCAATTCCCGCACGATCACCTCGGAATCTAGCGAAAAACCCATGTCAGTCACAGCTACTGCCTCTGTTCCTTCCTCATTCACTTCAACAAACACTCTTTGAACAATGCTTGGAAAGAAGGGATGCCCTGCCTCCTCGAACATCTCCGTCATATCTTCTTCTTCATCCATGAACGGAAATCTTTATGTTTCTGAGGGTGTAATAGAATGTGAATCTAGGTATCCAGAGTACATCAAGATAAGTCTTTTTCAGTTCAAAATCAAGCCCTTTTGAGTCAAACTTTTCGAGTAGATTCTGCAAGCCATCTACCTGTTTTGGGAGGATGAATTGCATTGAGAATGTGGGTGCAGCATTCTTCTTGGGTTTCTGATCCTTGTTTCCTGTTTGATACGGGATTTCGAGGACTTTGAAATCCTCAGAATGATCCGTACCGATAGGAAACTGGGCTAGTCATGAACACGACGTCTGGAATCTTGTCTCCATTGTCAAGGTAGAAATCCCTTTCTTCACTGCATTCAGCATCGAATTCATCAAACCAAGTTCCTTTGAAGTAGAGCACATTTGCGAGAATTACAGAGGTCAAAGGTTTAATTTCTTCAATGATGCCTCCAAAACGGCCCCTGCTCTGTGACTCCACTCATGAGTTAATTTCCTTCACAGCTTCCTCGGGCTGACCACCAAAGTCTAGGAAAAAACAGTCCACATCGAATTTTGAACTATTTTTTGAAAACTCAAGGTGAACTATTTTCTAACTATTTTCTTGGAACAAATTGATGTAAAAGTGAAAACCAAACGTTTTGGGACAAAAATTATTAAATATTGAATGCAAAATCATTCCATCCTGTACTAATTATCTACCTTGTTCAAAAAATACTAGTACAACGAACACTATTATATTTGTATAGGATATATAAATCAATTTTTTTGGAGTTACATCCGTCTCAAAATAATTATCATTAAATATTGAATGCAAAATCATTCCATCCCATATGAATGATCTACCTTGTCCAAATATACTAGTACCAGTAACAAATTATACTACTAATACAACATATGAACCATTTTTTTGGGTTGTAAAAATAAGTCAATACCTGATTGACGAAGTCATGGATCGATGTTGGGGCGAGATTTAAAAGTATCCGTAATGCATTTCTGGTAGGATTCTTTGAAACTGAAACGTTTGTCAACCCAAACTCCGGTCGCGAACGATATCTCCGGGCAGCCTCCGTTGCTTTGACCACTATTAGCAATTCGCGTAGCAGCTGAAAACCTTGATTTCAATTCTTCCAGGTTCTCCGATCCGGCAAACTCAAGGACCCGATCCAACAAGGGTCCGGAACATCCCACGGCTATCCAACGACGGCGGCGTTGTCGGCGTTTGCCCCGCGGGTTTTGACGTTCTCGAGCAAAGCATTGTCGGCCAACCTCAGGCAAGGGTTCGTCAACGTCGTTGACCGTTCTGGTGAATAATCAAAGGACATGATTTAATGATCAAAGTTGAACAAATTATTCGATGTAGGTTAGATTTTGATCGAGTGCAACCCGTACGTGTTTGTAGAAAAACCCTACAGGAAAACCACGCTTATGTATTCGCATAGTATGTACAGTTTTCACACGTTTCGAATCCGGATTAGTCACCAATGATTTCAGACACCCGATGTGTAATATATAAAAAAATAAAAAATGTAGAATTCTATTGGCCTAATATAAAATCGAATTTTGAGTCAATAAAATAATCGAATTTTGAGTCAATAAAATATTTTATTTTATTTGTTTTTTGGTCTGTGAAATTAAGTAAAACTTTTTTTTTAAAAAAAAGAGTAAAACCTTATGACTTTAAATTAGAGAAATGTTTTACTTCACTGTATTGCTTTACTGTTGTTTAATAAAATAAATTATTTTTCTAATTTCAAAAAGAATATTGAAACTATGTATTACAACATGATGAAACTACAAATAATGATACATGACTAACTCATTACTCACTCGTTGATTATGATAAGTGGGTAGAAAACAATTACAAAAAAAAAAAAAAAAAACAAACGCCCTTTTATCTGCATTATATGTATATCATTGCTTCAAACATTTCATTTATAAATCCAAGTATCATTAAAACAAGTACAAGCCAGTATCATGCCGGGTGAAGTCGACCTCTATATAGACGATTACTACTTAATTGTATTATGTCATTACATGCAACATACAATTTTTTTGTGGAAGTTTAAAAATATTAGACAGGGTTGATGAACATTCAATTACGATTGCTTTGTTGCACTAAAAAGTAAAATATAAAAACATGTGTTATCATCCTTCTCTATCAACTTCATTGCTTTGTTTTCCATTCCTTCTTCTCGAATGCCCAAAAGCGCCAATTCATTTTTACCTCAAAGCAAACATGCATCCATAACAATACGGATGGATCTATATTGGAAGGCCCGGAGCTAAAGAGTTAATGTTTGCAACTCCACTTTCCTATAGGCCCAACAAACAAGATTACAAACAAGGGGAAAAAAAAAATAAAGAAAAAGCTGCAAAAATCACCGCTTGATGGAGGTGGAAAAGAGAGAGGGGAGAAGGTAGGGAGATGACAGCATCCAAACCGCTGAATCTAACAAGGATTTCAGCCAACATTCATTCAAATTTATTTCATGGCAAGCCAAGTGTTAGGTTGCATGCAGCTTCATCCTCTCCAAAAAACCAACACGTCAAATCTGATGATCAAATCCAAACTCCTTAGGTGTCAAAAATGGACACATTTCTCATGCAAAACACAGCTCTTCCCCCTTTGCCACACGGCTTCCATTCTCCACTTCCACCGTCTGCTCTTCCCATTATATAAACACCCCTTTTACCCCTTCTTTATTTCCTCATCTCTTTATACTGATCTTTAATCTCATTTTCCTCCTCTCCCATCTTTCTTTCTTTGAAGTATACAATGGGAGCTTTAAAGCTTCTGCTTGCCTTGTTTCTAACAGTTTTTGTGTCAGCGGCAATTGGGCTGAGGACTCCTCAGCTCAGTCAGTCTCAGCAATGCAGGCTTCAGAGACTGACTTCCAGTCAGCCTTCTCAGCGATTTGAGTCTGAAGGCGGTCACTTTGAGTTATGGAACCAGAACGAACAGCAATTCCAGTGCGCCGGCGTTGCGCCGATAAGGGTCACCATCCGCCCTAATTCCGTCCATCTCCCTAGCTATCATCCTACTCCAAAACTGGTTTATGTAGTCCAAGGTAAACTAAAATCAATCATCATCAATGTTTAATTTTTGACATGGAACTAAGTTATTATAAGTTTTTTTTTTTTTTTTTTCCTTGTGTTTCCAGGCAGGGGATTGATGGGACTACACGTTCCTGGATGTGCTGAAACATTTTCTTCATACTCCCAACAACAGCAAGGCCAGCAACAACAACAGCCATGGGAGCAACAGGGTCAGCAAGGTCAGGAGCAATATCCATGGGAACAGGGTCAGGGTCAGGGACAATTCCAGGGACAACAATCTGATCAGAACCAGAAAGTGCGGTACATTCGTCAAGGGGATGTTATTGCAATTCCTGCTGGTGCAGCTCATTGGTGTGCCAATCATGATAATCAACAAAATCTAGTTGTTGTTTCCGTTAACGACCTCAACCATGTTCAAAATCAGCTTGACCAGAACCTCAGGGTACTAACAAAAAAAAAAACAGGGTTTCAATCTCAATCTGGTTACTCTTGATTTCACTCAAAAAGACTACTAACTAGTTTGTGGGTTTGTTGATTTACAGGTGTTTTACATAGGAGGAGGACAACAACAACAACAATTCGGACAACAGCGAGGACAACAAGGACAACAACAGCAACCTGGACAACAATGGCAGGGACAACAGCAGCCACAATTCGGAAACATTGTCCGTGGATTCGATTCAGAACTGTTGGCAGAAGCCATGAATGTTCCAGTTGATACCATCAGGAAGATGCAGAGGGAAGACGAGAGAGGATTCATCGTCAGAGCTCAGGGATTGGAACGGATCATTAGGCCAACCAAGCAAGAAGAACAACAACAATGGGGAGGCCAAGGAGGACAACAACAACAGGGAGGACAGGACAATGGGTTAGAAGAAAGCTATTGCACATTGAAAATCCACACCAACGTCGACCAATTCGGCGAGGCCGACGTTTACACGAGGCAGGCCGGAAGGCTGACCGTGGTTGACAGGCACAAATTGCCATTCCTGAACTACATGGACATGAGTTTGGAGAAAGGACAGCTTCACCCAAATGCACTGATCAGCCCACATTGGACAAAAACAGGGCATTCCATCATTTACGTCGTCCGGGGAGATGCTCAGGTGGAAACCGTGAATTACAATGGCCAAGCCATCATGAATGACCGGGTGAACCAGGGCGATATGTTTGTTGTTCCTCAGTTCTTCGTGTCGACTTTCAGGGCAGGGCAGAACGGGTTCGAGTGGGTCGCCATCAAAACAACGGGTAACCCGAAATTGAACCCGGTTTCGGGTTACACATCCACTATCAGGGCCCTGCCTCTTGATGTCCTCACCCATTCTTATCAGATTTCTCCGGCCGATGCTCAGCAGCTGAAGCTCAACAGCGGTGGCCACTCCATTCTCTTGCCTTCTTCCCAGAGTCGACAGGGACCCTATTAGTAATTATAGGGACTGTTTTTCATTGTCGATGTTTGTAATAATTATGTCAAAAATAAGAGAGAAATTATGAATGAGAGAGCCTTTGATTACTCTTCTGTTTCAGTGTCTCTTAACTTCTTTGTTTGTGACTATTATGTTGTAAGCATTTCTTAATAAAAAGGAGATGAGAGTTTGTAACTATTCTCCTAATTCAATGACAAACTTGCAAGCAAGTTTAGAAGGGTCAAATCCAAGTGGATAACAATGTCAGTGGACTATGATGCAAGAGATTGACCATTTTGTTAAAAGGACTTCCTTGATCAGATGATATTTAGAGAGAAAAAAGCAGCTTACGCATTGGTAAATCGGTTGGTTTCAACTGTTTAAGAGCTTTGATGCATGTTAGAAAGCCAATTCACACACTCAGATATGATCAAAAAAAAAAAAAAAAAACAATCCAATTCAGCATTGGAGTATCAAATAGTTAAATGGGGATTTAACAAAGCTACCCCCATCTTAGCCATTACATTCATATTTAATCCTCCGTAGTCAAAAAGAAAGGATAAGATTAGAATCCAATTGCCTCGGCTGAAGGATTAAAAATGAAAAAATAATTTCATTTTTATTGTAATAATGTTACAGCTCAGAATTGAGAGAACACTTGAATAGCATACTCGATCAAAAATGCTGCGGAAATACAGTCAACCTATAAATGAACTCCCTATTCCCGTCATCAAAGGGTTTTCCGCTCCCTAAAACATGCCTACCCTGGCAAACAAGCTTCGACCGCGACATAAGGTTTGCCACCGGAATCAATGCAAGGCCATCAAATAAGGGCCTGCACACCAAACTGTTGCATTTCTCTAAGCCTCCATACTGGGTGTAAGGCATCCTCTCCAAGTTCCTCCACCGGTATTTGCTGCAATGCCCAGTGATAAAACACGGTTTTGATTGTATCCTGATTTGTCAACACAACACATGAACTCATCAACAAATGCAATGAACTATTCACTCGCATCTACCACAACTAAAGCCAATGACAGTTGCAGAATTCAGCATCCTAAAACTACACAAAATTACCCAGAACCCCTACCTTTCCTCCTTCTCTAATTTCCCCATGTCTGTCACGTACACAATGAACCTCTTGTGTTCGGAACTGCATAGTAACCAAACTAATAACATCAGCATTTACTATGAGCAGAAGTGAAAATATACAGGATGAATTTGAAACAACAGTCTACTTCACTGTCACTTTTGCGAAAAACTGAAAACAGGAACCATCAAAAGAAGGGAAAGGAAAAGTTCGTACTCCCACTATTATTATAGGAGTGTCTCCCATCAGTTTCACCTCCCTTACATCCACCTCCGATATATGCAAAATCTGCGAAAATATAAAGTAAACCAGTTAAGAGCCTTTAACTTTCAAAGGAGATAAAATAATACAAATATGAAATTCAAAGAATGAACAGAAGGGAAGGCCCAATATCAGTTTTCCAAAACAGTTGCACAAACATGACTTGAAGTCAATAGTGGAAGTTATTTCTCTACCTTGTGCTCAATAAATAAATCCTGGCTTTGAAAAGCTCGATGCTCGGCCTTGCACCGCTCAATCAGTTCAGGTGTACAATAAATATTTAGAGTTTCAGCATCAGCCTGTAAATGAATGCAACAGAATATAAACACATTTGTGACATTATAAGCATTACAAAGGAGCCGGGAAGTTCACATTTTTCTCCCCTCTTCCTTTAGTCAGGAAATGGGAATAACCTCACCTTGAAATAAGCATTTAGAACTGGTCTAACCCAATCTTCCACATCCGCAACGAATTCTGGCAGACTAAAATTCCTGCATAATCATTTTCAAATTCCTTTGAGAAAGAGAAAGGAAGCGAGAAAAAAAGGGAAAGAGGGAGGGGGCAGGGGTAGAAGAATAAGAAAATAAATGACACAGGAAAATTTCATACGGATCTCGTATTTTTATTTCCTTCGTTGATGTTGCAACATCTGTTTCTCCAAATACTGTGTCCGAAAGACTGCCACATTAAGTAGGTAACATTAACACTCTAAACACCAAGTGCAACAATGCCAACAAGAAACAAGGATAGAGAACAGTACTACAGCGTACTTCTGAATTTTGTGGACAACAGGACTGTCAGAGGTCTCGTACCAGTCCCTCACATTTTCTGCAATCTGATACCACAATATATGAGGTCCAATCACAATTTGGAAATGCAGTAAAGAGCAAATTTTATACCTCAACAAACTAAAACTATTGATCTAAAGGTACATGGCATTCATTTTGATTCTCATAAAGAATAATCTTGGATTTAACTAGTCTCGCGACTGATAGTCAAATCATAATAACACCAATTGAAATGCCTCTACAACATACATTTAATCATTCAGAGGTTAGATGGCCTACATTCTTTATCAGTTATCTCTACGAATCCATTATGACCAGTAATTAGGAATGAAAAGAAGGTAACCATCTCCTAAACGTCATCTACCACCCATGGCTCCGAACGAGTACATAAACATATATAACCAAGAAATCATCATGTAGTAAAATGCAACTGAGAAAAATTTATAGTCCAAGTAACTAACCTCCTCGGCTGGTTCACTTAACCCTTTAGCTTTCCTATATATTGAAGAACCACGCAACTGATACAGAAGCAAGTCAAATACATCAAAAATCATAAATGAGAAGCAACCACTTCAAATATAAGCAATTCGAAAAAGTATACCTTATCCATAATATCATCCAATTTTTGCTCCAATTTTGATTTGGGTACGACCACAATATCGGTCCTACTGCTTTTTTCGACTTTAACTGAAGATTTGGCATTCGGGTTGCTACTATTGAGGTGCCTTCTTTTACTTGTCTTGCCTGTCAACTCATCCTTTACAATGTCATAACCCTTCTTCACAATGCCAATGGGCTTTGCTTCCTTTACTTTCTGAAATGCCATAGATGCTCCGAGCTTGATCTTCCCGAAAAAGCTTTCTGCCTGATCACCAGGCCCAGATTGCTGATGCTGCTCTTGCGTTTTTCCTTCTGCAAATGTTGATTCAGCTCCACTCTTCTCAGAAGCTCCAGTAGATCCAGAAGACTCTTGTTTTGAAAATCCAAAAGAATCCTTCACCTAAATGACAACATTGACAATACTCAAATGTCATGCTTTCACATATATTACCAATCTCTGAAGTGCAGAAGATTACAAAACCTCAGTTTTAGCCGCAGAAATCTTCTCCTCAACATCAGAAATAACCTACATAAAATAAAAGAGAAGGTCCAGTAAATATTACATACATAACGATGATACTGAATTCCAAGATTTTGCCCGTGAAACAATGGTGACCAGATGCAAACACAGCAGAGTTGATTCAAGAAGGCCAGGCCAAGGCAAGCACTCTACTCCCCAACAAAATCACTACCTGGAAGAGCATGTTCATGTCTACCGTGGAAAAAGTAAATTGTATACCTTTTTTGCCGTAGAACCAGCCTCCTCCCGAACACCATCCACAATCTTGTACAGCTGCTCAGTTGACTGCTTCGTTCTGCAGCCATTTCACCATCTCAGGATCTTCAGTCAAAGATCTGCCAGCCTTGACATACAACAGTATGTCTCAGCCTTTAAAAGGAAATAAACAACTCTAAAACCAAAAGCAACTAGTTGTTTACAGCATTACCTAGCTTCCAGATCTTCTTTAACTCCCTTTAACCTCTCGGCTTTCTGTTTCCAATCCTCTTTCAATTCATCTACTGACTTTTTTAATTCTTTATTTCTGATGCACAAGATGAAGGGGGAGTGAAAAGTCAAAAAGAGTGAACAGGACTTTTGAGTGGCATTCAACACCTTGAATGGGAAAAAGAAGGAAACTTTAACATTGCAAGGTCTCCAACTAACTTTACTAACCAAATTCAGGGAAAATGAATAACTGGTGAAAAGGTGAAAACAAGGAAATTGTCTCCTTTGGTGGAATTAAACACAATAACAAGAACAGAGGCAACTTCATAAAAACCAAATCTTGCTCGCTACAGAAAAGGGTGAAAACTAACAATCAACTCTCAAACAGATACTCAACAAGAAAACATAGCAAAAATATAAGAAAGGATACATATAAGGTCATATATTAGCACCCAGAACAAACTATTATAACCAACCCCCCACCCAAAAAAAAAAAAAAAAAAAAAAAAACCTAACAACCAAGCAAAAAAACTTTAAACAACAAAGACAATACTCAGAGTGCTGTGCATGAACTGAAAATGAGTATGTTTAGGCAAAAGGGACAAGCCTCTCCTCCCATTCACTCGGACTCGGACTTATGCCAAAATTAACTAACCAAGTTTTCATCTTATTCAAGTCAGCCAGACACCTGTGCAGTTTCCTTTTTTTTTTTCTCCTTTCCTAAACATGAGTAGATCAAGACGACAACACAATGAACGACTGCAACTGCTATGAACTCAACAAAAACCAGCTCCACCATAAAACACAATCAAATTGATTACCCATTAAAATTAAAATGGTATGCCTAGCTCTCTCAAACCAAATTCACCAAACGAAACCGAAAAGCTTCAAACTTTAAACAACGCAACGCATCATATTAAACAAACAGCAATCTAGGGAAACAAAAAGAAATTGAAACATGGCATTACCTATCAAGTTCGCCCTTGATTTTATTAGAGATGTCATTAAGAACGCCAAATTGACGCCTACTGACAAACGCATTCGGCCCGGACAACCTAAAGTTTGCAGCTCCCACAGAAGCCTAAACCACAAAAGTTACAGAACAATCAATTGATGAAGAGTAATCAGCAAAAACACACATATTAGCCAAACTAAAAAACAAAAAAAAATAATTAAAAAAAGGGTTCTGATTCAAGTACCCTGTGGGATAATAATAGCTGCCGAATTAGAGGCTGACGGGCGATTAATAAATCCCGGACCAGTTTTCTGGCAGCCATTAGAGAAGGTTTTTCCCTCTGAAGTTTCTGTCTTGAACGTAGGTTTTCTGGGTTTTACTTTATTTTCCGCTAATACATAAACCCCCCGGATCTTTTTTATGCCTAAGAAATATTTCTTTCTTTTCTTTCTTTGATATAAAGAAATTAGAAAATAAATACGTTGGAAAGTCCCTTGTCCAAGGAGGAAGCCATATCCTCCTAATTCATAATTTTATTTTATTTTTTTTATTATGAATTTATTTATCATAATATCAAATTTCCGAGTTTTGACTTTTCAATCATTGTAAGTTTGTAACAACCAAATATCCTTTTCCCATTCTGTTTGTTTTTTTTAATGAAGTATTCTCTTGTGTTATTATTTTATAATAAAGGGTTAATGTTAAAAACATCCCTGAGATTTTCTTGATTTTTTCAAAATATCTTCAGGTAAACATCCTTTGATTATCAAGTAAATCATCAAAAAGCCTTTCTAGCGATCGAAAATTGATGTATCCAAATGAATTTTAGTAAAAAAACAAAAAGAAGACAAAAAGTGTTTGTACTTTGGGCCTGAATCGAAGCCGAAATGAATTTTATTAAAGTGTTCATTAAATTCGTAACATGTAGTGATTTATAATCTTAATATAAGGGTAATGTATATACACTGGTTGCATTCCCATTATATAAAAAGAAAAACTTATTCCTCTGTTTCAAAAATAATTATTCAATTTGTTCTTTATTTTTATTGTAATTTGTACCAGAAATAAAATTCCAAATCGAATAATCAATCATTCGGATCAGATAAAATACAAATATTTTGTAATTTAGAAAATAATAATGATGATGAAAATAACACCACAATAATAATTCACATTTCACAATGGATACAGGTTATATCCATCTTACGGTTGCGCATTTCTTCAAGCCCAGAAAGCCCACCAGACTACTAAAACCAAATGTAACCGAACTACAAATGAAGCTGATTACAGGCCAGATTAGCTTCTCTAAACCGTTGGGCCTGAATCGAAGCCGCTTCTTTAGAGACCAGAGCCTGAATAACCATCGTCTTAATCTCCCAAGCAGAGTAAGGATATCCTTTCCGGGCGTAGGAGTTCAACAGCGCCGCCGTAGATTCCTTCACCAGTCCGGCGAAAACGTTGCCGGAATCGTCATCGTTTCTCGAAGTCGCCTCTAAAAGGGTCAGATCGAATCTGTACCTCTCGAAAGCTCTGGAACCAAAAACGTTAGACACTGTTGACATCTGAGGGACCATCTTCGGCCATGACTCTGTTCTGCTACTCCAATACCTACCAAACAAACAATTCATAAAAAAAAAAAAAGAGGCTAAAATCACTTCAAACAAAGAAGACCCTTTACTTGATTTGTCAAATTTAGATGGTTTATCATTAAATTAATATACGAGGAAAAGTGAGCTATAACTTACTGAGGAGTGCATTTTCCTCTGGCTCTGGTGTACACAAATCCGGGTCTTCTGAGTTTCTGGTGCTGTAAAACAGCTGCCTGGGATGATGATAATGAACAAACAAGAATGAAAAGAAGCTGGGAAATAATGGAGACCATTGTTATTTCAGGAGTAAAATCACTGACAACAAAACTAACTAAATATTAAGAGGCTTTGTTTCTGAGATTAATCAATGAAAACCGAAGTAATGGGGTTCATTTGGTGTGATTAATTTTGGGTTTTGGATCTGAGAAAAGATAGATAAATGTGGTGTGGGTTGGTGTGGTTGACATAAGCTTTTTATTACTTGCAACGGGAAGGGAACAGAGGCGACCGGCACTAATATGAGAGAGAGCACGTTGAGCTCAAAGCTTTATTCTTTCTGGAAAATGGTGCAAATCTTATTTCAATGTCAGATGCTTTGTCCTGTTTTCCTTGGAACTGTCACTTTCCTTGTGTTTAAAGGACTTTTCTATCCTTGACTAGCATGCATAGCAGTAACAGTATTGAGTTACGTACATTTCAAACATTTGAAGGGTAATACAGTCTGCACGGTAATAATTGTGTCAGATTCCCATGTTTGCATCTGCTTACTAGTACAGTAGAACTTCATATAGTGTCACTTGTGCTGGGCCATTCTTATTCTATGATTATTCCATCAACAAGCTATCAGTTGGATTAGTATTTAAGTATTTAGTTCAAATGTAATTCAAATTCACGATTCATGATGATCAAACGGTTAGCTATTGGGCCATTCTTCTCTGCAATTTTTGCTCAAATTTCAACTTTTCATTTGCCGGTTTCAAACCACACAAATTATGAATCAAGTACAGAAGTAAGTCCATTGTGCAATAGTACAACATCCGAAACATAAGAGGGTAGCTCTGTTTTCGTTTTATTCTGTAGATATTATAATCTTTTTCAAAAGAATTTACTGGAACATTTGGTGCGAATTTTATTCCCCCCACAACCAAAAAAAACTACAACTTGGATCCGGTTAATTACTCATTATTCATCGACATCACAGTCGATCAAAACACAAATGCCAAGATTACATTTTTTTTTTCCTTGTAAGTAATTGGCTTATTAGTATCCTCCTCCGGACCTGGAACCAGGGCTCAAGATCAGAGTCTCGTCCCTGTTATACTTGAGCTGTAGAGCCTGCTCCTCTGAAATCTGTAGAGAGTTGGCCAGAACCGACACCGGCAATCCCCTGAAAGTGGAGGTCCGGCCGACGATGGAGTTGATCATGGCATTGTCATTTGTGTTAAATCCAACCCATTCAAATCCTTGGTTTCCAGCCTGCTTCACAACTGCAAAATTCTGTGGCACAACAACCACCTGTCCTTGCCTGAGCTGTTCATCAAACACTGTTTGGCCTCTGTGGTTCACTATTTGAATCCTGGCTTCACCCCTGACACCATAGATTATGCCATTTGCATTCACATACCAATGTGGTGCGAAAATTGCATTCTGCAAAAAAAAACAACATCATCAATGTCATGAAGGCCTCAATTTTTTCAAACACAAAAAGGAAAAGGAAGGGCTTTTTTAATTAATTAAATTAAATTACCCTGTGGAGGACACCCTTTTCAGCACTGAGTTGGAAGAACTTGAGAATGGGGAAAGTGAAGCTGTTGACGGTGGTGAATCGTCCGGCACGCGGGCTATAGATATCGGCACGGGAAGGGTTGTCAATGTTCTCTCTGAATCGGGCGGTGCAAACGGTTTCTTCCTGTCCATTTGAATCTTGTTGTTGTCCACCGTATTGCTGTTGTTGTTCTTGCTGTTGTTCTTGCCTAATTGGTGGCCTGAGGACTTGTAAACCTTCTCGGATCTGAATGATGTGGCCTCTCTCGTCGTTCTCACTCTGTAGCTGTCTTGCGGTTTCTGGGTTCACCTTGAATGCTTCTGCCAATGTCTCCACATCAAATCCCTTGAAAATGTTGCCCCATCCTCTTTGTCCGAATACTTGTTGCTCTCCTTGTCCTCCAGGCCTCTGTTGCTGCTGCCCTTGTCCTCCATGTCTCTGTTGCTGCTGTTGTTGTCCCTGTCCTTGCTGCTGTTGCTGTCCTCTGGGCAGGTTTCCGGCGAGGAAGAATCTCTGTGAAAAAAAAACCCCGGCCAAAATGTCAGGATTTCAAGATACTAATTGGTGATTGGATAAATATATAGTATGAAAAGCAGATGGTTGATGTTGGACCCTGGGATTGGTGTCGAGTTGGTTAATGTTGTTGGTTGTGTCTTCCAGCACAATCAGAACGAGTTCTTCGTCGCCGTGATTGTAGACCCAATGAGCAGCGGCGGCGGGGATTGCCAAGATATCGCCCTGTCCGAAGTTATGAATCCGCTGATGACGGTCATGGAACCTCTGGCTCTGGCTCTGCCCTCCTTGGCCTTGTTGTTGGCCTTGTTGGCCTCTTTGTCCTTGTTGCTGTTGTTGTCCACCAAATTCAGATTGAGATGACTGGAATGTCTCAGGGCAGCCAGGAATCATTAGGCCAAAAAACCCCCTACCTGTATCATCATGATCAAGTATTATTTATTTATTCATCTGAATTTTTACAGGAAAAAATTTAGGGAAGAAAAAAAAAAAAAAACTAAGTAATTAATGAACCTCTTTCGGTGTAGACAAGAAGAGGAACATTAGTGTAGGAAGGCAACATGAATCCTTTGGGTTGAATGACGTGACGGATCAAGGAAACTCCGGCACACTGGAATTGCTGATCCCGGTGATTCCAGAACTGAGTCAATCCACCTTCAGCTCGGATTTCCTGACTGGGTTCGAGTGGGTTCATCCTCTGGAATTGGCATTGCCCTTGTTGTGATTGTTCCCCATACTGCTGAGAAACACAGCCATGGAATAAGCAAAGAAAACTCAACAAAACAGAGAAGATGGCTTGCCTGGAAGCCATGGCAGTAAAGGCAAAAACTAAAATAACGTTTTGGCTGAGAAGATGAGAAAGGGGAAATCTGAGTGATGAAAAATTGGTGGTGAGATTGTGGGTTACTTATAGCAGAAAGAGGTGAGTTAAGGGATTGACACATATGCGGCGAGTCGTGAGAAATGTTGCCATCTTGCGCCATTGCATGCACAGGACTCCTTCATGGCTTACACCTAATCTGGTTTAGTTTTTCTGAGGTGAAATGTCTGTTTTTTTTCTTTAATCTGAGGTTTCAATGCATGAAGACGTCTTCTTGTGCTGTAGGGGTGTTTTGTTATTATTTCTGTAGAAAGATCATCATCATCATCTCTTGCTGGTTCGGTGCCTAGCGGTGGCGGATCGTCACGTTTTGTGTTCTTTATATTAACAAATATAATCCACACCAGCTCATCGTTTCAACTAATCTAGAGGGGATGATAAATGTTTAAAGCAATAATTAAATTGTTGATAAACTTCAATTTCATCTGATTTAAGTATAACTTTCTTGTTTAATGTGATTGAATAATAAGCATGACAATTATTTTTGGAACGGAGATAAAAAGAGTTATTGTCGTGTAAGATTATAACTATCTTTAGTGGGCAAGCTTTTTTTTTTTTTTTTTTTGGTTGGGGATAAACAAAAGGGGCAATGCTCCATAAATCTTACTTCAAATTTAGATTACAAGCATAAGTTTAACCTTCTTTTTCTTGTCAAATTTTTTTTCCTTCCTCTGTACAAGCAATTAATTTGAAATAAAATGTCACGCTCCTTCTATCTTAAAACGGTTATCCAAATAGTTATTTTACTGACTATATTTTGTGCCGATGGCGTAGATGTCATTTTATTTTGAAGGGCCTTGTTCAAGCTGTTGTTTCAATATAGTATTTTGCACCAAATGTCTATTTGATATTACCTTCAACTTGGTTCACTTTTGAGATGGAAAGTTTGCCTAAACAGAAAGGCAGCTACAAAGGCCTCAACATATAAACTACAAAAGGATAGATAAAGTCTTATACATATTGTATTGGATAAACCATTCAAATCAACTTTCTTTTCTTCACCATTGAACGTCCTGAGATTTTGCATTGCTGAGCTTTCAGTCACGAGAAAGAAAACATCATTCCAGTACTGTTTGTATAAGATGAGATTAGCTGCAAATTGCGACTTTAGCAGTAACTTTTTTTTTTGTTTTCTGTTCACTATACATATATATATTCACAAGCAAGAAGATGTGATCACTCTCTCATTTGGTGATCATGTACACAGGCACATAGGGCTTACTACTATACCTATAAAACACTTTCCTCCTCTTGAATGTTCCGTTCCCGATCGTAATCACTATGTTCCCTGGTTCTCTGATGTAAAACGAATTCCTCACTGCTTTCCCAATCCTCTTCTCCTTTTCAAGCAACACAGTGTAAGAGCAATCATCCAATGGAATGAACTCTGCCTGGTAAGTCACCTCATTTCCAACAATGGCCACATCCCATGTTACAGTCCTCTCCACCTCATTAGCTGGAATCTTTATTTGATCAACTGTATTTGCTCTGACATTTGATTCTATTACTTTGTCAAGTGCCGAAAACTCGAGGTCATTTTCCCTTTTCAGACCACCGAATTGAGCCAGCAAGTTCTCCGGATTCACGTACCTGCAGATTCAGCACATCATTAATGGAGGTGATCATATATACACACACTGTACAAAAATGTCAGCTGACAGAAAAATGTAGATACTTACTTGAGGAGAGTCTTTGTAACTTTTGCAGACCTGACAAAGATGAGCTTGTTTTTACTCTTTGCTGTAATTTGTCTCAGGTTTATAGCGTTGACAGCAATGTTCCAGAGTGGAACATTCGCAATAACCTGCAAAAATTTGACAAACAAGGGAACAATTATTAAACTACGCACTGGATACTTGCCTAATTTAAGGATTAGGTTTGGGAAGAAAGAAAAAAATTCATAGTTCTGGTTACATTCTTGTGGAGGATTCCAGGGTAATTATCACGAAACAAGTTTAGCATTTTTCTGCAGATCCATCTAAGCTCCCCCATGCTCTGCACTGGGGAATTCTTAAAATCCGTAACCTGAAAGAAACAAGTTGCTCCACCCGGACCGAAATCGAGTTCCCGGATCGCCTTTTCGATACACTGGATCCTCCATCTTAAGAACTCTTCCAGTTTCCCATCTGCCCTGAAAAGCTTCCTTTTCAATTCCTTGTTTTGAAGGTCCCTGAAAGAAAGATAACACAAGGGGCGGCCTTCCTTGTCGGCGCCATTAATACGCCACATGTTTCCAAATTCAGGGCACATTTTCTCATTAAGAATCCCATCAACTTTAAAATCCTTCCTCCATTTCATCATCTTGCAGAGCAGAGAGAAAGCATCAGGCACTTTGTAATCCTTAGCTTTCAAGAATTTCATCAGGACAACGTCCGTTCCGGGATGCCCTTTACTTGGTAACAGGGGAACTCCCCACAGGGTGATTTCCTGCAGATTCTCTTTCTTCCTGGCAGCATTCCCTCTGATGCCCCCATAAATGTAGTTGCCCAAAATTGCATCTTCAACTTTGCACCTAAATTCAAGCAACGATTTCTGACTTGAGATCTTCGTTTCCTTCCTAGTGGGTTCACGGGTTTCCTGACCATCAGGTGAAGGCAGTCCGGGTTCGGAGGTTTCGTGTTCGGATTCGGAATCATTTAGGCTGATAGAAGAATCCCCCCCGGCTATGGCCATGGAAGGAACCCTTTCTTCCTCAGGCATCCTGAGGCGGCCTGATGCTGCCGGCCAAGGGTCCCGCCGGCAGGAGAAAGCAGTTTTGGAGCCGTGGTTAGCTCAGAAAGAAATGGTGGAAGAAGGTAGAAAGGATGGGACATGGAAGGAAGAAAATGGTGGAAGAGGAATTATCAAAGAAGACAATTTTGAGGTCAATCACACAAAGCATCCGCAACTATAGGCGCCGTTACGCTGTTTCAAAAGGAAAATAATACTACATAAATAACTCACCCCAACGGTTGATTTCCGTTATGGTGTAAAACGGAAACATCTTTTAGTCTAAAATAGAATTTTTGGTAACACATAAGGTAACAGTAGAAGGGAGGAATCATTTTTTTTTTTTTTTGTTACGGCTAAACGCCTTGAATCACACTAAGACATTTTTAGGGTAACCTAACCCAATTACATCATGATACAACCAAGGTTTAACTCCCGTTGGTGGATCATTATACCATTGCAACCCTCCCGGCCCTTGTGATGCCAATAAAGCCAAATAATCAGTTACAAAATTTGCCTCTCGAAAGATATGCTTTATCCTAGCACCGAAGGGAGGAATCATTTGCCATCAGTTGAAACAAACTTCCACGTCATTCCCCTAGCATTCCGTCTACAAAAGGAAACAATGGGAAATGATGGAGATTTTCTATAATTGCCCGAGATTTGAATAGAGATGCTCTGGTAGTTTTGATTTGAACAAAAAATATTCATGGTGTAATAATGCCTATGTATGAGGAGGAGAGGTAGCTTTTCTTCCAACGCAATCTGAAAATTGTTGCCTCGAGTAAAGGTTAAACACAGAAAAGAGAGAATCAAAAGCGCAAAAGGGTAACACAATAACTAGTGGAGAAAGTAACATAAAGGTCTCGAAATCAAAAGTAGCGTAGGGTTGAGATAGGTCATAGGTTGATTGTTGCGAAGAGCCCTCTTAATAATAAAGGCCAGTTCCATAAGAAAAATGGGGGTGTGGTATAAAAGACGACGAAACAGAACTACAGACTACAAGGACGCTGGAAGCAAACCGTACAATCAATCAGTCTTTTGGTAAAATGGAAGTGTTAAACGAGTGAGTATAGTATACTACCACTAATTTACACTGGCTCCCATATGGACAAGAATTTACTTTACAATATTGCAGTTGCTTCTCTAGCTTCAGCTTCCTCCTGTCTACCCTGAACGTCTCTATCCTTCCTCAATTACAATTTCATAACATGTATATACACCACACTAGAACAACCTGGGATCAGCTGCGCTTTGAAGCAAATGTCTCTTAGGATTCCCGGTATTTTGTCAGATCAAACGTCAACGTCCTTGAGCAGCTGCAAGGGTGGTATTTGCGTTAAGAATTTGAATTAACTATAAAAATTAAAAAAATAAAAACAAAAACCTAAAATTACAACTACTAATACTATACAAGGATTCTCACCTTCTGTCAGAATCCCGGTAGACTCCAACCAAGGCTTCAGCCTTGTCGTAAAAGCTGTCCTTCAGTGAAATCACTATGCTCTGGAATCCACTTCCTCCATCAGCATCCACATCCGTCCTGGCTCCTCCACAAGACTTTGATCGGATAAATCCTGCAACCTTGGCTACATTCAGATTGTCTAATGCAGCATCTACTTCGTCCAATATGAAAAATGGAGAGGCTTTATAACTGAAAATTTCAAAATAACAAAACAGGACAGTCAGCAACTCCTGGTTAAAAAGAGTAAAGAGGACTTGAGGCTAAACAAGCAGCACATTCCTATCATACAGAGTACTGCAAGAGTCCAAAACATGCTTTCAGAAGATACTGAATTTTACTTATAAGTAACAAAAAAACGGATTTCAAGAAATATCGAAGAAATCAAAACTCAAGTGAATGAGGTACACAGTTTAGAGGATATCAAACTCTACCTGTGGATGGAGAAAAGCAATGCAAGGGCAGCAACAGTTTTTTCTCCTCCCGATAGTTGCTCCATATCACGAAAGCGTTTTGTGGGGGGCATAGCTGTATACTTGATTCCATGTAAAAATGGCTCGTCCTCATTATCTAGATTCAAGTATGCAGTCCCACCAAGAGGGTGAGTAGTGCTCTTCGTAAGTTGCTTGTAGATTTTATCAATAATTCGAGAGATGTGGTTGAAAGCCTCCATGAATCTTTCATACCTGAAAATCAAGTTATGGATGCAGGTACTTTTGGAAGACTAGAAATGACAGAGTCATGGTAGCAGATGAAAAAGCAAATGTTACCCAAAGCCAGAGCAGTAGTGAGGTGTTTATTATTCCTTGGTAAATTATAAAAAAGATGCATTAAATATCATCCCAACTGCAAAGCGAGGTGGGAGGAAGAAAAAGTCTACCACACAGGAAGCGTGATAATATGATGTGACCATTCAAAAAACAGTATACAGAAGAACGATACCTGGACTGCTTCACATTATTGAACTCTTTAGCCACTTTAATTTCTGCTTGCCTTGCCTCTTCAAATTCTTTAACTATGACCCTTTCCTTCTCTTTAAGAGCCTCATATTGATCAAGTGCCTTCAGATTTGGCGCTGTTCTATCAATTTCTGCCATTAAGGCAGCAATTTTATTTGTGAATTCTGCCTCCAACTTGTCCCGCTCTGACGATGTCATACTCTGCTGATGAGATCTACTAAGTTTACCAAAATCAAAAGCTGGACCGGGCGTTGCTCCCTCAGTGTCCATATGTTCAGATATTGTTGGAATGCTTATATGCTCCAACTCACATTTCTCCAGTATCTCTTGCTTCAGTGAATTTAGCTGCTCAATTTGTGCTTCCTGCAAATTATTTCATTCCATTTGGTTAGCGCCTTACAACTGAATGACATCTTTTTGTCATTTTCGTAGAAATTGGTACAGACAGTTCATATCTACACTCATACAGCATGTACTGGAAAGAGCCACAAACCTTGGCCTTTATTTGACGATTAATTTTGCTTATGTTGGTAGTAGCAGCGGATATCTTTTTCTTCCACTCCTGCACCTCCTTTTCACACTCTTCAGATTTGGATTTTTTTTCTGCAAACAAACAAAATGTTTGTTCTTAATTTACTTTTAAAGCAGCAATTCAAATGTAATGTTATGTTAAGTGTAGAAGAAAATCAAATCATTTGCAACTTCCAAAGATGGTTACACAATTTAGTAGGCATCTCAAATTTTCAAAAATGTACTCGGATGAGAACACTGATCCGCGATTAACCTCCTTTTCCCTATTTCGAAAATAACCTCCTATTCCAAGCATAATAAGTTTCTATAAACCTAGATGCATTTAGACAAAGTAATGTCCTTAAACTTTGAGAACTTGCCCGAATTAAAGTGCTTATAACATTGCTTATTAGCATATGAAGTAAACAGGGAAAGTAATTTAAGAAATCTTAAAAAATATTACTAATGCAATTATGATGATATTAGGAAATTGAAGGATATTGTGCCCTCCCTGATTATCTTCAATATAGAAACTCCTCACTACATACCTTGTGCTTTTTCCTTTAGTTCATCAATTTCGTCATTAGATTTTTCCACAGTGGACTTCAATTTAATCTCGCTTTCCTCAACCTGCTTCAATGAAGTTCGCAAGTTACTTAATGTTGATTCCAATTTGGAAATTCTTGACTGTATATCCAAGTCACGCTTCTGCTCATACTCCAGCCTGGAGACATGTATGACAACCAAAGTGATAAGAAACATTGGAAATCCAATGCAATGGAGACAAGGTGACAAACAATTGCAAACAAAATTGGCACTTATACAGAAGAAGCTCTGTTTAACCAGCAAACAGAGTGAAATTTTGGACAGGGAAGCTTTACATGAGAAAACCACTGCAAGGTAATCATGCTAAGACAAACAACGAGGTAAACTAATCTGATGTATAAGCACCAATTGAAATAATAAACGAGAATTCCTCTAATTCATTCAAATAAATAAAACCCACTAAACTTGTCTAACTAAAAAGAAAAGATGCCACGCCGCAGATATTGTAAGACAACATCCATAATTCAATAATCTATCAGTAAGTATGATTGGAAGTGAAGTCTAGACACCTCTAACAACATGCAAAATAACATGTAACAAATGAAGTATCAATCACATACTGGTATTTAATCTTTGATTGCTGATTTAGCAAGCTAAGCTTTTGCTCAGCCATTAACTGAACGGCCTTGAGCTGGTTTTCTTCATACTCACGTATGTTCTTCACCCCAACAGACTCACTAAATTTCTTGTAGATCCGATCAACAATATCATTAATCTTCTTCTCCAGTGATACAATTTTTGAATTCCTAGTGCTAATGATATTTTCCAACTGCAGAAAGTAAAACCACACAATTAGCCACTGACAGCAAAATTCAGAAATGAACAGGAGTTCAAAATGTGAGTACCTTCTGAAGTTCAGGTTTAACCCGACTGATCTCATCATCAATGTTTCCTATCTCTGTCTCCAGCTTGGAGAGCTTGTCCTCAATGCTTTTCTGTAAGAGATACATGGCAATGACGAAATAAGCAACATACCCCCAACTAACAAAAAACACAAGCTTTACATTTCAAACTTAAAAGTAAAGACCCTTTCCAAAACTAACAAAATGAAAATCAGAAAATTATTTCTCTTCTCCATCTATAGCTGGCCCAACTTGCTATACCCTGTTAAAAAACCTTACAAGGAAAAGTGTGAAAGGAGTTCGAAGATTTTTTATTATTATTATTATTTTTATTTTTTTTTGAAAAGGGAGTTCGAAGAATTGCTCTGGATACTCTTACTGTTCTATCATGTCAAAGCTTAAAAAATCATCATCATCCTTGTGCAGCCAACGGCAGTCAAAAAGTTCAGTCCAGCACTAAAACAATGAGGATTACAATTCAAGAAAGAAACTTCCATCACAGAATTGATTTCTTTTATTATACAACTCGCGCCTATGAGGCAATTAAGTCCGCCTTTTCACGCACAGACCAATGTAAGGCAACAAAATAAAAGCTGAAAACCATTTAATCATGGAACTCCAAGCTAAGTGTCCCTTTCCTTTACTTCGAGAACGATCACTACATGCTTATTAATGACTACATAGTAAATGTGCTCAATAAGATTGAAGATGGTCACTTCTCATTCCATGTGAACCGACTCAATGCCAAAGTTTATCACCAAGAAATTAAATGTATTTATACCTTCTCTATTTCAGCATATTGATTCTTCTTTTCAAGTCCACTTATTTTGCCAGAAGCTTCAGATTCCCTAAGCTGCATCTCTCTTATTGACCCAAGTTCTTCCATTTCCTTCTCGAAACCTTCTTTTTGCTTTTTTAATCCTGCACAAAACCACAAAAAAAGCGCAATTAAGTCACAGAAACCAAATTAGTAAAATGTAAAAATAAATAATAAATAAAAAAGAAGTTACTTAGCAGCTAAACTGACGTTCAATTTCTTTGTCATCCCATTTATTTGAGCGTGCTTCCATTCCTCCACTTGTACCACCAGTCATTGTTCCAGATTTTGTCAGCAGGATTCCCTCAGTAGTGACAACTACATTCACGTAAGCAACATCAGAAGAAATTTAGCTAAAATAAAGAAAAAAAAACAGAAGTAAAATGAGGTTACCTTTGTGCCTCTCTCCAGTCCAACTGAGACGCTTAGCTTCATTCAAATCATCACATACTAAGGTATTCCCCACAGCAAACAATATAGCCCTTTCTAGCACTGGATCAAACTTGTAATGGTTAAGAAAAAACATAAATGGGCTCAGAGACAAACCTCATAATGAAATTACAGAAGGATGAAAATTTTAAAAATCAAGCATTCTTTTCCTCTTTCGCAAGAATATGTGGAACAGGTTACAGGAAACGTAAGACTCAATCAAATTGCTGTACTTTTCTCTCTTCTTTCCTGTCAAAATTGACAATAACACCAGTCTTCATGTTTCTTGTTTCCTCCTTTTTCCTTTTTTTTTTTTTTCCCTTTTAAGATACTGGAGAAGCTGTGAATCTGTCAAAATTACTTGAGATATACAACAACAACAACAACAACAACAACAAGCCTTTTACTCGAGATATACACCATCACCAAATTGTTCAAAGTGAAATACCTCATCACCAAGACACCAGAACCAAAATAAAACCTTTACTAAACTGCAATGGAAGCCCCCAATATGTCTTAACTGTAGTAAGTACAACAAACAAATACATAAGATGAGTAACAAATATATCACATTGATGGAGAAAGTTCATATACAAAAATACGGCAAGGAAATAAAAGTTGTTGAAAGGATATTGTATGACATCAAAAATCAGCTTTGATGTTCCACCTAAATTGCGCAACCTCTCAATAACTGGCTTCACACGAACAGACTTAAGAGGTATAAATGTCTGGGGAGGAAGCCTCTGTTCTTTCAGGTACTGTAACCAAGCAACTCACTGATTAAAATGGTGACTAAAAGATCATCATTGCCAAAAGCTGAAAAGGCAATGCAAAGAAGCCAACCAGCAAAAATATACAGGCAACGGATATTAATGACAGTAGAAATGCCTAAGTGAAAAAGAACAGATAGTAAAACCCCATCAAAACAGATTTAAGGAAACAACACGGATGGAAAAGTTGATAATCAGATTCAAGGTAACTTAAAGAAACATATATTAATAATACCAGAGTACAAAATACTCAGGTACTGTGTTGACAATATCATGGTAATTAAGTAGTAAGTACATGAACATCCGATCCAATTATTAAATTCGAAAATCAGGTATATTTCCTGATGCAGACAAGCACAGACAATAAAAGTCTTTCAGGAATTTTGGACGGCTGACTTGCTACAAAGATTAAGAAAACTTGAGCTGGTAAAAAATTGCAGAAAACGGAACTGTCTTTAAAAAGCACTCCCGGAACTCTCAGGCATCCAGGAAGCTTAGGCAACACACAAATTGAAGAAACCCGTTGCAGCATTTTTTTTAGTCAATGCAGCCGTCAAATCTCCTTCTAGGGAGGTACATCAAAAGACCGTAAAACTGAAAACTTCTCTTCCCTAAAGAAATTTTTGAACACGGTACAACTTTTCCAGTAAAACATTGGACATATAGATTGAACTCTAGAATTTAGGAAACCAAAATTGATTAAGAAAATTGCTGAATCTAAGAATGCCATTTAAAATACACTTGCAAGCTATCCAACCTCCCAACATAGTTACTTATTATTCAAAGAATGCAAAATCAAGGTCTCAGCGTGATCTTTTCACCAAAAGTTTTGTTCATTATCTTAAAGCTTGGCTATTTGCCCCATGACTTCACTGTAACTAAAACAGAGAAAATGTATTTCCAAGAGGAAATGATTTGAACAATAATGGTCCTGCCAGCAGCAACAACCAGTTGACTAAACAAGGAAGAACCGAAAAGAACTTTGAAATACAAATGACTGATTTCAATGTCTACCAATTCAGATTAAAGCCCTCCAATGTCAGTCATTTATAGTTGATACTTTAAAAAAAGGAGCAGTGCGAGAAAAAAAAGAAGACAGTTAACTTCTCAAATCAAGAGTAATGTCATCACAACTAAGCTTGAATAAGCGCAAGTTAAAAGGGATACTCAATAAAATGAATCTAGAATGCTGAACAAAAAAAAAAGCATAACCTTAGTCCTTCTACCTTTATGCATTCTTTTCCTGTCTGCTCATCTTCAACTACCACGGCATCCATAAATCTGCCCATAGCAACAGTGACTGCCAAGTTGTACTTAGTTTGTGTTGGCCTACAGAGATCAGTCATCCGACCATGCACACCAGGGAATAGACGTTTCAAAGTTTCAACTGCTTGTGAGAATCTAGCATCCCTTTCGTTTTCGTATCTGTCAGCCTTCAGCTCACGCAGTTTCTTCTCAACTTCATCAAGTTTTGTCTTCAACCTGTCATGATCCAGTCTGCACGGAAAAGAGAAAGTTCAGTGAAACATGAAAACTAAAACAATACAAGTCCCTAATCTTACAAACTTGAATAATACAGAAAAGCAGCTTCAAATCCATACATCTGAAACCAAAGGACTAAGTTTAAGATCAGCTGCTTTATAACAATAGCACTCTCCAAGGGAAGGAAACTCACTTAGACTTGTCAAGTTTATCTTTCATCTCACGCTGTTCCTTTCTCACTCTTGTAAGATCTGCTTTATGCTTCTTAATAGCAACTTGGATTTTTTCTAGTCTTGCTTCCATTTGTTTCTTCTGAGACTCAAGCTCTTCCTTTCGATTGTTCAACTGCTGAAGATTTTCTTCCAAATTTTTCTGAGCTTCAATATCTGCATGTTGTTGCCTATCTAAGACTTCCTTTTCATCTCTTAACTTTGCAGTTTTCATACCAGCCTCCTCTTTACTGCAGCATAACATCAGGTACAAGCATAAGAAAATGTAGCACACTGAAAAACTTTACTAATGAGACTGCTTCATTAAAAACTACAACAAAATATATATACGCCAGGAAAAATTTTATACTAAAGCTCAGGGAAGCGAGAGAGAAGAGGAGGGAGGAGTAACAATACCAAAATATTAATATAACTAGTCCCTTACACCGGGAAAATCCAATCCAAAATTCAAATCAGATAGACCTCTTTCCAGTGAAAAAAACTGGAAAGCATTGAATTGAGAAATAAACCCCTACAGAGCTTCCAAAAAAAAAAAAAAAAAAAAAAAGAGTGAATCACTCACATTTGGTGATATGTCTCCAACTGGCTATCAGCCAACTGCAGTTTTTCACTCGCACCCTGTCCCTTTTCACGGAGGTCATCCAATTGCTTGATGAGATCTTGCAAGTCATTCTGAAGTTTCTCCACTTCTTCTAAGTGCCTGTTTTTCTCTTCTTTCTTTTTCTTAAGGTCTTTACTTGTACTCTTAATCTTTTGGGTTAAGCGTGTCACCTCCTCCTTCAACTTAAGCATCTCTGGTTGCTGAGCATGTAGAAATGATGATAGTGAATACACTATTAGGTCTTAACTCTACCATTGAATCAAAAAGCCTCAAAATCAACAGTATAAAATGAACTCTTTCTAACAACTCCTGACAGTTCAGAGTCCCGGTCCTCCCAGATAACATCAAGACAAAAGAAAAACAACTCCAGAAAAAAACACAAAGATGTAGAGTAAATTTATTTTTAAAATGATTAGTAGAATCTCAAGCAAATGCCCAAGCAGCAATCACAGCTAGCATGTACCAATCAAGAAACTTCCTGACCTATGCACGTTTTGAACGATATCGGAAAAAAAAAAAAAAAAATTGCAACAGATTTTTACCGTCTCAAAAACTCAGCATTTTCAATAATTATCTTTGCAATCTGCCAGTTTATCTTGCAGTAAAACTGTACCTAGGTGTTTGAAATGACATGCGCTATTATTGTTGAAGTACAAATATAAGACATAGGAAATCCCTTAACCAACCAAACTCTTAAATCATCCAATAGATATTAAATGGGCAGAGCAAACATCTCTGAAGTCTCCCATTTCAGCAAACTACGTAACTTTAGCTAGTTGTTTGAAAAAGCCATTATACCGCTTTATTATTACAGATTTAGAAAGAAGCAGAAAGGTAACAGATTCACATATTTACCTGGGAACTTAAATCTTTCAGTGAATAATAAATGACTAAATGCTTATCATATTTACAACCAAAAGGTGCATATCATAACATAACGGCAGTAAGATTCAGAAGTTCTAAAACTGAACGGAAGAAACTGAAAAAAGAAAACCAAAAAAAAAAAAGAGGAAAAGCTAATCACATCTAGCAAAAACAAAAAATTAAGAAACTTACACTCTTATCAAGTATTGTCTTTTTCTCTGCAATCTTTCTCTCAAAGTGCCCAACCTCTTTCAAATAACCACTCTGTTCTTTCTTCTTTTTGCTTAATTCTTTCTCGTACATGCTCAGTTCATCAAGAATTTGTTTCCGGCTTTCCTCCTCAGCCTCGAGATCTTCATTAGCATTCTCCGTATCTCTCTCTATGTTCAGCAATTGCCAGAGAAAATGCTCTTGCTTCAAGGATTTCTGCATATGAAAGGAATTAATTTTACCTTATTCCAGACGAAGAAGGATTTCTAAAAAGCCCATTAATGTGGTGAGAGATCTACCACTATCATCAAACAAGGACAAATCCGGTTTGGAAAGGGAAATAGTGGAAACAAGTTGTGCAGTCTTTCTGTGAAGCAATACCAGTAACACTTATCCCAACATAGTGAAGCTAAATAAGGAATCTAAAATGAGGTTGACGTCCTTATTATATATAAAATCTTTTGCTCTAACGGCACATATTAGAATCTCTATAAAATGATACAGATTTGGGAAATGTTTTCTGCCACTAGAGATGCTCAAACATCACGAAATAGTATAAAATAGAAAAGAGAAGATGCAGAAAGGACGAAATAAATCAGTTGATAAAGCATAAGCAACAGTAAAGATCGGAGGCTACAATCATAGAGCTAAAAACGAAGAAAATCAACATATGAATATTTGGAAGAGCTTTCTGAATAATACCAATTGCTCTTGCAAGCGAAAATGTTTCTCAGCTTCTTCTTTCTGTTCCTTCTTCTGCTTCACCTCCAGCTTTATTGTCTTCTTCTTCTGGTAAGCAAGGGCTGAGTTTTCTTCAGCTTTGCCTTTTTCTACTTCCAACTCCTCATACCTTCTCTTAAATTCTTCAGAACCCGAGATTTGCTCAAGAAGCGCGGTAAGTTCTCTCGGATTTTTTGATGCTACTGACTCAACATCCCCCTGTATTATCCACTCACCGTAAGAAATGAATAAACAGAAACGCACCAAAAACGAATCTGGTAAACAATTTTCACTTTGCTTAAAATCTGGGCAGCTGAGGGTAAATCCCAGCCCTAACCATAATTCACACACAGAAAGTTGGAATCCTGTAGCTACATAATTAACATTTCAATAACAAACCCCATAATCATAAGGCAAGCAAAGTAGTTGATATACCTGGAAAACCAGAAAATTTCGCGCTTTAACGAGAATACCAAATTCCCTCAACTTTTTATCATATTCATTCCAATTGACAACATCGCCGTTAACCCGGTACTCACTACCACCGGCGCTAGTTATGGTCCGGGTAAACTCAAACTCCTCACCGGTATCCAATCTGTAAACCAACCTAACAAAAGCTTTACGGCCTCTCTGCTCCTTGTCGCGGTCATCAAAAGCATAGATAAGGTCCTTCAACTGAGCGCCACGAAGTTGACCAGTACGGACGCCGAGAACGAAGCTGATGGCGTCCATGAGGTTGGACTTTCCGGCACCATTGGGACCAATTATGGCAGTGAAGTCATAGAACGGCCCTATAGTCTGGAAGCCCTTGTAGGATTTGAAATTCTCTAGCTCCAGGCGGAGGATCTTGCCCGGCAGAACCTTTGACGGCGGCATCGCTGGTAAAATGAACTACTTGAATTTTTCTAGTCCTGACCAACGGAGATTTGAAGCTTCGAAATGGAATTTGATTTCTAGGGCTGGGAAGAGAGTGGGAAGTGGGGGAAAAATTGGGGATAATTTTGGCGGGATGAGAAATCTCTTAGGGGGTTTTAGGAGGTTATTATTCAGAAGGTGAGGGATTAAGTTGACAAATTCGCAGCTCGAAATCGAATGAATTGGGGATGCGCATTATTAGTAATAATAACGTGATGCGTCATTTCATAAGGATATGGTTAGAGTTTAGTAATTACTAATTATATAGTTATAAGAGTTTTGTAAATCCATAATAGTTAAGGATGTATAGAGCAACGTACTTTTTTTTCACCTAACTGGAATGCAAATTCAGACTTTCATCCAAAAAAAAAAAAAAAAGTAATACGTCATTTTTATGTGTTACAGTTTTTTAAAAGATGGTGTTATTGTGAGGGAGATTTTTAGTCTCCAAGGCAAAATTGATAATTTTTCCAAAAAAGTTCTCCCTCCTTGCTCTCTCAGCAGAGTTGATTGAAATCTCTTCTAATTTCTATGTGCAGGATCACCCCATCACCTTCTTTTGAAGATTTTTCCTTTTATACCATATATTCGGTGGAGGAGGATCAAGCCTGCTGAGATCTCACATGGACTTTGACGGGGTTTTACAATATAGTATTTGGAGATTAATTTAGCGACTTTTGTCACGTCATAATCGAGAGAAAAGATGAGTTCAATTTATCAGGAAAAATTTAATTAAAATTGATTCTCGTGAGAAAGCGAATTGAATTTAAATATTGATGTTAACCATTGATGCAGAGTGAGATGTTTGAACTTTGATTTTTCCTGCTTTGTATAGATTAAGTTGGGTTTGAATTGAGGAATTGAATCATAAATATGGGATTGGTTTACTCGTATAGATTGTAGAGATTGCGAAACGTTACTAACTAGCAGTAGGTATGATAATTTTGTTGGTGGGAAAACATGTGCAGCAACTCAAAATTTACGCCACGAAATCATGTGCATGATATATCATTTAAAATACATGAGTAGTGTTGTTGTTTTCTTGATTCGGAATCCAGATTTGTTTGCCAATTTCATCAAAGACACATGAAGTGATGAATTTTTGTTACTGTCGAGATATAAATTTTTTTGCATGCTGAATCTTCTCTGATGGAATACAAGTATTTTACGGTATCAAAATTCAGTTGATAGCATTATGCCAACATCAATGAATTAGAGAATTTGTTGGATTAAACCCAAGAAAAGAACAAGAAGGAATTCACTTATGACTTTATTTCTTCCACACACGTTTGCTCTTGAGAATATGGTAATTAAATGAAACGACTTGTATAGATGAAGATGTTAATTGATCTTATTAATACTTAACATTGCGTTATTTTTTGAAGGAAATGGGTATTTCAAAGAAAAATTAGGGCATAAAATCAAAGATGGAGTCTACTTCTAGAGATTAGGAAGGAGAAAATAAAAGATTTGACTCTATGAGGACATTTTTCTAAAGAAACATATAAAATATCTTACCCTCAAAGCTAACAATATCATCGCCCTGTTTTAAAAAGTTTTCGTATTTCTTTTCCCCTATATTAGTACAGTAGAACTTCTATAAATTAATAGTGTTGGGGCCACCAAATTTTATTAATTTAATGAATTATTAAATAATCAATAAATTAATAAATTATTAATTTATTAATAAATTTATAAATTATTAATTTAAAGAATTTTTTTCTAAAAAAAACCCTACATACTACGTAATTTTTCATCGTTTCTTTTATAATCCCAAATAAATAAGGACTATAACTCTTTTTAATAATAAACTCAAATCTGCAATAACTCTTACAATTTCTTGTTGAAGTTTGAGAATACAACACCAGAGTTTTCAAGAGCAATGAGACAAATCAAGGATGGAATTTCATTGGATATAAACTTCAAGAAAAACAAGTGTCAATAAGTTCATATTTTACTAAATCTTCCCAGTTATTAGTATTTTTTTTTCCATTTTGGGCATTTAATTAATTTGCAGTATTGTTGGGACTTATAGATATATAGAGGATTTTCTGAAACATTATTATCTTATCATTTTATCAATTTTTTTTACTTTTTGTACTGGTCCCAAGTTGGGACTGGAGAAAGTTATTAATTCTTAGAAGTTATTAATTTATCGATTATGAATTTACCGACGTTCTACTATATGTCCTAAAAATTTACTAATATTGTATTTTTAGAGTGCATGTTTAACTCATGTTTATCATTTTCTTAACTCTACTTACACTTAATAAAAGCAATTTCCACTTGCCACAAAAAGTTAATTGGCAACTCCACAAAATTGCATAAATTCAAAAAAACAATGACATAGTTTTGGCTAAATAAGAAAAAAAAATCTCATAATCTTATGCACAATCTTAAAATTATCGTAGAGTAATTTGATTTGATAAATCAGATATTATCAATTTTAATTTTATAACAATCATATTTAAAACAAAAATATATTATCAACTATTTATTTCCTTAATTCATAAATCCAATTTATATAGCTCACTGTTATCCCAGAAAAAAAATAATACAAAGATTTTTTTTGGCACAATTAATACCTCTATTTTGTTTATACACTGGAGTCACTGTACCGACCGACTCATATTTAAATCACAACACAATTCTACTGCACCATTTACAAATTTGAAACGCAACACAACCATATCATATAATTTACGTTTTTTTTTTTTAATTATATGACATTGTTGCAATGTATTTTCGAAAGTAAAGAATATAATGGGAATCAACTATATTTTTCACTAAGTGCAATATTGCAATATATTTTTGAGAGTAAATATTAGTATGAGAATTGACACCCAGGTTACAAGGATTGATAATATTTTATCTTTTGGAATTTTTTTCCGTAGAATTATTTTGTCATAACAAAATACCTATTTATTTTATTTTTTCAGTTATACATTCTTTTATTACAAAACTTTCTGTTAAATAGTGCACGGCAACGCCCGTGCTAAGAAGCTAATTATTATTATTCCTCCAATATATTCTAATGTAACCCTAGTTAAATGCTTCCCTCTGAGTTCGAAACTTTAATTTTATTTGTCGAAGTTAGAAATTATTCAAATGGAGCAGCGAATTGTCAAAATATGTATATTGGGGACTCGAAGGTTAAATGAATGGGTAAAAAGTTGAGACTGGGTAAAAATATTCCTAGATTTCAACTGCAGACTGTGTATACTGGGCAAATCCTATGGTGTAAATGATCAATATCGCATAATTTTCTCAAAATTCAGCCAGATGCAAACTGTTTTTAGCCACAAATTTGGTTTATAAATAAGAAAGAAGTACAGATAACACTGATTTCATGAAGCTGAAGTTCTTCAAATTATCAAAATCTGATGTTCTTGGGTGACATTCAAAAGCTACAACACGCATCGCTTACTTCCCGTCACCACCTCCCCCGACCCTGCATTAGAAACACAATGAATTAGACAATGATGTTTACCTCGCAAGCATCTACTCTTCAACTGTACCCACAGACATGCACACTGAAAAACATCAACCAGCAATCAAGAAACATAAAGCTAGATTGATCATCTTACCTTATCTCACTGAGAGCATTGCACATTTCCTCTCTTATCTTGCTTGCCTCTTGTGGGTCCTGCAATGTATGCTTGGGTTTGTAATTTTATAGTGGCATTCGTTGCTCAAGAGAGCTACTAATGTTACAGAGAAAACAAGCAAAAGAGTTCACATCGTAAGGAGCCTCATTAGGGAAGTTGCTGGATTTGCACCATATGAGAAAAGGAGCTTCTTAAAGTTGGCAAGGATAAGCGTACTTTAAAGGTAGCAAAGACAAAGTTGGGCACCTTCCTAATTAGAAATCTCTATGTCTAGTTGAGTGTCCCACTTTTGAAGGTGTTACAGACATGGACTAATATTATAATCTACTAGTAGGACTATCTGGCCAAATGATTTGTGGTTCACTAAACCTATTATTTCCTCTATTCCTAAAACACAAACAAAAAAAGAAAAACCAAAGTTTTGAGATTTAAAAAATGAAAAAAAATCTCAAAATTCGATGTGAACTGTTTTTCTACAAACTAGAAAATACAAACATCACATGCTTCAAAACAGCGTCATTCATTAATGAGCAAAAGTTTAACTTTTTATCGACATACCATAATACTCTCCGTCTCGTAAAAATAGTACAATTTCATAAATAATTTTATCAAAAAAAAAAAATCCAGTTTCATAGCAATAAAGCATTATTCTTTGCAAGTCCAATCAATTTATCTTCACCCAAATCGACTCCGCCGCCCACCCCGCCATCCCCCAATTCCACCATTAATCCTGATCATCTCCTTTGTCGGCGGCACCTCCTCTCGCTTCCATTATAATATTTTATGGTCGATTTCAATATCAAATCTTATATATAAATCTCGTCCCAATTGTGCCACCTCTTTTTTTCTTCGAATCAAACACTCCGATTAGCTCTGATTAGGACAAGATTGGGTCTCCCGTCGTTGCATATCATCAGGTCCGATGAATTTGTGGCCTCCCTTAAAGCTGTTTTAGTCGAACTTCACTATCTCTCACTCCGATGTGGGGTTTTCGCCAATCTGAAGTGCAAACAGTCAGATTTATTGATGACCAAAAGGTAAACGTGTTGATTGGTGGTGAGATTTGTGATTGATTTTGCAGTTCTTGGTGGCTGGATTGGATAGTACCGGCGGGCGGCGGCTATGATTGATTTTCGGTGAGATAAAAGTACAGAATTCGAGCTACTGCTGAGAGGATAGAATTGGAAATTTTTTAATTAAAGTGAGTTGTACCTAGATTAAGTTGACTGAAATAAAAAAATTGTACATTTTCAAACTCGACTATTTTTGTGGGACAGAGAGAGTATAAACATAATTCACTAAAAACGAAAAATTTCATATGTTACAAAGATTTATAGGTCTATGACAGCGAGCAGCCCGCAAGTGACAGTCCGTTACCATTGACAAATGCTTCCCAAGCATGAACATTAAGCCGCTTGAACTCCAAATCCTGGATGCTTAATCTATTTTAATTAAGCAAATAGAATCCCATTAATACTGTTGAACTTCATATGAGCCAAAAGGAAAATAAGGAACTAGCCATGCATTGCTTCACCAATTTAGAATACAACAATTATACTTACGGCATAGACTTTTTCATTCATATGGATATCAGGGAGAGGATCTTCATGCATAGACTCAGGGTCATGCTCAGCAGCATTGACATCAAGATGTTTTGATGTATCCTCCGGAATGTGCAAGTTCCTGAGGGAAAGCATGGAGCGGTGTGAAATTAAATATGATAGACAAGACTTCTAACAAGCACGGTAACTTTACCTAATCATTCCGATGCTCATTCCACCAGTAGTACATAAGCATTTATTGACCTTTGCAAAATCCATGTGCTTCCTCTTATCATCCCCCACTTTGATAAGGTCCGCATAATCATCATCATCATCCTCGGGCTCTCTGCCTTGTTTGTTTGGCTCGCAGTTTTTCTTCTTCAACTGCTGCTTAAGTTTTCGCTCCTTCAAAGCTTTCTTCTTCAAAGATTTGCTGTAAGCTTCCCCGACGCGATGCAGGTACAAGGCCGTGCGGGCCCCATCCTCATCATCGTCGGAGAATGGTCCAGCTCTACGCGCCTCTTCCCAATCCAGCACCTCCTCTCTCATCATGTACGTATCCGTCAAACGCGCCACTTCCAAATCCAGCTCTTTACGGTCCTGATCCTCCATAGACTTGAAGATTCTACAAAAATACAAAAATCGAACAACGAAACCCAAATAGATATCAATCAAGGCCAACACGAACTCAGAGACGAGGCGGGGAAGAAAGATTTTCTTCTAATAAAAAAATAAAAAAATAAAATCACACAGTATGCGCAAAAATTCAATTGGACTCATAAATCGGAGGAAAGATTAACAAAATAATGAAAGGATGAATTGAATCTATGCAATCAAAATCTATACCAAAAATAAAAATAGAAACAAAAAATTGTTAACAGATCGAACAACTTTTGATGAAACCTAGCAAATCCTCAAGACAGAAAATATAGATCCAAAGGGATGAAGAGTGTACCAGAAGACTTCGTCGCGGTGGAATCGAGAATAGAGAACCTCTTGCAATACGAACCCTAGCACATAAATAGATGTGCAATGTTGTAGGTCCTTCGAAACGAAACGACAGCGTTAAGCCTCAGAAAATTGTTGTAGGTTTGGCCACTTAAACCGACTGGGGGATGGCATAACGGACTCTGTTTAGTAAAATTTGGCCTGTATGGCCCACATCCAAATAATTTCAAATCATCTTTTACTGTTGACTATATTTTCAAGCCATTTTGTGAAGCCTAAGTAGACAAATCCTACCTGCCATTTTATAATTCATTTGGAAGTTTTTTTCCACTTGTTAAATCTTATCTTATTATATATTAATAGAGAAGAGATTTGGCACAAAAAGCGATCATGTTAGCTGATTTAATAAATTTGGGAAATCTAGCTCAATTAGATGTAGTAAATTTTAGTGTGTAATTTTTTAGTTTAATTTTTTTTTATTTCACAATTTATTATAAACAGAATCTAGTTTTTTTAATTATATGATTATTTTTTTTAAAAAAAATTAAGATTTTAAGTTTGTTGGGATATTAAAAATTAGGATACTAGTTTGTTAGGGAATAATTTGTTATCTTTCTACATATAAAAATCTAACTACTTCTTTCAAAAAATTTTAAACGTCTCTTCTTTCCATCTTTTTCATTAACAATAGAAATCTATATATAACTTGTTCTCCGTTTATTTTATTTAATTTTTGTTAAAATTTTAGATATGTTGCTAACAAAAGTTGGGATATAATTTGATTACCTTTATTTAATCTTATCGTTGTTAGCTTTTTTTTTAAAAAAAAAAAATACTTTGTAGATTATCCAATTAAAAAAAAAATCTGTTTGAAATCGCACCATTAAAACTGATGTTGTACCAATCTTAGGCTCTGTTTGATAATCACTTAATATAATGACTTAATTTATTTAAGTACTTAATGAAATTAAGTGTGTTTGATAATCGCTACTAAAAAGTCTTAATAAATTAAGTTCTGAACTAATTAAGTATTTATAAATTAAGTGCGTTTGATAACTAAAATTTCACTATCTAAATTAATTAAGTGCGTCTGAATGTCCAGTTCAATTGTGAGCCAGAAAATAAGTGATAGACCTACCACTTATCACTTATCACTTAATTTCTTTAATGACTCTTTTTTTTTCTTTTTTCTTTTTTTTTTCCTTCGTCTTTATTTCGACGCTTATTTTTACATTGTTTTAAAATTTTTATTTTCTTAAGATGAATTAATTAAGAGTGCTTAAAGTTGCATTTATATTATGAGTATAAAAGATCTCAAACTTTTAAACTCAAATTAAATTAATTTTAATACATGAAATTTACTAAATAACAATTTATATTCTGTACTCCCCTACTTCCTCTTCTTGATCTGCCCAATTTTGTATGCAAATTCTTGCGCCGCTTTTCTTCCGAGGATTCGTTGCTCTGCTGCAAAAATTTGAACAAGGGGAAGCCAGAATCTGGCCCATTTTGACAGATCGAGCCTTTTATGTTTGGTATAGATATAGATACAAATTTTTTTCCACAATAAAAGGACAACCAGTTCTTGAGAATAATATCATACTTCTTCCGTTTCATAATTATTGTCCAATTTGTAGTTCTTAAGAATAATATTATATTCCTTCCGTCTCATAATTATTGTCCAATTTGAGTTTTTATTTCTAGTTCAAATTGTACTAAAAGTAAAATTTCAAACTGGACAATAATTTTTCGGAGAGAAAGTAGAAAGAATTGATATCGATCTCCAGAAAAGCATATCATATTCAAAATGTATAACAAGAAAATCAAATGAACAAAATTTTTGGATCATCAAACCACTACTTTCGTCAGAGAATTATTCAAATACAACCATCTGAAATGCCATCTTATATCTGCCGCAACGACGACAAAACTTTCCTACATTAAACATGGTCTGTGCGCTATTGCACTCAACGTCTCTTTAAACTAGCACGATTATGCAGATCCAACAACTGCTCCAGCGATGACAATACCCATCGACTCTCCATTTGTGCAAAACACTTTTGATTATGGGAATCAATAATGATATTAACATTACCAAACCCGTATACTTGAAGACCATCTTGCATTCTCCCAGGTTTTATTATGAACGGCAAACCATTGTCCTGCGCAAACCGTTCAATAATTTCTTTCAAGGTCGGTTCAGGTCCATCACTTACTTGCACACGAGCCTGAGCAGCTGCTCTTTCAAACTGCCTCTCTTCAACTTTCTTTTGGTACGCAATCTGTTCTGCCAATCCAGGCGGTTCAACTTTCATGCCTTCAGCAGCTGCGTTCATCATTTGAAGACCATCAAAAAGTCTAGCACGAATGTGCTCATTAGCTAAAAGTTCATCAGGAAGCTGATTCTTCCAACCCATGTACCATTTACCAACTTGATCAAGGTCGGGTTTTGAATTCAGCCATTGATGCAATACTGCATACCACTTTGTGAAGAAAACCTCCATTATAACAATCATGTGCTGAATGGGAATGGTGGTAGCCCAATTCCGAACCCAAATGAATTGATCAAGTGACTGGTTCGCTGGATTTATTTGGAACTCCTGCATGACAGTCAATAATTTTGGAACTATATATCGGACCATAAGTTTATTCCAACTAGCAGCATCAAACACGTTCTTCCAAGGTGAAAGAATGTATTGTGCTGATATATCACTGGGATGCCATGCATGTAGAACACTTTCCAACCTATCACGAATTGTTTGGTAGCAAGGCTCCAGTTTGGTTCCCAATAACGGTAGCCATGGATGAATCCAGGAATGGATTGGCATTGTTTCAAGACGAGGATCCCAGGAGTTGACCGCTGATATTATTTTTGGCATGATAATGGCATCCAAAATATTCTGAAGGACAACAGGCGGCAGAAGCCTTTCCCAGGAATCAAGAAACCGAAGCATTGGCTCGGGATCTCTTGCTCGCCACGTGTTTGTTCCACAAATTCTCACGGCAGGAAACACAACTTCCATAATCAGTTGCGTGTATGGAGATGTGGTACCAAAGATATTCTGAGAGTCTTCTTCCAGAAGGATTCTCCATCGAGACACTATTTCTTGACCATGGGTTGGGTTCTGAAGAGGATCCCACCCCTGAAATACTCTAATAAACAATGGAAGAGCATATCCACATGCAATGCATGGTAAATTGCAAAGTTTATAATCATCTGCATATTTTTGCTGCACATCCAAGAATGAGTGTGCAAGAGACTCAAGAGTAAGTGTACCTAAAGAGCTCTCCTCTTCTACCCGCTCCATAACCCTAATTATTTCTCGCATATTCTCCAGCTGCTTCTCCTGCTTAGACTTCTCACTCTGAATTTTACTTTTCTCCAATTGTAGACTTGCAACAGTCTCCCTCTCATTAGTCAAGTCTCGCCCAATTTTCTGGATGTCAAGTTCTACTGAATCCAATATAAGTTTGATATTGTGCTGTAGCTCAGGCATGGGGATGTCATTCTCTCTTGCTACCTCCTCTGCATTCAAATTTTCCAAGTTTGTCAAGACACGGACCTGAGGACCCCTCATGTCAAAAACTTTCTGCACACGATCAATATTTTCCTCGTGCTTCTTTTGCAACAACTCTTCAGCAGTAATATAAACCTTCTTAACCCTAGTTTTCTTAGACCAAAGCTTCTCCTTCACATGAGCCTCAGTAGCCTGCACAACACGCGGAACAGAATTCTCTTCTTTCTGCTTCAGTACCGGCTTCGTCTCTACACCCAGCCCAGAGCCCTTGGGCCGCAACTTAGCCTCAATAGGAGCTGTAATTCCTTGCTCATTCTTACCTAAGCCACGCCCTTTGTAACCCATCTTTTCCAACAATTTCATACCAATTCCCTTAGTATGCTTCTCAAATGCACCAAGATCACCTGAGTTGAAATCTTTCCTCTCAATTTTAAAAGACTTATTTGCTTGCGAGGACTTCTCCTTTTGTCTCTCACGCCGTAATTCAGCTCCTTCTTTGATTTTTTTCCCAAATGCAGTTGGCAAGAAGTCATCTTCCTCATTTATGTAATTCCCATCCTCATCCAAATTAGTCCTGGAAGAAGAAACTGAGTCAAAACCAAGCCCGCGTGGCTTTTTATCGACATCCTCATCATCTAACAACTCTTTTTCCGATTTCTTCTCAATGTCTTCACCAGGCATTACAGTACCAGTAGAAATAAAATTAACAGGCTTTGTGAAGTCAGCCTTGCTGATTAGACCTCTGTTCTTCCTCCGCTTCTTTGAAGATCCTAAACCCTCATAATCCGAATCACTACTATCCCCAGCAAAAACCCCATAAACCACATCATCTCTCGTCTGGGTTCGTTTTTGTTTACGCTTTGCATAATAAAATTCTCCATCAATCCATTGCCCGTCCTCGAAGTCCTTGTCCATCCCAAACTTCTCCATTTCTTGATCTTCATCCATCTTTTGTACACTAATCAGCAAATGAACAATAATTATTAGCAATTAAAAAAAAAGAGATAAGAGCAAATTACAGAGAAGACAACGTAAAATATAACTACAAACATATTTGCGTAGACAGGAGAAAAAAAAAACCCGTAAAACCTTAAGAACTATCATAATTAAACAATGTATAATTTCACCAAGAATACACCAATTGATTTATTCAACAGAGTGAGTGACAAAAACAATAAATCCAGAGCACACATTTTGCATGTAGCTAAGAAACCGCATGTCATGCCTAGAATATAGCATGCATGTACAATTTAGAATCGGAAACCTTAAACTCTGGCAGTTAAAACTTCTTCTTTCCTTTTGTTGTTCATTATTGTGTTATGTGCCAACTTGGTGACCCTTGTTAGTTCATTCACAATGCAAGACAAATTGCCATAAGCTCGCCCAACTGGATACTTTACAAATTTGCTTGCCTTCCCAGCCTTTATTTCAGAACAACTATGAAATCAAACAATTTCCACGTGTTGATGCCATAGGAACACATAAAAGCAGAAAGCACATCACCAACTCAAATCAATTCAACAGCAAAGGAGTTTAGTCATGATTAACACCAGTCCCAAAGGGTCCAAAAAACAAAATTTTGGAAATATTCAAAATACCCCAAAATCTCTAATAAGAAACGGCAAGTACACAATAGCAAAAGGCAATTTAAGACACAACTTTACCCAAGTTCAACTAAAAAATAATATTGGGATCGATAGTAATGCCAAGAAACTAAAACAAAAGTTTCAAACCAGAGATTACCATATCTAGAGTCACAGAAACAGCCTTCAACAGTACAGACAAACCAAAGAAAACAGCAAGCACAATGCTTCAAACTACAATATGAGTAGTCAACCGAATCAAATTAACGGACATTCTTTATTCATCATCGACTATATGATACAGAACCCACTCAAGAAAGATTCAGAAAAGATGTAGAATTCATACCTGGACGAGCACCGAGATTGAGCAAAAACCGTTCGCGGGGTGGGGATTCTAGGCGGCTGAAGTACGGAGATGAATAATGAGGAGAATTCCAAATCAAGGACGAGTTTCAGTCATGCGTTATGCACATCAATTTTACAACCCACTGAAACAATCGGCTAACTGCCGACAGTTTTGCTAACGATTACAGACGACGAAACCTCGGTAGAGTGGTCCTCGAAGATCAAACATTCAGATTAAAAGAGAACAAGATGCACCGACCTCGAAACCAATTGGAAATCGGCCGTTAAAACAGACGGTCAGGGGCTTGCAGATGGCTTCGGGCGATTTGACGGTGGAAACCCGGAGAACGGGAGAATGAGGGATATCGGAACAATATGTGGGTTTCAAGCTCTAGTCAATTTGCCCCAATTTCAATTAGGAAGAATTTAAACAGGGCGATAGGGCACTGCAATACGACGTCGCATCATTTGACACAATTTCCCCAAGCAAAACATTTAAGGCGGTCATTCACACAGACAATGACGCATCTAAATGGCAAACCAAATGCTGCCCGTGGTATTTACTGCCGTGAAAATAAATTTTTTTTTTTTTCTTTTGTTTCTTCTTTTTTTTTTTTTCTTTCTTTCTGCTGTTGGCGAAAATATATGAAAATAAAAAGAGATAAAAGGGAGTAATCAAAAAAAAAAAAAAAAAGATAGATAAAACGGAAAGTACCGAAATAAAAACATTGGAAAATAGATACACTGATATCGTGTGAGCAATCCCTTCCTAACTGTAGCAAATTAAAGTCGTCATCTAAACATACAAGTCAATCATCATGACAAACATCGTAGGATTCAGCTATATTCAACTACGATTTCGTGCTCCACAGCCAGCAATCAATTTGAGCTCGGTCTCTCTTTTGTTACAGCCATGCCATTGTTCTCAGGAATCTTTTCGGTTGGGGTTTTGCTGCTGCTGCCACCCTCGGCAGTCTCCACTTTTGAGTCATCCTCTTTTTCATCATCGACTGGGTTTTCACCCTGCGCTAAGGCATTGGCATCTGGTGTATCAGACTCGTGCGAATGTGATCTTTCGACACCAACTGGTTTTGACATATTTCCTTCAGGTTCCGTAGCAGCTTCCATTTGCTCATATCTAGATATTACTTGTTGAAGTTCATCATGGAGGCTTAGAGCCTCAATCAGTAAGCCCTCATCATCCACTGTGCCCTCTATGATTCCCTGAATAGTGGGGAGAGATTGCTTGCAATTTTCCAGCATGCTTGTGGTAAGTTCATTCTGCAAACAATCAGAAGCACTTAATACAGTAATCTTTAAAATTTCACTCTCTTCACCAAACATTCAATTGTGAAAGGAACCCAAAATTCTCAACTCATAATTAAAGCGTAGAAGGTACATCGACAAGAGCAGTACAACAGAAAGAACACATCTGCAGGTCAAATCAGAATACGCAAACATAGAAATAGCAGAACCTTAACAGGGTTGGCTCCATCCTCGGCGTTCAATATGCTGGAGAATAGGTCAAGAGTATTACGAGTCACCAGAAGTAATTCTCTCTTTTCTTCAACAGACTGGCCACCATGACTTCTGAACATATCGTGCTCTACATTGTGCAACCCCATTTCAGGTACGGGGTAACTTTCAGGAGGTGACAGTGGGTCCTGATCGACATATGTCCCAAGATGGTGCTGCAATTGGGGCAAATTGTTATCTGGCGTTTCGGGGATAATTGTTCTTGTCTTCAAGTTCTGCAAACAAATTGAATACGGACATAAGATATCCAACAGGTGGCACCATGCCAATCACATGTCATAAAAGATTCTTCAATTAAACTCATTCTATCATAATACATATCTATTGAACCATCAGCCATGTGAGAAAACATATATCCAGTAAACTTCAATGCCGCCGGAGAGAGTTCTTACAAAACATCAGTTCATTTGATCAGTATAAGAGCATCATGACTCCACCACCAGGTTTTGATATGTACCAACTAATACCACACCATAAATGATCACACAAAGTATTGAGGAGATAGAAATAAGGAATATCTGTTGAAAGCAAATTTACTCAACATATGTGCACTCTGATGGCTGTATTTATCTCATCTCATAATGAAATGCAAAACCCCTTTTACCACACATTGTTCTCATCATCCAAATTAATCAGTTGCCATATGAAGCATCAAATATCCCACAAAACCTAATTTTGTTTAAAGACGACAAGTAAATACCAAGATTCCTACTGTCAAATGAAGAATACAAACGAGATGCACACAAGACGACAATAACCCTTTTATCTTCTTTTCATTGTCCTTTTTTAGGTAAAAATCAAACAGAATTGAGTTGTATAGGGCCTATACAGCAAATAAACAAACCCAAAATGACCTAAAAGTAGCAAAAGTTCCATTATCCCACAGGAAATTTCATCAACATGAACAAAAACTTGGTTAGGCAAAGTAACTAACAAATTGACTGAATGACTGACCGTGTAAGTTTGACGGAAGACAGGCAAATACATGAGATCCTCAGACTCGCCCCAAACCCTGATCAGCTGCATCGCCTTGACCCGGTTCTCATGGTCCGTCTTGGGATCATCAATCACCTTCATCATATCATCCAGAACCTTCTCCGAAGCCACCTCAGAGAAGACTTTCTCGCAATTCGAACTACAAGTCTCCAACAAATCCAGGCTCAATCGCTGACTAACTGGGCTCTTTCCCAACAGCTTCTTCTTGATGGCCTTCACGATCTCCGTCCCATTAAACTCCTCGCTGTTAATCATGGCGCAAATTCTCAGATTGAGACCCCAGTTGGGCTCCTCCATTGTCTCTAAAGTAGCCTCGTCTACCATCTTCGATTCGGGCGTTGGGCCTTGAAGGATTTCCTTCATCTTTGAGCTGACCAGTCGGCTCATTTGGGCTCCGCCCGTCTTTAACCTCTCCCCGAACGAGGATGAAGCTATTTTCAGCTTGTCCAATTTGTCCATTTTTTTCAACTTCTACTATGGGGTGCGAGTTGTTCAATTTCTTCTACTTCTCTCAGAATATATATATAGATGAGCGTAATCCGGCGGTGACAGGCGGAGGAGGACGGCGGTCGGGGGGTGGGGATGGGAATGAACTAATAATGCCGAGTAACAGGGAGGATGGGGTTGAATAGAAAAGCTAGTAGGAAGAACTCATATACGCGTGGCTGCTTATGCAGTGAACACCTTTGATGGAGAATGGGACCCCCGAAAAGAATTTCACTGTTTTACTGGGTAAACCAATTTATTTATTTCTAGACACAGTACATAAGGTTAAAAATAAAATTGTTCCATGTTTTGAATGTCGCAGTAGCCCATCTGTGCTCAACTGCTTTTGTTATTTAAGCCCATGTCAAAACAGGCCTCTTTTCATTAGGGAAAAATGATGAGTACGTGTTAGATGATCTAACAAATACTCCCAAAATAATTGTTTGACTTGAATTTTATTTTTAGTATGATTAATACGGAAAATAAATAATCTAAAATAGACAATATTTTTTAGAGGAGTAAATATTTTTGGGTGGTTTTGATAGCCTTATTATATTTAGAAAACTGGTGTGGGTCTAACTTCTAAATGACAATTCAGAGTCATTAGTTTTTATTTGTTTCCCATAAAGCAGACAAATGTTGCATGAACTATTCTCTCCAGATTATGCCAGTATTCAGTAACTATATGAGGCAATGAGAAATTGAGATTCATAAGTAATGTGATCATTTACTAAAATGAAATAATTTATTTGTTTAGATTAATAGACAAAATTTAAGATATATGTGCTCCCTCTGTCTTGTCTAGTTTATAAGTTCGTTTTTAGTTATATTTGTACTAGAAATAAAAATCGACACTGGACAATAATTTCGGACCAAAGGAAATAATTAATTAAAAACATTAAAGATACATTTGTTATAATAAAAATATTTAAATAATCCAAAAAACTATTCTTCTCTCCAAAAAAAAAAGACCACTTTGATTTTTAAGATTTGTACTAAAACAATACAAATATCAAAACTTATATGTTTTTTTTTTTTTGGAAGGAAAGGTTATTATTAAAAAACGAAAAAGAGTACTGCGAGCAGCTTACGCGCAGTACCTTTACTGAAATGCTTCCGAAGAATGAATGAACTCATTGCGTAATCTAGTTCGATGATTTGGAGTTCTCATTTGGATCCATATCAGGGAGAGGATCTTCATGCATGGGCATAGGGTTCTTGTAGGCAGAATCGACATCTTCCCCTAGAATATCCAATTTCCTTCTTGCATTATCTCTAGCTTCCAATGTCTCCACAACTCGAGCATAAGTCGCAGGATCGTATCCATTCCAGCTGTCCATTTTATAACCATCATGGTTATTAAGCTCAAAGGTCTGATCAATTTTCTCATCTGGAACAATAAGCATGTTTTTCCACTTTGCTCATAATTTACGGGGTTTATCCGCACAAGATTTAGCATTGTGCGTAATAGATCCACAATTTTCACATGCTCCTTTCCAAGCACCGAATCCACCTCCTCCTTCAACATCTGGATTCGACTTAATTTCCCGTTTGAGACTCTAGACATCCGAAAACCAATTAAATCCGCAGTACAATGAAAGAATTGAAAGTGACTCAATCATCCAATCCTCTAAATAAGAAAGCAAAACCAGAAAGAAAAAAGTTACTCCCTCCGTTCTAAAATAATTATCCACTTTGAGATTTTATTTTTTAATTCAAACTGTATTAATACTGAAATCTCAAACTAACAATAATTTTGGAACAAAATGAGTAAATAAGTTTGAATACCGATCCCGTCGCTCTGGCTTTGGGATACCAAGGATCCAAAGACATATATTGAGGAACGTGAGAATTAATTTCTTCCAATTCCGTTGTTGTTTCCTGTGATCCTCCAAATACTTGGACGCCTCTTCCACCGAAAAAATTTTACAATCAACCTGAAAATTCGAATATTCAATTCAATCAACGTAATACGAATTCGAAGGTGTATAATTGGGAAAAAGGAATCTTTTTTAAATCAGGAAAAAAAAAATAATCGCGCGAAAAATTCAATTGTCATCATCATGAATCAGATGAATGATTAACGAGACTATAAACGAACACAGTGCGAATATATGTATTCCAAAATCTACCAATTTTTCACCACCTAAAAAACACCGAAAACCACAAAAAGGGACAAAAAGTACTGTACCTGAAGACTTCGTCATGATAGAAACAGAATCGAAGAAAAATATTAAACGGTCTTGACAAAGTGAAACCCTAGCGAGTTTCAATATTGTCTTTCCAATAAGCAACTAAACTTTTAGTCCATAAAGTGGTAATATTGTTAACCGTGGCCAACGATATCTGTTCTATTTTGAAGGTTCAATATATTTATTATATCCTAATGGACCTAATCACTTGAACATTTACCAAAAAAAATAGCGCTAGGGCAGGTCGACGACTATGTTGTCTTCAAACTAAAGCAAATAAAAACACTAAACAACACTAAAATCGATTATTTTATATCAATGTGTAAATTTAAAATTGATAAATAAATTAATAATTACCAGTAATTAACAAAATAAAAAATGTAAATCAGAAATTCGAAAAGAAGGGAAAAAAAACTTGTATACAATGTCGACTTGGACGTCGAGTTATCCGACCTGACGATAAGGTTGACCAGCTCGTTAATTCGAAGTTTAAATTTTCAAAGCGTAAATCCGAAAACCACGACTTCAAGAAAACATGAAAGAGCCAAACAAAAAGTTACTTAAACACGGGGTCGACGTTAGCGTCGAGTTACTTTCATCGACTAAATGGTCGAGAAAAAAGGAGATTTGAATATTTCTTTTTTTCTTTCTTAATGTGGACAATGCCCAAAATCAATGAATTTGTAACATTTTAACGGTTATCATTTTATGTACTTATGACTAATTAATAATTAAATTTTATTGGGCCGTTTATTTTTTCTATATATATTATTTGCCTAAATTGTAAAAGTTTAAATTTCGTAAGAAAATATAGTTATAGCTTCGTTTTTGGTAAAAATCAAAGCAATTTGTTTTGTACTCCCCTATTTCAAAACAAAAAAAATAGTCCGCATTTAGTTTTGAGATTTAAACCCCCTCTGTCCTGAAATGATTGTCCAGTTTGATATTTCACTATAAATTATACTAAAAATAAAAATAAAAATTAGACAATAATTTTGGGACATAAGTAGTATTATTTTTGGTACAAAATTAAAACTCAATATAGACTACTTTTATGGACATAAACAGTATCATTTTTAACATTACTGATGGTTTATTTGTTTATAAATTAATCAATTTCATTTTTTAAAAGTTAAAATCTTCATTTGACACATGAATGCTCGTCGTCGGTTTTTCAAAATGGACTATAAATTAGGTGCAGTACAAAATTATATTAGAAAATTTCAATTGTAAAATTTTCCAATTCTTTTTTTTCAAAATTTGCATGTTATTAGATGTTGACCTATCGATATTATTACAAAATAAGTTTTTTCAGTGGTTAAATTTTCAATTGATTTTTAGATCGAATTTAGTTATTAGTCGAGTCAAAGAAGAGATCGGGTTGTATACTCCTATGCAATGTGAGTATCTGGTAGACCTTTGGAAGCGGAAATGATAATTGAGTACTTGGAGGACCACGGATTTTGAAATTTTCAGACTATATGAATGATTGGTTCTGTGTTGTTGGTTCATGGGTGGTTCATGGCAAAGGTGTTGTCTCTCCTTGGATTTGGTTAGAGATGTGGTGTTTAATGCTGGGTTTTACCTTTTTGAGTAAAGACATTGTTCTGATGGGTTAGCATATATCTATTTAATATGTAAATAATATGGTTATGGATTAGTCCCCAAACTTTTAAGTATGGTGCTTTTTAGTATAGTAATGTTATTATGGTAGGCACACTACCTATTAAATTTCTATGTGATTTGATACTCAAGTAGTTTGTATCCTTCATCTGGACCGGACACTTAATTTATGAAATTTGCATTGATCTGTTTTGCTTCTTGAAAAAAAAAAAGTCGAGTCAAAAGAACTAATCAAGAAGTCAAGATACTTCAAAACAAACATTCTCCAAGTAGTACGGCCGGGCTAACATCAACACTGGCCAGATGATTTTTGGTTCACTCAACCTAGTACTTTCCCCGTTTCCATAAAAAGTCTAACATTGAGTTTTGAGATGTTACAATTTTTTTTGGGATGAACCGGAGTATCATTATTAAAAAATTTGTACACTCTAGAAAATACAAACAACAGATGCTTCAACACAACATAATTTATTATTGAGGAAATAAAAATTCTCTATAACACAATAACATTAACATAATTCATTAAAAACAGAAAGCTTCATATGTTACCAAGATTTAAATAGGTCCCGTACAACAATCTAGTGACTTAATATTTTATTAGGACAGGGAAAAGAGTGGTATATTTCCCACACAAAGACGTAACCGCAGCCTCCAAGTGAAGGCTTGTGACCATTGACACAGATGCTTCCCAAAGTATGAACATTAAGCTGCTTGAACTCCAAAGCCTGGCCGCTTAATCCAGAGGCTTATTCTCATCATCATCATCGTCGGGTTCTTCTCCGGCTTGTTTGTTTTTTGGGTTGCAGTTTTTCTCTTATTCATCTGCTGCTTAAGATTTTTCTCCTCTTCAAAGATTTCTTGTAAGCTTCCAAGACGCGATGCAGGTACAAGATCAAGCGGGCCCCATCCTCATCATCGTCGGAGACTGCCCCAGCCCTACGCGCCTTTTCCCAATCCACCACCTCCTCTTTCGTCATGTACTCATCCGTCAAACGCGCCACTTACAAATATATCTCTTTCCGGTCATGATCCTCCATAGACTAGAGAATTGAATATGCCTCTGAAAGTTTGTACGGAAACGTACTTTCTGATTTCTAGCCGGCGCCTGAAGCCTTGCGTAATGAGGTGTCTCTATAATGGAAGAAGCTGGGGGTGGATGATGTTGAGTTTGGGTGCCTATTCCTGGATAGGGATGATGTTGACCAGGGACCGAAGGTTACCACAGGCTTGGCCTTTATTTTCGAGCAAGGCTGTAATATTCCAGCCTCATAGACTAGCCCAACAACTTTCAAGCTTTCGTCCTCGCTAGCCCAAAATGGTTAACAAGTTATTAGTAGTTTATGAGGTTAAGACTTATATGCAGGTCATTTACTTTGCCAGGTAGCGATGTGGGACATGATGTTACAAAGGCGCTATGGTGGCTGTTGATCATTCACTTGCAACCACCAGACCATATCCGTTACCCAAGAATGTTTTTCTACTGAATGATCACACCCTTGGCATTGTTTTTGGAAAGCTTGAGGATCAAATTCGTGACTTTCTCTTGAGAGAGCTTAGGACTCAAATGATAAATGGCATTCTTTCTGATGATTCTACAGAATGGAGAACTTGTCTGGAAGTGGCATCAGAGATGATGGCCCGGTATCTGACTGGTTGCAATCAGAAGGAGGATTTGACAGGAGGAGTGGTTGTTGGTTGGGACGAAATGGGTCCTGGATTGTATGGCATGGATGGTGAAGGAAAACTGTCTGAAGAAAATTTCTTGGCATTTGGATCCAGATCACGATGTGCTACTGGTTTTTTTTTTTCTATAATTATAGATTCGATATGTCCCTTGATGAGGCTAAAATGTTGGTCGCGCGCGCACTGTGCTACTCGGCGGCTTTGTATAGTGAAATTTATGGAAGTCCCCAAAAGGGTGGTTTCTTTAGTGTTTATCATATTGGACCTGGGAATTAAGGATGGTTTATGAAGATAAAAATGTTGGGGAATTCTTGCGGAAGATCGAAGAAGAAGAAGCTTCTTGAGGACGCAAATATGGGTTTCTTTTGCTTTCATCAAGTGCTGCAGTTTGTAATGTTAATTCTAAATTATTGTAATAAGATGACTCTATATTCTCAACTTGTGAGTTTTGAGACCTTTTTTTTGTTTGACAGTGAACAATATTGTCTGCTTCCACCTTTCTACTATGTGAATTTTATTGAACTTCAATAGTATTAATGGGATTCTATATGAATAATCTCAAAATAGATTAAGCAGCCAGACTTTGGAGTTCAAGTAGCTTAATGTTCAAGCTTGGGAAGCATTTGTCTACTCAGTATCATACGTCTTTGGTTGGAAATACTCTTTCTCTGTTCTAATAATAAAATGATAAATCAGTAGATTGTTGTACCGGCAATCTATAGACGTGTTTAAATCTTTGTAACATCTGAATTGTCATGCACAGACTGAGGCTTTTAGGGTCATAGTCCGCGACATTGACAGATATAATACATTTTTTATGTATCCTCTCGAATATGCAAGCTCCCGAGGTAAAACATGGATCAATACATGCAAACCGCGTACAAGAGCGCTTGCCCTTTCCTCATCGTCGTCGGAGCTCTACGCGCCTCTTTCCAGTACTCATACTCCACCATCTCCATAGAGAGACGTGAATTGGAACTCTCGACGATTCCACCAAAACACAAAAAATCAAACCCACACAAAGCCCGAATATATTAACTCCAATATTCAATTCTTTGAATCAAAGATTGCGTTGCAGCCTTAGCATATAAATAAATGTTTTTTTTTTTTTTGAGAAAAGGGGAGACTACTTCATTGCGTATTCACAAAGGCATTATACAGGGACCCTACGAGGATATGCCAAGCCTATAACGTCGTGAAATAGCCACTGTGTTGCACCTGGCGAGGGCAAATCCAATCTATGAACACCGGGGGAATTCTTTGCTGCCAAGGATGCCAAAAAATCAGCCATACAATTACGTTCCCTATGTACATGGCTAATACTTACAGTCCAACTCCTATTCAAAAGCTCCCTAATAGCATTAATAATAGTTTCGTGCGTAGATCGTAGTCGATCTTCCTCCATCAACAATTGAATAACCGACTGACTGTCTGTTTCAGCTTCAAGATCAGTCCAACCCTTATCCCATGCTAACAAAAGACCCTGGTATAAACCCCATAACTCCGCTCCAACAACAAAACAAAAACCAATCTTTCATTAAAAATCCCCCTTTCCACTGACCCCTACTATCCCTAACAAGTCCTTCAGTAGAAGCCAAACCCGATTCTCCGTCCACTGCCCCATCAGTGTTCAGTTTTAATCGACCCACAGGAGGAGGGATCCATGCTAGCATCAGGCAGACCTTCTGGACAGGTGATCCGCCCAACCGCTTCCCATAATTGAGAGCATCTGTGACTTCCCCAAACTTCTTCCAGACCTCTCTAGCTTTCCTGTACGTCGTTATTGATTGATTCTCAAAGATAAAGGCATTCCTCCAAACCCAAATCTTCCAAGCAATAATTCCAAACAGGCCACCGGTCTGAGATTTTCAAACGGTTCTGTAAATTAACCAAGGTCCATTCCTTACTATCTCCAGTGAAGAAATCATTCCGATAATTGATCGGAATAAAGTAGCGCCAAATCCTTCTTGCTTCTGGGCAGTCTCGGATAGCATGTAGGGTATCCTCTTGGACCGACCCAAAAATGAAAAATCTTTATAGTCCTGCAAATTGACTACTTGGGTCCTTTGGGTATATAGAATTACAAAATCATTGCATTTTGGAATGTATAAACTTTTCACCGCTTAGTTTGAATTTATTTATTGTTCATTTTGAATTTATTTATTTTATTTTTTACAAAAATTATTTTAATACAATATGAACTAAAAAGTGAAAATCTAATGTGGACAATAATTTAAAAACAGATGTTTCTAAAAAAAAAAAAATTTAGGAACAAATGAAATAATAAATTTGTTAATGCAGCCAACATTCAACAATATTATTTATGAATTCAAAGATACTAAACTCTCGATAGGAAGTTAAAAATTTTTGAGGTTTAACGAACTATAACAATTTGAACATTCGATAACATTACATTACCTACAGATTTGAGTGATCGGTATTCTTTGTTATAGTAAATGATAGTTCACGAAAAATTGTAAGATTATGAGCATTGTACAGTCGTTTACTCTGATGTTCTCAATCCTTTTCAAATAGAAAAAGGTACTCAAGTTACCAAAAAAAGTTATGGTAAAATAGAGTAAGTTACTCTCACGGGAGAAACAGTAAGAAAAGTTGAATTATGAAATTGCATATGGGTTCATGTAGTTGCACGTCGCAGTCATTTGAACCCCAAATTTTGCAAGCCCACCCACCCAGTACCCAAGGGCTCCCAATTCACAAAAAACCCCTCAAATTGAATTCGAAGCGGACTCCAGAAATCAATAAAAACCTGAAGAAGAAGAAGAATATCATCCCAAAAACCTCACCTAACTGATCCTGCTGTCATGGTTGCCCTCACCACTTTGGCGCGTTATATTGCCAGCAGGATGGAATACTCCGTTAATTTGAGCTTCAAGGTTAAACCCTCGTCCCCTTCTCATTTCTCTCATTCATTATCAATCATTCCTGCTACTTATTTCGAATGCCGCTCAGAAATGGATTACAATCCAGGGCATCTTTACTTCATAGTCTTGATTGTTTGTAAAGTTCTGTTCTTTATGTGTTTAATCAATGGATTTAGGTGGAGCCATGGAAATTGATCAATACAAGGGGATAAGGGGTTTTGCTTGCTACGAAATAAGGCTAATGGTCTGTCTAAATTTGATTTGATATGATGTTTGGTTGGTGGTTCTACTATTTGTTGCATACAGTTACCTTATATTTGTGTAGTTCTTTCGTATTCCGGCTATTGATATCCAACAGTTATCACCTGTCCGCAGATGTTGGTGTATGTATTGTGTAAACCTAGCTATTTTCACAAAGCAGCATTCACGATGAAGGTTTTGTTATGTTACCAGTCCACTGTTAGCGGCAACCTATTATTTTTACTGACCATCCTTTTGAACTGGGTTTAGTTTGATTCTTCGTGGGTTTTACTTAATACTTGTAAATAGGTATTCAGTGCCTAGGAAGAGCTAAATGTACAATTAGCTGGAGCATCTTATAGGTTTTTGGCATCAGGCAGGTTAACCGAGTCCAGTGCAAGCTTGTATATCTAGTCCTTTTATGAAGAGGCCTGGTCTCAGATTGTATAGTGTAATAGGGAGACTTTGTGACTTGTTATGGATTTCTTTGTGGTCTCATAGTGGAAAGGATTCTTTAGTTGTTTTGACTGACTGTTCCTGAATATTTTGCACATTGCTAATGATTTTTTATAGCATTAGCCATGATCCCACAACAGAACATATGACATGCTTAAAGCTGTGTTCCTTTTGGTAGATCTCTTTGGTGTGTTTGGTGCATTTTGGATATGGTCTCCTTTTTGAATTTTAGCCTGATACGAAATTTCTTGTGGCGCAGAACTTTCAACAAGGTGTTAAAGATGTGGATGTGTGGAAAAATTTTTTCCAAGGGAAATTGACGTATGTGCATTGGACTAAAGGTGAGGAGATGGCCCCAACAATTGGACCTCAGGGTGGTACTCTTCTCGTCAGGAGGTTAATTTCACCAGATTCAAGGTAACTGTCTCTATGGAAATGTTTGCTCAGTGGTAGTGTCTGGGAGGAAGTTTGTCTAAACGTTCAGTACTCACTTCTTTTTAGGAATATAGGGTGGATTTTATATCATTTATAGCTTTAATTAAGGATGCCTGTTTGAGGTGGATTCTTCTGAAGCAGATCATTAGTGTATTAACTGAGTTGGTTCATCTTACAAAGCTCAACAGTTGAAAGTCTTTACCTTTGATGTTTGTTAGGGACACCATTTATATGCTTTCATTTTTCCCCTCATGCATCAGTTAGTCAAATTGTGTTTCTTTTTGCAGCAGGGTTGACGTTGGAGATGTTGTAGTGTTGAAGGATCCTGAAAATTCAGATAATTTAATAGTCCGGAGATTAGCTGCTGTTGAAGGGTATGAAATGGTGTCCAAAGATGAAAAAGATGAGCCTTTTGTTCTAGATGATGATGAATGCTGGGTGGTTGCTGACAATGAAAATATGAAGCCAAAGGTTAAAACTTCTTTCAGAATTTTTATAATTTTTTTACGTCTATCATTTGATGGTTCCGATCCTTTAATAAATCTAGATTATGACATCTATCTTTCTGAAAACATAATGACTCATAAAGAGGGTAATCAAGCTGTGTCTTTATATTCGTTAGCTTTGCACTGCGAGAGCTTCATGTACTTGTAAATACTGTTTTGTACGGTTCCTTTTTCCATTTTGCCTTTTCATGAAGCGGTGGTGACACAATATTGGGTCCTTACGGACGCGTCTGCTATAACATAGTACTTAGTTGGCTTTGCTCGATAGGATCTTCCATCCAAGTCATCCCCCTTTCTGTCTTGTTGGGGGTGCTAAAAGGGCCATCTTATGTCACCAGAGAGGATGAAAGTTTGGTAATTGGGTACCTTGTCAAGTTTCTCGGAGGTGCATTTTAGAGATGCCCTATACTACCATTCTCATGTGGCTTTATAAACCATTTGCAGAGTTACCCTTTCATTCAGGCATTCCTTATTTGTTTGTAGACCTTCTGCACATTGTTTGATGAGGATGTCTCCTCAATACTCAGTACCATATTTGAGGTACTGATGATGTCTTGTTAATATTTGATGAGGATGTCTAGTCAAATACCAAACTTGGGGTCTGCTTATCTATTTTTGGTTTTATATTGAAATGCGTGTTTCAAATGAGTTTTATAAATTACCTGACAACGATACTTATTGTGATTTTGTTCAACTTGCTTAGTCAGTGCAGATACTGACGGATCGTTTTTTTTTTTTAAACTCTAATGTAGCAGGAAGCATATGATAGCCGGACGTTTGGACCTGTTTCAATGTCAAACATCGTAGGTAGAGTTTTATATTGCCTGAGAAATGCTGTGGATCACGGTCCAGTAAACAACAGGTTTGCCCTCGATTTAATCTATGGGCTTATTTTCCAAATTTTCATGATCCGTCTGTGCTTATCCAAATAGTTCGTGAGTTCTTCATCTTTTCTTATCAGTGAAACTAGCATGCGGAAGGATTCCGCAATACTGGAAGTTGAACTAGATGTTGATGAGATGGTGAAAAATCACAAAGCGTAGAATGTACCACAGTAAAAAAAAAAAAGAAGAAATGTACTGCTCGGCGTGTTTTGAATGGGGAAGTACAACTGATCATCTTCTTAGTCAATTTTCCTGGCTGGAACTCTCTATCTCTCTCTTGCAAGTGTAACCACAACAACAAAAGAATAAGTGCAGTTGGTTTTCTGAACCAATGGAGGCAGGTTGAGATCATATAATGTAATCCATTGGAAGGGAAGAGGGCTTGAAAAGACACTTGCATTTGTCTTGGTTTCTGAACATTCCTTTAATTTGAGTAGCATGTCCATTGTTTGTTTGGACAATTTGTGGTCTGAAATCAATTGGAAAAATTATTTGAAGTTGCTGTTAGGCCTTTTCCATCTTTTGTTGTTAAGAGGAATTATTTCAACTCAGATTTGCCAATTAATTAAACAAGGCTTCACTTCTCTCTCCCTCTCACCGTGGGACTTGTCCAGGGGATTTTCATATGGGGAACTCTAGAAAAAAGAGAGGAAAAAAAAAACCTAAGTTAAAAAAAAAGAAAGAATAAATAGTATTAGTATTTCAATTTCATCACCTCATAATTAAAATATGATCCTCTGTGCTACTTTCTTGTGATACTCATTATGACACGATTCAATTGCTACTAATTAATTATATAATTTGTGCTAATACATATACTATAGTCATATATTTTCAATATAGATAATTTTCATATTCTTATTTTATTTTTTATATCAATGGTTTTTTTTTTTTTTTACTGAAATTTGACTATTTTTGTTGGATTTTTAACTATGAAAATTAAAATAAATAAGTCCTGACTCCAAAAAAGTGAACCCTTAGTTCTAAAATATATAAGTTCGAAAGTGATTGTGAATGATATACGTATTAATACAAATTATATAATTTATAAGAAATAATTAAATCTTTATCACAGTAAATGTCTCAAGAAAGTAGCATAGACCTGATTACTACTTCAACCTCGTAATTAGACCTGGAGTAATCCTAAAATTATGGTTAAATTTCAGTTTTTCACAATTTTAGAGGGAAATTGATGATTTCAACATACTTTTGAGGTAAAATAATTAAGCCCAGTAGTAAAATAATTACAAAAGAAAAAAATACAGGATAATCTGGCCGACCGACTGAACACGTCCCCCGGTTTACAAAGGCCGCTCAAACCTTTGTCTTGGAGATGCAATACGGAGTGTGAGAATCAATCTCTACTTAGGGTTTTAGTTTCAGTTTTTATCTATCGAACATGTCCCAAGCCATCCATTTCATGGCTAGCGGTTTTCCAGGTAAAGCATGTTGCATTTTTATTCTGCTGCTTTTGTGCGGGGAAAAAAAAAAAACTATGGGAAGCAGAAGCATTCTACATCGAATTGAGTCTCATGCATCTTATGAAATACAGTCTGTAGTTTATACTATTGAAATTGATGCAGTTTCTAGGTCTATTTCTAGTTCTGTTTTTCAAAGTGTGGTTGCGCGCGCTATGTGTTCGATGAAATTTCTATTAGTTTAGCTCGTGGAATTTTTGTTCTTGTTTTTGCGTTTTTTCTCAAGGATAATAACTGGGTTTCTTTCCTCCTTCGTTTTTTTTCTGTCCCTTTATTTTCATTTGAATGGTGTAACTCAACTCAACCATGTGGGTTCTTGTTGTAATGCCGGGTGTTATTTGTTGTATTTTCTCGACCCTAAATGTGTTGCATATTGCCTATGTGGTTTATTAGGTGCTTGGGTGTTTAGTCCTTGCCTGTATTTTGAATTTTTTTGAGGAATTATAATTGCAAGGCTTAAAGCCTTATGGACGAATTGAGCTCCAGTTTGCATTCTTCCATTCCTCAATAGGCATTCTCATTATTTCATATTGTTTGTCGTAGTCATGGCCAATATCTAAATCAGGATATGGAATTCTTAATGTTTTGGATGCACTCTTTTCTCTTTGTAACGTTTGCTTTCCGAGAAAGAAGCCTAAAGTTTGATTATACCCCTCTCTTCTGTGTATTTCAGGACTCGGCCCACCTGACAGCCAATGTCTTCCATGTCGTGAAGTTCTTGGAAGTGCTGTTTGTGCCTCGCCGTACCCTTCCCGTAGTCAGAGCAATAACAGCTTGAAGCTCAATCATTCACGATGTAACACCCGGAATCCATCTCTCATATGTAGAGCAAGTTCTGGCGGTCATCGAAGAAACTCTGATTTCTCAAGACAAAATAAACAAGGATCATTTCGGAAGAGGAATTGGCAAAATGAAGATCGAGATGGTTATGACAATCTTGAAGAATCTGATATGTTATCTTCCAGAAATGGGCCACTTCTTTCAGCCTCCGGCAATTCGAGATTCCAAGCCACCGCAACTCCTGGACCAAGAGAAAAGGAAATAGTTGAACTATTCAGAAAGGTTCAGGCTAAGCTCCGACAAAGAGCAGCGGTCAAGGATGAGAAGAAGACCGAGGAGTCGCAGAAAAAAGGGAAAGAGAGTGAAACTGTTGATTCTCTGCTTAAGCTTTTAAGAAAGCATTCAATTCAACAAGGGAAGGTAAGTAGTGATATCAGCATCAGCAACAGCAGCGAGTTCATCTTAGATCAGCCTGTGCAGAATGGGCTGATTTCTGATGAGAGAAGCAATACTACGTTCGACTCAAATAGCAGTGTCACACATGTGAAACAAGAAAGTGAAGCCCCTATTATTAGTCGACCGAGGTCAAGCTTCCAGCGTAGGTCTCCTATACCTCCAGTGGAAGTTCAGCCTGTGTTCTCTGGTGAAAATTCTAAGCAGTCTGTTACGCGGGCTAATTCTGAGAAGAAAATGGAGACGACTTTGGAGCCTCTATTTGATGTTGAACCTGAAGCGGATCCTCCTTTCTCAGAAGAGGATGAATTTGATGAAATATCCGAGGATGAAATTTCAGGGATTTATGATGATGTTGATGATGAGGTGGATGATGGCAGTGGCATCGAGGATGATGAAGATGATGACAATGAGACCGATGATGTACCAGAACCTATTGCGGCTGAAGAAAGCAACTTAAGTGAAATGAAGCTAACAGAACTCAGGGCACTAGCGAAGTCCAAGGGGTTGAAAGGATTCTCAAAGTTGAAGAAACAAGAGCTTATTGATTTGCTTGTTGGAGTCTAGATCTGTTTGATTTCTGCGCTTACTGGTATATTCAACTGTCCCTTTCTAATTCTCTTCAGGCCACTACATCCAGATCTTGGTAGCCTTAAAGTTTGTCATTTGCGCTCACGTAGTTAAACATCATTTTGTTAAACTGAAGACAGTTTTTCAGTAAATTAGGATTCAATGACTTATTTGCCTCCCGCTCTTTTCCTTCTCAGCAACATCATATGATGTCTTGCATGGCTGTAGCACATTCGAGTGCTTGATCTTGGAAAAATAATATGCTCTAGTCGTAATCTGCAGCTGCATTTCCAGCATGGTTGCATAAGATTTTGGGTCTTCACTTATGTGTTACATGTGTATCTAAGTTAGTAAGATAATATTGTTATATTTGCCAGTTTAATGGCACGCATTTTTTTCCCCCCTTCTCTCGGTTGTTAGAAGGTGGAGGGGCGCTTATCCTAATCAATAGATGATTAATGAAACTGTCAAAATCAGGCAACTGAAGATGAGTTGGCATTTGGTTCGTGCCAACCTCAGAGGTAGTTAAGTTGACCATATGTAGCCGCTATTTTCTATTTCCACGATATCTTGTTTCTGGATTCTGGAATCCTTAGCCATTCCTGGTAATAATAACTCCTCACAATTAGTAAAATATACTCGATTTCGTCTCGTTTTAATAGTCCATTTAGAAAGAGAGTGCTAATGATATTTGCGAGGGCTTTTAAATGAATCGTCCAATTTCAACCCACAACACACAACATATTCCGTTGTTTCCCACTTCTGAGGCAAAGTATACTAAGCCCTTTGTCCTATTACAAGTTGTGGGGTTTTTGACACTTTGACTAGTAAGTTAAGTAGTGCGATTTTGCACATGCAGTTTGCCAGCGACCCCAACACCCTCTCGGTACATTTTGATTTGTATTAGGTTTAACTTAATACGTATTTTTAATTGACTAAAAAACTTTAAAAATATTGTATAACAATAAAAGGAATAGAACGAACGTGAAAATATATTTTTAAAATTTTTTTGTCAATTAAAAATGCGTATTAGGTGAAATCTAAGACAAAATTAAAATGACCGCAGAGAATATAATAATAATAATAATAATAATCAATGAATGATATTTGATAATGAGACTGGTTTTTGACCTTTGTCAAGGAGAATGTTTTCCCCCTTCCATTTGGGCATTTGCCCATTTTAGCAGCAGCAAACAGCAGAGTAGTAGTAGCAGACTGATCACAATCAATAAACTGTAATTTTATCAAAATTTTTTTTTTTATAATACCGGAAAATTTGGGGTATGTGTCATATCACGTGAAATCGCTTTGGATACTAACAACCTGCAGAACAGCAGAAATCCGAGATCTTTTTTTTTTGCGATTTTTACACCATTTCCCACTGGCACCATTACTTCCCAAATGCCCTGGTTTTTTGAACCACAAAAAAAACTACCTAATAATCCTGTTTTTTTACTACGGTTTTGACATTGATTTTTTACCAACCCAGGGTCACAGGGTCCGGCAAAAAATAGTTCATTAATTACAGAAGAAAGGGTCCTAATCAACTTTCTCTCTGGATGTCATTGATATTAGCCCATATAAAGAAAGAGAGAGAGAGCAAGAGAAAAACAAATGAAAACGTCAATGAATGGCAACTGGCATAAGGCAGCAATTGAATTAAATGGGTGGGTGTGGAACTACCCTCCCAAAACGTTGCTGTAATGCCAACAACATAGCCCATCTTAATCCCACATTATGGAGCTCAGCAGCTAGCTAGTAGGTTTAGACGTTTAGGTACATTCTGGTTCCTGGCAAAAAAGATAAAAATTGTTACTGCTTATTAGTATTATTAGTCTGTTTGGTGGATGACCTTGTTTCTGAGGCTTCTCGTACGCACGTTTGTCCAAGAACTTGGTGCCCACCAAAAGTTTTTCTTCACCACTAATAAATTTTATAGGTAGATTCTTTTCATAAATTTTTATGTTACATTCTTTTATTTCCGAATTAATAATTTGAATCGATGACAACCAACGGGTTATGATTTCTTAACACTCTTTATAATAGCGATTAGTAGTAATTTGTATTAGTTGTGATGTTACAAAACTTACAACAAAATAAGGAAATTTTATTAACCAAAAAAAAACACACACACACACACAGAGAGGAAATTTGGTAGTGTTTTGAAGTCTTCTTTTGGTGGTTGGAATAAAAGGGTTGCCTGTACAGGTACCACGTAAGAAAAGGCAATCATAGTTATTCTACAACGTTATTGGATGTGAATCATATGATTCTTCTTTTTATCCACCTTCTTTAATGATTAGTTCATTAACAAAAAGGTCTTCACTTTTTTAGTTTCCCCTAATCATGATTTCAGATTCCTCAATTGCTCATTATCATCTGTCATCACCATTTTTAAAATCGTTTTAATCTATATATCATCTCAGGGTTTGTTTATTAGATTCACCAAAGCCACCCAGCAATCTGCAACTAATACAGGGTCCTACCAATTTGTCCTCTTCAATATTTTTTTTTAAAATTTTTTTTCACCCCCTTCATTTATTATTAGTTCTTTGTCCCCTTCCCTTCCGGTTCTTGCATCGCCTTCTCGTTCTCATCTTACAATGCAACATCCTGAAAATGGCTCAGAAAATTTAATGGGTTGCCTCTTGTTGTTAAAGATGTGACATAATCTTTCACGAAAATTTGATCTTTTATGGTTTTTTTTCGTTTCTGGGCTTAATCAAGATCTGATTTTTATGGCTCTGAAACAGCAGAGGTACGTTTCTGTTAACCTCAGTGCTCTTATTGTCGATCATTTTCTGTAATTATCTTTAATGTTTTTGACACTTAGAAATTCTAGTTACGTTTTTTGGTTCTCTGTATCATCAATTTTTGAGTTCTTTGGTTTGGTTTATACTCTGTCAATTTTTAGAAACCTTTAGGACTTCTGTGGGAAGTTCATTATTAGACGTTCTGAGCTTGGTCTTCCTTTGTCAATTTGATGGAAGAGAGAATCACGAAAACTGTTTATGTAAGTGAAGAACTCAGCCGGTAACATGTTACTGTGTGATGAAGGATATGGTTAGAACATGATATCCATTTCGGAAGCTTTGGCTTTAAGCTCTGTCAAACAATTGGCATTCCTTTTTTGTTGATCTTCTGAGTATTTGGCAGGCTTACTGAGAGGTTATAGATAGAATTATTGTCCTTGGCCGCTCAGCTCCATCATTTGCCTCCATCTTTCTTTACTCTTGTTTTTATCGGGTAAATTTGAAGTATAGGGAGAAATTTCATTGCTTTGGTGCAGTGAAGCTGAAGGCTTATTCTTGATTTAGTCACTTTTTCAAGTTGGGGAACGAGAAGGTTTTTGTTTTTACTGACCCACATCAATTTCATTTTTTATGGTGCAAATATAGTTTATTATAAAGCAAAAGGGTAACAAGAATAAATCATACGCCATAAAAGTAGTATTTCAAAATTTTGATTTCCCTTTAACTTTCAGTTAACACATATAATTGGGTTTAGGTCTGGACCTGTTAACATACATTAAAATGTCATCATGTGGAACATTTCGAATAAAGTTACATTTTTGCCTTTGGCTTGCCGTTTGTCGTTTTGTCTTTGTGTTCTGTTTTTTCTTTTAAATGGTATTCATCATTCTTCGTCTCATTTGTAACAGGTCAATGGATTTAACAGCTGTAAGATGCCTCGTTAATAGTGTTTCTCGGTTCATTCATTTAGTAAAATGTTCCCCTACAAAGGATATGCCGACTCAGAAGGATTACACATATTTAAGCTGTCTGTTAAAGCAATTGAAGCCATTACTTGATGATATCGTGGATGGCAAAGTACCTTCAGATGAAATACTTTACAAAGATTGCGAAGAACTCGATATAGCAGTGAATGAGGCTAGAGAATTTTTTGAGAAATGGTCTCCAAAGATGAGCAAGATTCTTTGTGTTAGTACCTCCTATTCTCTTTGACATCTATCTTTTTCCATGTTGCATTTTAGGAGATTGATCTTTGGAAAATGTTGTTACTCATGCAAAGTAAGTGCAAACCAATTATGCCTCTTTTATATTACATCAAGAATGTCTCTAACCTTGATCAGTATGAAATTTGAACCAATATTGAAATTTCCTCCTAAGGTTCGTAAATAAAGTACACAGGTGGTTGTGATCTGAACAAAAAGTGGCAAAGAGTTGTGATATCTGGTAGCAGTTCAATTCTCTTTGTCTTGTTTTTTTGGCATTATAGGCCTAAATAATTAGTCATGAAAGATCTTTGTATAACTTTCCATCCATGTTTTGTGTCAGTGATTTGGCACTTGATGAAGTTTGAAATGCTGATGCAGGACTTTTAAATATTTCTGATGGCCTGGTTTATTTGAGCACATACAATTAAAAGAAAAAAGAAAAAAAATTGTTTTTCTGATAGTCTATTTTAGAAGGAAGAAGCATCAGAAGAAATCAGTAATCGAAGAAAGAAAGATAAATTGTGGCTCTCTTGTCTATAATTATTTATCAATTTCGCTCCCTTCAGGTTGTTGAAAGTGAGCTGTTGCTGAAGGAAGTCCAAAACTCCTTGCATAAGATCTCTCAAATCCTCTTTAGATCTTTGGAGCCCACATCTTCCTTGAGTCTATCTGACATCCAGGTAAGACTGCAGCTATCTTAGCTTCTAATCTACCTCTTCATTGCTTTTCTTGCCGAGGTTTGGTTGGAGATTACTCTTTGTTTGACTAATAATTTTTCGTTGTTATTTGTTCTCTACATGGAAGTACTTTTAGATTTAACGAGGTTTAGGAATCTCTTTTAATGGTTTAAGCAGGAATTTCAGCATTTGAAGCTGGAAAATTTATCAAATTATATAGAAGAAGCAATCGTAAGACAAAGAGAAGGAAAGGCCCCTTCTTCTGAGCAGCTTATTCCAATTATAGAGTCGCTGAATTTTACCTCAAAAGACGTCCTGCTAAATGAGAGTATTTCCCTGGAGAAGGAGAGAGTGAAAGCTGAAGATAATAAATTGAAAGGGAAAATAGAGCAAGTCAACCTCATCATTCTTTTGTTGTCACATATACGAGATAGAATGGTTAAGCTGGAGAATTTTAAGTCCGTAAATGGCGTTAAGATCCCTCCATACTTCCTATGTCCACTATCTTTGGATTTAATGGTGGATCCGGTGATTGTGGCTTCGGGGCAAACCTATGAGAAGTCATCCATTCAGAAATGGCTAGATCAAGGATTAAGTATATGCCCTAAAACCTGTCAAAAACTCTCACACCGTAATCTCATCCCCAACCATACAGTCAAAGCTCTGATAGCAAATTGGTGTCAAGAGAACAATATAAAGCTCCCTAATTCTTCTGAGTGCTCTGAGGTTTCATCTTCAGACAATGGCCATTGTCATTCACAAAATAGGAATTCATCACTAGGGTCTTCCACAGGAGTTGCAAATGATCCTGAAAAGAAAATCTATTGCTCTTTGGGACTCCCTCGTGAAGAAGTAAATGTGAATCATCCCATGGAGGCTGAAAAGTCTGGCAATTCACCGACACACTCGTATGTCCACAGCAGGAGTGAATCAACATCAAGTGCTGTCTCTAGCATTGACTACTTACCTTCAGTATCTCCTGATGTATCAAGACTCTCCAGTAATAATGATAATGGCAGTGGCATGTCCGCGGAGATGGTGATTCGTTGTTCCCCTGTTATTTCTACTGAGAATAATGGATGTCTTCCTCTGACCGGAAGACTGCATCACAATTCAAAAACAATATCTGAAATGGCAGTCAATGGAAATCATAGTCCACCTGGATCAGTTTCACTTTCTTCTCAGTCTCAGTTTGATGATTTAACCACAACTTCTTATGTTGAAAAGCTACTTAGTGATTTGAAGACTGCAACGGCTGAGTTGCAAAGTGCGGCTGCAGCAGAATTGCGATTTTTGGCAAAGCATAATAATGACAATCGTGTTATTATTGGAAACTGTGGGGCTATTGAACCTTTGATATCATTATTGCTCTCGGATGTGAAACCAATTCAAGAACATGCTGTGACTGCACTTCTGAACTTATCAATTAATGAAAACCTGAAAGCCAAGATTGCGGAAGGCGGAGCTCTTGAACCATTAATACATGTTCTGAGAACAGGGAATAACGTTGCGAAAGAAAATGCTGCAGCGTGCCTTTTCAGTCTCTCCGTTTTGGAAGATTACCGTGCAAAGATTGGCCGTTCAGCTGCAGTTAAAGGGTTAGTTGATCTTCTGGGAACTGGTACTATGAGAGGAAAGAAAGATGCCGCAACTGCTTTGTTTAACCTATCAATATTTCATGAAAATAAGGCTCGTATAGTCCAGGCTGGAGCTGTTAAATATCTGGTTGAGTTGTTGGACCCTGAAAGAGAGATGGTTGATAAAGCTGTTGCTCTACTTGCAAATTTGTCAACCATTCCTGAGGGGTGCTCAGCAATTGCTCGGGAAGGAGGCATACCAATGTTGGTTGAGCTTGTTGAGATAGGATCGCAGCGGGGAAAGGAGAATTCTGCCTCAATTTTACTGCAATTGTGCATAAACAGTCCCAAATACTGCCGCCTTGTTTTGCAGGAGGGAGCAGTCCCACCTCTTGTAGCCTTATCTCAGTCTGGCACTCCTAGAGCAAAAGAGAAGGTTAATATTTTTGCTCTTTCGCCTTCTTATTAGCTGCCATTCTGCATTAATTTTTTTTATTTGTTTTATTGATTTCTGCATTAGGTGAATTAGCTCTAGTATGACATTTTAACATCTGGAGTAGTTGGAAAGACAGTCGGAGGCGGGTCTAGTTTGGATTATTTTCATTTTTTGGTGTCTAGTTTTTTTAGTCCCCCTGCTTGTCTAAGAATAGTTGGATTTTCATTTTGTGGTGTCTAGTTTTTTTAGTCTTCCTGTTTGTGTGAGAACAGTTGGTTTCAGTATTTTTCAGTACGGTATGTGAATAATAATAGAGGAAATTACTTTTAGTTTTCTCCCTTCTTTATTCAAGTTATGAGTGACAGTTGAATAAGTGTTATAGGTCATTCAATAAGATAGAATATTTTGCAAACAGTATTAAGGCTCCACACTATGTTTTTTCCTTTACAAGATGATGAGGTTTTTATATGTTTATGAAAAATGACGGGAGTCTTCTTTATAAAATTGATGCAGGCCCAGCAACTTCTCAGTCATTTCCGCAGCCAGCGAGAAGGTGCAATTGGTAGGGGGAAACCATGAGGGGGAATTCCTTATGGATCTGTTGTGTTTTCTGCTGTAGTATCTCTGTAAGTAATCGTGGAGGAGAGTTTTGTTCGCCCTTATTCTCTTAATACCACTTGATCGGTTTAGTTAGTTCCTTGGGTCATGTGGTCGTCCATAGATTGTAGCTTTAGAGCAAGTGCTGCTACTGGGGATTTCTTATTGTAGTTCCTTTGGTATGTAGAAGACCATTTCAGTATGTATATGTTCTTCACTTGTCATAGTTGTTAGTTTTGATGAGGTCGTGATGGTAAATGAGAGTTCTCAACATTTCTGCTTTTAGCATTAATGGCTGTATCAGCATCAAATTGCTTATTTGCTCGATTAGTGGGAGATATAGGTTTCAGGACAACTTCCAGTTGTTGGCCTGTTGAGATGTTTTCACCTGAAAGTATTAACATTTATGATGCTCCTGTTTCCGATTGAATCAGTATTGCAGTTTTGCCCCAGAATGTGACTAAAAGTATCAAGTTTTGTTCTCTTTACTTACTGCATGAGTTCATTCATTTGAACCCACTAACGAGGAGTGAAAATCATTAACATGTCTCTTAGAACATTTTCGTCCCCTGTAATTCAACAGTTGCGGCCGCAGACTGAAGGAGGGGGAAAAAAAAAGAAGAAACTTTATCATCTTTTTTAGAGGGAGTTGTTTATAGAGATTGTTGAAACTTTAGGCAAAACCAATCAATTTCCAAAAGATTGTACGGAGCCAACCATGATAAATCTGCACACATTCTCCCATCCCTGTATAGTATATGCCCTGCATGTTTTGGAATTGGCTAGCATCCACAAGTTTTGTGTTCTTTTATGAGTTTTGAGTGGCATAAAGTAGAACATAATTTTAAGCAACAGGTTTTATTTAATGATTCCTTGTCATAGAGATATGGTAAAGTTAGTCAAGTGATTCCTATGAAGGAAGGCATACCCTTGGAAGTGGGAATTGGGAACTTAAAAAAATAACCTGTCTATACTAATAGGAGGAATGTTGTCTGAAACCTAATGATATAGAGTTACCTAGCTAATTACCCCTCTCCCTGTATATTTTTCTTGTAGAATCGAGGTGGTCCCCTGATTTGTTGATGTCTAAATTTGATTAATTCGTACAATTAGATTCCATGCCATATAAAGATAATGATAAGAAAAATGTTGGATTTCACGTCGTACGACGACGAGGATTGTTACCAATAAATCTAGCTTAAGCCAGCTAAGTTGTTTTATCCACATCTTAATACAACGTTATATATTCTCTGATTTTGTGCAGCTCTGGAGTCTGGTCAGAGTAATTCTTTAATCATTTACTTTAAGTTTGTTTATGATGCTACTTTTAAGCTTACAAATTCATGACTACTGTTGTGTGTGCGCTATTCTGTCATTGGTTGTAGATGTACTCCACGGAGTTGTAAGTAGTACTGCAAAAGTGACTAGGGTTGTCAATATTTTGAATTTGCTTTCTAGTTTTCCACGAACAGGGAAGCAAGAAAATTCAGTTCTGTTCTGCAACTCTGCAATTCTGAATTAGCCAAAACATGTTCCATTCTGGTTATTTTGTATCCTCAAGTTTATGACACTTTTGTTAATTGTGACATATGAGGTGATACCTCCCTGAAAATGTTGATAGGCCATAACCAACCACTCGGGTTTTCAGCATCTTCAGAAGAAACCTCATACTATCTGTTACCCTAGTTACAGTTGCTCAAGCAGTTCGAGATCTAACCCAATTGATTGAGCGTTTGATTCCTATCTATTATCTGTGTACTTAGGTATAGACTTTGGGATGAAATTGTCGCATTTCTTGACTAAACTATGAAAAACTAAAGGAAGTTAGACGTTGCTATCTGTGATTTGTAGCTTAGTACCTCAGACAGAAGCCATCAACACGATGTTGTGTTATATGTAGACATCATATATATGTGAAAAACTACAAAACTCGCTGGAGAGGATTTGATAATAATCCAGTGGAAGGAGGGCCGACAAGAGAGATGAGAAATTTTTTAGTGAAATCTTGCCACAATGCATATATCTTTTTTCCGTTTTGATCAGTCAAAATCCGCATGTTTTGTGTAATTGACAGAAGCCATGTAAACTACACATGGGCTGTTGTTTTGCAGGGAAAAAAAAACGCTGATCTTTTGAGTTGTCTGAAGGGCTTTTTCCTTACCTTTTCTGTGATAGTGATCTAACCCTCTTCTTCTTTACTCGCCCCCCCCCCCCACCTCATTCAGCAGCATTGATTCAGGACAGAACAAAATACTGAAGCACAAACCATCATCGTATTGTACGTGTATAGTATTAAATTAGGAGTAGGGCCTAATGGTGAAAGAGAAATTTGGAAATGGACATAACTAATACTCCCTCCATCCTATAATTATTGTCCAGTTTGAGTTTTTATTTCTTGTTCAAATTGTACTAAAAAGTGGAATTTCAAACTGGATAATAATTATGGGACAGAGGGAGTAACTTTATTGATGAACGCCAAAATTTTTTGAAGTGCATTCATATCCATCATTTCGGTATTAGATGATCATCAACTTCTAAAGCCTACCCAACACTTTCTTATTCTCCAAGGCTAATTTTGTTCAGAACAACAGACGTTAAGGTCAAATTCTAATTTTTTGTTATACTATATCATCTTTAGTCCAAAATGTTCAGAAGCAACTATTAAAATTGGGCACGTCGTTAGTCTCATGTACCAAAACTTCTAGGCTCTAGCAGTCTACTCCAATAAATATTGTTCTTATTGTAGGTCCATTAAAATGTGTAATCAGTTTCTTTCAAGCTTAAACCTCCCTGTGATTTTGGAGCTTTTTAGGGTATCCCTTTCGTTCTTGTTGATCATTGGAAAAAAAAAAGTGAAATTTTTTATTAGTTAGTCTGCTCCTGATATGTGGATGATTTGATTCAAAACGGCTCTCATGGAGAACGTATATATTACAAGACTACTTTCGTACTCAAATAATTGTTTTATCTAGTATATATTTATATTTTATGTAACAAAACATGAATTCATTAAAATGGAGGGTTGAAGATTTTCATCTTACGAATAATGGTTGTTGAGGAGTCCAGTCTCATACTAGGGTTTTTGCAGTTTTTTTTTTAAAAAATAATAATAATGAATATATACGTTATTATAGCATTTTTTTTATTTTCTTTTACATTTCTAATTTTCTAGTAGTACATATTTTTACATTTCTAACCGAAAAAAATCTTTTCCAAACATTGGGTGAGACAATAATTGGTCAAAACATCTTGTCAAATTGTTCATCGTATCACACAGACTGCTTTTAAAACCCATGGAGAACAAAGACCCTAGTTATTCGATCGAGAAAGGTGGTTAATAGTATGACACAAACTGATTAGTTGTAGTTGTAATAAAAGTAATAAAAGGGACATTTCCAAAAAAAAAATCTCATAAATAGTTAGCTGGGTTCTGCTTCAAAATCTTACTGATGAATGATGGACCAGTTTAGAATTTGAACCTACACTTTGACTGACCGTACAAGATGAAATTAACTTGACAATGGCAATTTGCAGGTATAGTATAACACTCTATATTAATGACTCATTTCCTTTTATTCTGAAACGAAATAAGGGAAACGTGACGAAATTCTCCATAAAAAAAAATTTGGATTCCAAATGAGGGATATGAATAATATTGGTTTGGTTTGATTTGGTTTGGTAGCTCATTAAACAAATTAACCAACCAACCCGCTGGATATAAAATATGCATTTAGACATTTATAGGCATTTCTTTTACTCTTTTTTTTTTTTTTTTGGAAATCGTTACAAGCATTTTATGTTGATAACAAACTTGACCCTTTAACCTATTTGAGCTCTCAGGATCAGTACAACCTTAAACTCAATTAAGTTACGGTCCAAACTCTAGTTGGAAATGAATCAAATCTTCAACACTCATTTTGGCTGCCAAAATGAGGAGGCAGGGAACAAAAATCCAGATAAGTAAGTTTTTTTTCTTTTTCTTTTTTTTTTGAAATGGTGATAAGTAAGTAGTAGTACCACTTTTAGAATCTTACACTGTTAATTTAGAAGTCCTGCCATATAGGACCAATTATATGATCACTGGCTGACTGATATATAAAAATTAATGTGCAGATCAGATGGAGATGACAATTGCCATAACTCACGAGCGTGGTTCCTGCAATCTTTGGTCTTTTGGGCAACAATGTGCTAGAATGCATTTCCCATAGGAGAAAGGGAAAAAAAAAAGAGAAAAGGGAAAGAAGTATAGCAGTACCTTCTGATTTAGTACTTCATTTTCATCATCAGTATAACAAAAGGGGAGGGCCTCATATGACGAATAATGGTTTGATGACTTGATGTTCAATCACATTGCTAGGAAGGAAACTCAAAAAAAAAAAAACAAAAGCTGAAAAAGAAAGGTTGTGAATTGGAAATGAGACAAAAGATGTAGTGACAGAGTGAATTCGTATAAGTGAAATTGTTGAGGGACTGATGTTACCTAAAAGAAATAAAGAAAAGAAAAAAAAATTCTGTGATACTTTTATTGCTACACTCCTTGCTATTGACACAGTTTTTGATATAAAAGTCGGAAAAAAACACAAGTAACCCTAATGAGAAAAGTGATTCATTAAACTTAGTACTCACACAGCTCATATTAAGTTTTAAGACTAGTACTAAAAAAAGTATACACTAAAAACTCAATATTCATTTTTTTTTTTTTGGACGGAGATAATAAAATATAATGTTACAAGAAATGCGATATCAAGATTGAATAATTAAAGTGATGACTACCATTGCAATATATCACCGAATGAATCCGCTGTCTTTATAACTGTCTAATACAAAAACAAAGGGGTATTCTGGACATTGCAATATGCAAGGAACTGTCATTCAACCACTGAGTGGGGTGAAAACTGAAAGTGTGGTGAAGCAGCAGAGTCTATGCTGCCACTTCCTCTTCATCACTTTAATAATAGTACTAGCACAGTAATAGTAATAGTAGTGTTATTTTAGTATTTTACTCCTGGTACTACTTCATGAATCATTTCACACACACAAACACATCTCTCTCTTTTTTCTTTTTTTTTTACGAACTTTTTCATGTCTCCATCTCAACCTACTGTCTATCAAAAACCTTCCTTTCCCTCTCTATTGCCAGTTTGCCACAGAAGCCCTAGCTTCTTCTCTAACCTTTCCTTCTCACTTGGCCAATCAGATTAAGATGGATGGGTTAAGTGTAAAGAAAGGTCAGCCTGTTTTGTTTCCCCTATTTTGGGAAAAAAAGAGTTGAGTGGGCTACTAAAAATCCATAGCATTTACAGTGGGTTTGCGAAGATTTTTCTTAGTATTGGCTCAAACAAAGAAACTCCAATAATATTTTACCATCACCCCCTCCCAAAGTAGTCTTCTCATATATATCAGTTTCAGTAGTCTCCCATCAATCTCATCATCAGTTATGTTGTATACCATATGTTCAGCTCTTCATTACTACTCTGCTACTTTTTGCTGCTATTTCTCCCCAATTTTGATTATTTCTCAATCTCTCTTTCACTTCCCCATCCCATCCCTAATCACAAATATGGAAAGTTTCTGATATTTCATTCAACCTATCATCAAAAACACATCATCTCTCCTTCTCTTTAGCCCCCTTTCATAATTCCCTTTCCTTTTCCAGTATATATAAACAACACAAAAGCCCACATACCCAACATCCCTAAATTCACTGCTATAAACTTCCTTCCTACCCCATGATCTAGACTCTCTTCAAAATCACAAAACTATTCTTCCACTATTTTCTAGATGAAACCCTAGCCAAGAAGAACTCAGCTATTTGATCAAGAATTTAGCATATATATATATTAAAAAAAAGAAAAAAAAAAAAGCCACAAATGGATCCATTCGCAGATATTCAAACCAACCCAATAGTTGGGAACACGAGCAGTAATATCAACACGGCATCATCCTCATCAACAACATCTGGAGCTTCAGGTACGATGAACAACAACAACAGCACGCCGAGTAGATACGAGAATCAAAAGCGAAGGGATTGGAACACATTTGGGCAGTACTTGAAGAACCACAGGCCACCGCTGACGCTGTCGCGGTGCAGCGGGGCTCATGTGCTGGAATTCCTCCGGTATTTAGATCAGTTCGGCAAGACCAAAGTCCACACTCCGATTTGTCCGTTTTTCGGGCACCCGAATCCGCCGGCTCCGTGCCCTTGTCCGCTCAGGCAAGCTTGGGGAAGCCTTGATGCGCTGATTGGAAGGCTTAGAGCTGCTTATGAAGAAAATGGTGGTAGACCTGAAGCTAACCCTTTTGGTGCTCGTGCTGTTAGGCTTTACCTTCGTGAAGTTCGTGATTTGCAGTCTAAAGCACGAGGAATCAGCTACGAAAAGAAGAAGCGAAAGCGTCCTCAGGCGTCCTCCTCCTCAGCTCCTCCTTCATCTTCAGGTGAAGCTTAATTAATTGATTAATCATTCCAAAAAATTGGTGCTCTCAGCTCTGCCCTTTTTTTAAAAGGTTTTATTGGGATCCCTTCTTGTGTTTGTTGTTGTTGCTGCTGTTTATGTAAGTTGATTTTCATCTCTTTTAGGGTTAGTTGATTTTTGTTTCTTCAAAAAGAGCAAAAACTATGAAGAAGAAAAAATGTTGAGCTGTACTTCTTACTGTTCATGGCTCTCAGCTTCCAGTACACTTACTCTAGTAGAGCAATTTGTTTCCTTGAATTGGAAAAAGAATGGGGAACAACTTTTATTATTAGTAGTATTAATATTATTGTTGGAATTTGCTGTTGATGCAAACAGTAGCAGTTTCTTTGTTGTTTCATTAGTTAGTGTGTGAGTGTGTGTGTAGTTGTAGTAGTAAAAGTTGGGTTTAAATGAAATGTACTTGCGTTTTCTTGAATCCTTGACATCTGTGGAGTTTTTTTTTTTTTTTTTTTTTTGCGCACAACAAACAAAAAATTGATTATAATCAAAGGACTCTTTTGTCCTGCAAATAGTTAATGTTCATGAGTAGTTGTATTGATTTTGGGCACCACACGTTTTTTGGTTTTCCTTGTATCAATCCATCATCATCATATTAATTTTACCCTAATTTTGTTTGTTTCTCCATCGGATTTCTTCCAGTTCAGTTTTATTGAGTAATTCTGGTTAAGGTCGAATGTAAACTGTAAAGCAAACGTATTCATGGTTTGTCTCTTGTTTCCGCTATATATGTGAAACACTCATTCCAAATCCTGTTTATTGAATTAAAAAAACAAATGGCAATATATCTCGTTTTATGAAACAAACGGAGCATGTATGAAATTTGCAACTATCAGTATCATTATGTTCTTCATTCAAATGCTGTTGTTTTGTCTTATATCCCTTCACTCTTTTTCAGCTTTACTGTCTTCTAATGTTATATGCCATAGTGCATGGGGTATATGGAGTGTATATATATATATATATATACATTCACGTTATCTGAACATTGCTTATAACTCTTGGTCAATTCTTAGGGTGCTAGCTCTAGCTAGCTAGCTAATTTAGTTAATTAATTCTTCAGATAAATTTATTGTTATGAACATGAACTACTAATAACACTTAATAAGGCCACCCGTGATAAATAATTGATATGTTAATTTGCTCATAATTTATGTGTAGTGCTGTCATTTCACTGGAAGGATTTTGTGAAATTGGCAGACAAATAAGATTCACATGTCTTCACATATTGGCCCTGTGAAGATTCCACTTTTGGTTTTCCGTATCATATTTAATTAACTTTTTATTAATCAAATCTCTTTGTTTTGTTTCTTTTATTTTATTTTATTTTTTAAATTCAGTTAATTGTGATGACAACTTTCCCCAGTTTTATTATCGTTTGTTTTGGTCCATAGTAGGAAGCATCGCATAAAATCTTGCACATATTCCCTAGTTTTATCGTTTGATTGGGTCACACCGCAGGAAGTATTTTTTGTTTGTTTCTGTTACTAAATAGTTAATTCAGTTGAACTTATAAACGTGATGAACATATATATCTTATCTTATGATCATGAATTGTGAATTTACTCTCTGAAGACGTCTTCCCACCAAAAGCAAAATTTTCACATAGCTAAGAAAGGAGAATGTTTAAATGTAAAACTGTTTGGGAGAAAAAAGAAAATTCATGGTGTGTAATAGACTAATTTTAAACTGTCAGCATCTGCATTAACCTAACTACTAATTTATCTATATCCATCGGAGGTATTATGCCATAGTATTTTTTTTCTTTTTTTTTCTTCAAACGAGCTAGAAGAAAAAGGGATGGGCTGCTGCATATTTGCAACTAATGATTAATAAGAATATAAGAATCGAACTCTGTGACTTGAGGCCAATAATACCCTTTAACATTATAATGTTATGCTTAACTAATACTCCTTCCGTCCTATAATTATTGTCCAGTTTGAGTGTTCATTAATTTTTAGTTTAAATTGTACTAAAAGTGAAATCTCAAACTGGACAATAATTTTGGGACAGAGGGAGTCCTTATCTTTAATCAGATGCTTAATCGTTGGATTTTTCATCCTTGAAATTGATTGAGTACGTAATTCGGGTGATTATCGTTATTTTCATATCCATATATATATATATACAAGAAGTTTAAATTGATGAAGCACATTTACAATTGACTTTAGTGCATGATACATTCACAAATCGCATTACTAATCATCATTGTGAAGCTGACCCTCTATGATGATTTTCTTTTATTATAGTTGTTATTATTTTTTGTATTTACCTTTGTGATGAATTTACTAATAACAGCGGATAGCTAGTAAGATGTTTGATCTACTAAAACATATGGGGTCCGGGTGACCGATGGAGAAAAGTACTTTCTAATTAAACAAAAAAAAAAAGAGTCAAATTAATAATGGATCCAACCGCAATCAAGTTCCTACAGGAAATGCTACAAAGACTATTAGGCTCGGATAGGGTACCTTTTTGGTGGAATTAATAGAAATTTATAGGTTTTGATAATTGCAAATTTTGGAGAGACATCATGAGTTACTCTAAGATTAATTAGTCCTGCATCATCAACTCTTACACTCTCTTGTCTTGTTATTCGCTATATCGATGACAAAATATACACAGTTTAACTAAAACACACAAGATTACAAAAATAACTAATACCGCTTTCTATACATCATACAAAAGCCAACATTTAAACCTCTACTGTAACCAAAAAAAAAAAAAAAAAAACATTTAAACCTCTACTTACTCCTACGTTCCAAGAGGGTCTTAATTGTGAATTTGCCGCTTCATACATTTATTTTCCAATGTGCTGATCAAGTGGGCAAGCATTGGCAATCAACAAGACATTGTTCCCGTTATATGCTAACTTTGCAAGAGGGCAACAAGAAATTTTTTTTTCTTCGAAAATGGGCAACTCAGTACTCATTATCAAAAGAAATGTCTGCTTTGAGGCAATTAATGTGACCATCAATCAAATCGGTAGCTAGATATAAATTGGTAACATGATCAAACGTAAGGTTACATATTTTTTTCGTCTCAAAATAATTTCAGAAATTAGAATTGAACAATTCAATTTTTTTTTTTTTAATTTTTGTGAATCGAGTACAGCAGGTAAGACTGGAAACAAGAAAACAACAGAGTCTCGTAGTATAAGTTTTACAGGGTCCTGAATTGGAAATGCAGGAGAAGGGGGATGGGCTGAGGTCTGGCGTACACACACACACAATAATTGTCAGCCTGATCCGACCCCTTGCATTTCCAGTAAATGAAAGTTGGTACTCTTCAACCCAAAAAAGAAACCAATTCTTTTAGTGTACCACAAATAGGAAAAGCAAGAGAAAAGCAATGGCCCTCTTGAATTCAGCCATTCAGAGGAAATTTCATCAAATGTACCAAAAATAAGCACCTCTGTCCGAATTTACTTCCAAACACGTGCATGCTACTAGATCTTTATCATGAAAAAAAAAAAAAGAAGAAAAAGAAGCTAGTCTACTCCAACTAGAAACCCTTTCTATTTCTGTTTTTCCCAAAGGAAGATCTGTCTCTTATTTTAGTTCCTTCAAAAGAATATTTTTTTACTATCTGTTATAAATCTGTACTGTAATAACAGAAAAGTTAATTTGCTGTTTGATGAAATATACTCCGTGGCTAATTAACTAATTGAATCAAGAGTTAGCCCATGTTTTACTGGAAACAATCCAAGATGAGTTTTTTTTATATGCAACGTATAAATGATAAACTGACTGAAAATTACTCGACATTGATAGGTTGTATACGTTTTCAAAATCAACGAATAACGAATAACGAATTACATTCTCACCCATGATTTAGTTGCAAGGCTCGATGTCTAAGACTCTAAGACTTGTGCATAATGACTCAAGAATATACACTACAAACATACCTTTATCTTCATTTTACATTTCGGTTAATCTCCTCCTTTTGTAAGTGGTCACATCCACGGTGAGCCGGTGACCCGTTATTTCCAAATTAGTTATAAGATCCGATCGTCCCAAATATTGACGAAATACATTTTGCATATGAAGCATTTTCTTCTTAAATTTTTATTCTGATTAATCCAAGTTTTTAAATCCTTGAAAAAAACATGGAGAAAAAATAAGGGAAAATTGTAAAACGAAGAGGGGTTACGCATAATCAGATCTCAACTGCTCTCGTTCTCTCCCTTCTCTCTCTTTCTTCCTACCTTTCTCCTTCCTTATCAATTTAACAGCAGTCTCAGCCAAATTATTTTCATTAATTTACAAAACTGATATCAATCATTCTCTTTTCTCCCTCCTCTTCTTTTTCTGCGGCCTAATTTTCTTCTCCATCTTCCCTCCTATAGGAGGATGGGGAGTAATTTGTCTTTTCTTTTAGATTTTTAAATTTGAATAAATTTAGTCCCAATAGATCTTGATCTACTTAGTATTAGTAGTTTGTCAATATATATGATTCTACTTGATTGTAATTTAGTTCTTTTGTGGTTGTGTATAATCTTTAGTTTATGGTTTTGTCCGTGATTATTCTGTTATGGTTTATAGTTTATGTTCGAGGATTTGCAATCAAAGTCGATCTATATTTTAGATCTGCCTTTTTGGGTCTTCATCTGATGACAAGTGAAGTATTCGAGATCAGTGATTTTCTTTGATACGTGATGCTTCTAATAAATATTTGTGGGTGATGGGGAAGAGTTTATGTTTTAGACTTCCGCAGTAGAGATGATCGATTGATTCTTAGTCATAGAATTCTAGTTAATTGTTGTAATATGTTAGGAATTGTAATCTGTTTCTCAATCGTGGTTGGACGTTTTTCAACAAAGTTCAAAAATGTTTCTTTTATGTAAAAAAAAAAAAAAAAAAAAAAAGAGGGGTTAGATATGGAGAGGAGGGAACGTGAGTGTCCGGCGTTGATTGGGCAAAAGAAGGAAGAAAGAGGTGGGGTCCGTACGAGAATCTCTTGCGCCCTCTATGGTCAATCCGATGGGACTTTCTGATTTGACTTGTGAAAGGGGCCCCACGTATTCCAGAGAGTCAGTCCAACTATGCAATTCCCCTCACGTGCGAGCCTGTCTCTGGTGTCGGGCCGGCCCCACCTACTCTCTCCCCAAATCATTTCAAAAGAGCCACCCGTTTCGTTGAGACCATTAAGCCCAACGTTAAAACTCGACTCACTTCCCGTTTCGGACCAATCTAAATGAAACCAAACCAAGAGAACTTGTACATTTATGGTCAACGTTTCTTTTCTTCCATATATACTCGCAAGTCGCAACACAGCTTTTAGTTTACTAGAATACTTATTCTTTCCATCCCAAAAAAAATTAATAATAATAATAATTCTGTCTAAATCCAGACAATCCTTTCAGGATGAATCGAATACGTTATTTATACATTTTTTAGACTAAAATTTTTAGAATATCGGTGTGCTATGATGTCAAATGTCCAAACTAAACTTAAAAAAACAGTACTTGGGTTCACTAGTAGAGTTTCCATAAAAAAATGTTCATCCATAATCCTATTCCTGTGCTAACTTTGATATGGGGATTATTCTCAGCATGCCATTTACAACATAACTCAAAAAAATCATGATTTAGGGGGAAAAAAAAAGAAGAAGAAGAAAGATTAACTCATCATGGTCAAGGGGACCAACCTAACTCTATCCGGCAGCAAGTCAGATAACGTGGCATTGTTTTATTGTTGCAATGCGGCCTATTAGCTCTTTATCAAAACGTGGACCGTACCAGAATTTTGTCTCGTCCACATCAAAAGCCCAACTTAACTCTTCTCGTTTCATCTTTCCTTCACCCACTGGGTGGGGGCCCAACTCCCCAAACCAACAGTCAAAAATAGGATCCCCAAATTTCAGATGCTTGGGCCCCGCTACACTTCACTTTTAATAAAACTCTTTGCAAATAGCCTCTGTAAAATTCTTGTCTTGGTTGAGTAGAGTTTAAAGGTAACTTAGTCAAATATTGTTTTTACTTTTTACAAGACGAACTCTTAACACTTCTGAAAGACTGAAAATATCTCTCCATCGGACTACATGTCGCGTTTTATGTTGTAAATAACACTATTAAACATGTCATTTCCTTGCGCCGAATTCACATAGTGCCCGGAAAAACCACACTTTCACATGTTATGCCTGCACTGCATCAAAATGTGCATTCTTGCACATCTAAATGCATAATGTACCTCTAGGATCAGACACCCATTCTGAAGCCTGTTACAATGCAACCTTTAGATCAGGCCACATTAATTGCACTGAAATAATGACAATCTGCACTTATCATTGGATATCTTACCATTCCATGTTTCAAGCTAACCCTGAATAGCATCATATAGCTGATCAAAAAGAATATGTGATATAGTATAATAATAATAATAGCAGCACCTCATATGCACAGCATTTCCTTTTCGATATGTACATTGTAGTATCGAAAGTGATCTCATATACTACTTTTCAACGTAATCTCACATCAACCACAAAAAGATACACCAAAAACCAAAAACAGAAGTAATCTCATAGACCATGTAGTTCCAAGATTTATGAGTAAACATGGTCGTCGGATACAGAGATAAATAATGACTGCTACCGTGCGAGAGATCCAGTCTTCATCTGTTACTTTACCAGGAGATAATCAACATGTGCATATTGCAATAAACCACATGTGGAAATAAATGTGGTATCATGTTGTTCTCAAAAAGGCCTTGCTTCTTATCCTCAATCTTCGTCATCAATAACAACCACATTCCTTTGAGAATCGGAATTTTTAGGTTCTTCTTTGTTAGAAGTCAAGTTTGAAGATTTTGAGGCTGTGTAATTGTCAGCATCTTCTCTTCCACAATTTTCACTATCAACTTTGTCACAAACATCATCATGTCTCTGGGCACTTGCAGGCACCTGTCCGATCCAGGGGTCTTTCCTTCTCTCACGCAGTAGAGTACTCAATCTTGGAGAAACAGAGGATAAAGCTTCAGGTTTTACAGGAGACAACTCAACATTGGCATCCTTCAAGTTATTATTAGAAGTAGTCATCTTCAAGCCAAGCTTTTGTTTACCCCATTTATAAACTGATTCTAATTTTCCTTCTAAAGCTGCCACCAGAATATCTAACTCACCGATCTCGTATCTGGCAAGCAGAAATCTAGCCGTCCATGAACAAGAACAGAGGTCCTTTGCATGTAGCATACAAACAAATCTATCCTCAGAACATTTGCAACCAATGGCAGAGAGATGCAGATCATAGAGACATATGCTGCACTCCCTTTTGGTCTGGACGTCAAAATTATCTTCCATCTTCTGTGACCGTAAACCATTGCAAAGATACTCCCTCATGATAGCCTCATGTTTCACTCTTGCCTAGTCCAATGAAACAAACATTTTTAATAATTTTCATCCTATGTAAAAAGAAATAAGTATTAAATTTAAAGAAAGATAAACATCCACAAATCATACAACAGTCAATGCTTATCTGAATCTAAGAGGGCCTTTTATGGTTCAATACAAATCCCTACAACAGCTGAGAGACCAGTTTGCCCTATCATTTGCACACCCCTATTTACAGAAGGAAGAGAAGTCTAATTTGAAATTCCAGTTCACTTGAACACTAGCCCATACTAAGTGAAATTCTAATAAAGGAATCGTCAGTGTTAAATCTCTACATTCTATGGAAGATTGAAAGTGGGGTCTTTTGAAAATAATTATATATAGAGCAGGAAATGTATACACACAAGCAAACGTAAGAGGCAGGAAAAAAAAATCTGTCACATGCATGCATCGTATAAGCTCCAAGTTTGAGAACATTTCTACGAAGTAGTTTGCTGAACACCAGAGGACTTACTTTGAGTGCTTTTGTTAAGATCCCATCCTTTCCAGAGACAGTTGTCCATGGTACCTCATCTAACAATTTAGCTTTGAGCAGAATGAGTTGCCACTGTGCCTTCACAGCTTCGGCGGCAGCTCCCAAAAGTATTTTGTCGTAAGAAATCGAGGTACGTCGACGCTGCTCACTATAAATATCGATAACATTCTGACCATAAGGTAGCCAGTCAAAAGGAGCAAAACTAACAGCTTCAGAGCAACCAAAGCCACAATTAAAGTGAGAATTGTATGCTGCTGGAAAAATGAGGAGAAACTCCCCCGGATTTTGCACACAGCGATAAACAGGAATTCCCTCTGCTATTAAGGTAGACGGTGAAAGTTGAGGCACCTGAAATTTGGAAAGAAAAGGAACCAATAAAAGCAGTACAATCACCATCGTTCCACCGTAAACTATGCAACTGCTGACCACAAGAAAGATTTCCACTAATTTCATCACAGTTGCTTAATATTAGAGGTTATTACTATCAGCATGACAAATATAAGATAAGTTTGACAGGGCAAACCAAGAAACGGCTAAAAATACTATCCAGTTTGACAATGTAGCGGGTAAACTCTAAAACTTTCTTCCTACAATGCTATCATAGTAGGCGGAAAGCCCAGGGTGGTCTATATTCAATTCTTTTTTTGAAATAAAATCTGAAGCAACTCACTCACTCTTTCATCGGGCTACGTTGACATACAAGTTCTTTAGGATAATCAGGAAGGAAAAGCTTCAGAAACGTACATTCCTATACAGAAATTCAGGATGTTGTGAACATTGAGCGAGGTGCTTCTTGACCACTTTGTCAAACTTGTAGCAAAATCTTCCTGGGACGACATACCATACTTTAGGGCCACCCAAATGCATGTAACAAAGTGAGTACAAATGATGATCTTCAACTTTCTGTTAATACCAAAACAAAACATAGAAAAGGATATGAATCAGTGAAAATGCTGAGGGATATGGAAACGAAAAATCATTCCATCACAGTTGGACAAACCACAACTCCAAGTACATTTCTTCTTTTTGATCCATACAGAGACATGACAAAACCAAGGACATTAATGCACCAAAGGATATATTAAAGATGAGATCAATCTCTCTACAAAGAATTAAAAAAAAACAAAAGAAATCATTGAGAAGCATAGTTAAGCAATAAGAATTCCTAGGTGCTGTATATAGTAATTGATAAGAATTCTCTATCAGATGCTTGAGGAAGACGCTATTCATACCCAACAAACTGAGGACAAGCACATCCCTGCTGAAATTTTCGGTCGTAAAGAGGCAGAAGTCCTATCATTCTCATGCCATAAAAGTGAACCGCGAAGCTTGTAGATATTATTCAAGTTCCAGCCTGATTCCAGATATTCATGTGATTTGGAAGTTTCAGCTGAAATGTGATTCACTGGAAACCCCGTCGTGGATACTCCAACTTCATTTGAACCGTGAAGAACCTAGAGAACAATAAGAGTGAAGACTAATCATCCTAAATAGGAAATAATGTTAAAAGTCATTCAAAAAGATTGCACTTCCATCAATTGCATACCTCGATTTCTTCACTTGGATGCTCAACGATCCTCCAATATTCACCCTCAACATCTTCTACTGTTGGTACCCAACCTTCTTTGTACATATTAGCATTAGAATTAGAACTTGCTGCCTTGACCTTTCCAGAGAAGTACTGCCTCTTAAAATCATTGCCGTACTTCTCGAAATCATCTAAGGTCAATATAGGCCCAGACTTAGATATACCGCCCTCAGCATTAGATTGAATTTTAATAGCACCTGGGAATCGATATTCATAACTCGATTGGATTTTCTGCCTCTTACATTTCATCTCCTCTTGAACCACATCCATCTTGGTTTTTAAAAATTGATCCTGCAGCTCATTAACAAGTTGAATATGGGTTTCAAACTTCAAAGCTTTGCACACATTCTTTTCAGTGGTGAGGCCAGGAGGTTTCCAGGAAGGAGGAGGAACAATACGGCACATTCCAATATGCTCAGCTTTTTGACGTATGCTTGCAACATAGTGAAGTGTCTCCTTAAATTCCTTTAACAAGATAACAATATTACTATTTATCAAGAGAAAGAAAACTAGCATAGAAGGATAAACATAAAACGTGTTACCTCTTCAGTTGGGTGGAATACTGGAGCTTCTTCTAGCACAGGCCTATGTGGCTCCTCAGGCTTCCAACGAGAAATAACCTTCCAAAAGATACAACTAATTATGAGCATCAAATTAGTTTAGCGCAAAAAACTTTAAAATAACATTCCAAGAATGAACCCTAGCATGAGCGTCATATTTCCTACAGAACCATCCATGAAATGGAAGATCACATAGCTTAAACCTCAGCCACACATAAAGCTAAGGCATAAGATGACGTTGTTTCTATGACGCTTGTGGTCATACGAAATAGAGTCATAAGATGAGGTGTTTCTATGACGCTAAGGCATAAGATGACGTGTTTCTATGACGCTTGTGGTCATACGAAATAAAGTCATGTTCATAATAAAATTTCTTAAATAGAAATCTGAATTAAATGACAGGTCAAACCTTCTGGCAGTCTGGGCAGGTTGGACACCCTCGCATCACTCCCTTAGGAAGGCAAGCTTTCAATGGAAGGTTCTGCAAGGGTATAGATATCATATTTGGAATCAGAACACAAAATTTATTATCACCAAATACAGGAAGATAAAGGCCCAAGCCAATAGTATGAAGTACTTATGGTACGAATTGCTGGAGCTAAACCAAGTTAAATTCAGATGGAAGCTCTATTGAGTTTTTCATTTAACCCACATTACACATTGTTAACCTAAACTAGAAAGATGGTGGAACATTAACAAGTACCAAGAAGAGCATTTACTATTACAGTATGTAGTAATTAGTGCCACCCAGAGAAGGATCACAATAAATTACAAACTGAAGATGAAGTCATTGTTTAGCATTCCTTCAAGGGATCATACCACAATTCACTAACTCTGACACGCCCTGGCACATAATTTTCTTCTCTTGGTAAGTATAGAGGCACACGCAAATTGGAATATTCAGTCAAACTGATACTTTCACATAACCAGGCTATGAGTTCTTTCCAGGGAGCATTAAGGTAGAAGGAAATGGCAGATACAGCCCTCTACAGGCCGCAACTGCGTTCCACTTTAACCTTCAAACATTGTTCTCACACTCTTAGTTGTGACCTATGCATAGGGCACTCAACAAAACTCATTCCAGCACCTATATTTATGATAAAGATTTGTAAAAATGACACCCGCATAGCATTTGCACACCTACTCTAATGGTGCCGAGAAACAGAAGAAGGAAAGATGGTACTTTCCACCAAATCACAAATGTAAAGTAAGGTATTGCAACAACAGCTTACAATTCTGATAAATCCCCAAAAAGAACTGACAGAAAGGATGTGTCAAGGTTTAATGACCATTTCAAGTTCAGAATTGGATTCCTTCACGCTGTGGTTAGACTTGCTATCAAGAATCCAAGGTCTCAGCCAAAGATCACTCTTGAACTTCTCAGCATCGATGATGCTGGGCATAGAGCTCATGAGGCTGACCTCTGTGTCACCCACATGCTCAACGGCTGCTGAAGCAGATTGCACTTCTTTGGTCTGCACCCTTCTCAGAGTGAAAGATGATAAAGACACAAAGCCTGGGGGAACTGAGACCTTCTCAGCTTTTGAATTCGTAAGAGTTTGTTTCTCTGTTTCCATTATCACCGCTAGAAGGGAAAAAAGAAAAAGAAAAGAAAACCTTAGCCACAAAAATTTATTTTACTGCCATCAATAATGCATGCTACACATGGAAGATTAGAAAGAAAAGGTAAGCAAACCACAATAAGCAAAGGCACAAGAACAAGATAGTTGTTAAGAAGAGAAGTTGGTCTGCAAAGAAACTGGTAGGAACGGCACAACAACTACTATTTTACACGGGAAAAGGCAGATGAAATCTATTTCAGCAAAATAGACATGAATATACAAGTAAACAACGCCATTTAACTGTACAACGCATCCTGCTTTAGTCTATACATGACAAAGCAAATGCACAAGCTCTAAACAGTAATTGGGAAGTGAGTGAGTAAAATCAGATTAGATTCATACATGTTACCGCAGTAAAGCCTTCATCAAAGCATGGTTCGAGTCAGTAACATTCAATCAAACATAATCCAAAAAAAGCTCATACAGATTAGATTTCAGACCCAAAACAGGGGAAGTGTTTCCTCTCCGTATCAGTCAAAAACTAACCAAAAAACACACAATTATCCGCTCCAATTCTTCTTTTCACAATCCATCGAATACCCAAAAGGTAAAACAATCCAGTGAACATATCCAGATACTAACAAAGCCTTAATTCTCCGTTGCTATTTCGAAACCGGCAGGATAAATACAGGCATTAAAACTAATCAAATCATCCTAACAACCCAAGAAAAAAAAATTCGACAGATTAAAACAGAACCGTAAACAAATTAACAGAGAAAGATTGAAGAATGGGCTGTAAGAAGTTACCGCTTTTGGCCAAATGCTGTTCCGTTCTGTACGATTTTAGCCTTCAGAGTTCAGACCTGAAAAGAGATTGATGGGTGGAGTGAAATGAAGGCCCCCAAATTCCTCTCGTTTTCCCAAATCCCAAAACCCTAAAACTCTGCCAAATTGGGAAATTAGGAAAACCCAGAGTTGTGAACTGAGATTTTGTTTCAAGGCGCCAAGTTTTTACCGACTGGTTTTTCTTTTCAATTTTAACTTCTACTGTGTGATTAATGGATAATCTGCTCCGCGACAAATATTGTATTTATTGCGTAATAATTGGTCATTTCAATTCAATAGAGGAACTTCCCTTTTCAGAATTTTCAAAATTCACTAATTCAGTGTCACTTTAACATTAACCAGATGCTTGCCCCAGACGAATGTCCGGGGTGTCGCCTGTATTTTTAAATTGATTAAATAAAAAATACGAGTTATTCTTAAAAGAATAAAAAATCGATTGAAAGGACAGAAAGTGAGCTATTACACATAAATCTATGCCCAGATTTACAACATTTAATTTATAACAGTTAACTTATGCCCGGGTTTACATAAATCATAAACCAATATCTACAAAGGTGAATAAAAAAAAATCATCCTTAAAAAATCAAATTTCTTTTATGACAGCTAATTTTTTTATCTGTTGTAGAAAGAGATGGATTGATAATTGATGTCAGATTTTAAGTAATTGATTTAAAGGTCCGGTGTGAGAAGAGCGGAATGGAAGAGATTCTTTGAAATTGAGGATTGGGAAGATATTACTGGTGTTTCACTTGATTTAAGGAGATTTCTTTACATTTGATTTTATCAACTAAATATTGTTGTTTTAAAGGATTAAATATACCTATAAGTATGATTATTTATGTAACTATAATTAAGGGATTTATGTATTTATCTATTCTATTTTTTTTTCTAATTAGTTAGAGTGCCACATATCAAAAATGATTTTGTACTAAAAATGGCTTTTAGCGGAAAAATTTTAATTGTGGTGCTGACACGTGTCCTTTTTGTTTGCTGCTTTAGTTAAGTACTATAAATTTTATGAATTCTCTATTATACCTTTATTACTATCACTGAAATCTAGAACATGTTGAATATAATTCCCAATCTCATAACATTGGCTAGAAATTAATAGGGACATATTATGTGTATTGCCTAAAAATTAACCATTTAAATTATATTTCTCACTTTTTTTTATATATATCCGTATTTGTCTAAATGAGTCTATTGAATTGGAATAAAGAGATTAATGCCAAAAAAAAGTTCTTCTCTTTGCTAAAAAAGATTTAAAAAAAATAAAATAAAAAAGGCTCTAACATTGAGATGTTAACACCAACCTTGTAGTAATAAAAAAATAAATAAATTCTAATTTAACTGTGTCTGAATTAGTGTTCAAAACAAACCTAGATTGGAATCCACTGCAATACGAGCTAAAAAAAGTAATAGAGTCAAATGCTAGATAAATATGAGCTAATTAATTATTGAGTATGAGCTTCATTTAACTAGAGTAACGTTTATTAGAGCTGTCATTATAACTTTTTGTTAAAATATACATAGCTTAAAAGCAATTCTTTTTCAACGTTAATATTTCTATTGGACTTGTTTTAGTTTTTGATAACTCAGTATCTATGTAGAATTCACTCTAACTATTTATTTTTTAAAAATGGAAATCGCATGCGTCGACTGTTGCGTCGGATTATAAAACCCGACGAATAAGTTGATGTATTGAAATTCTTTACTTTGCTAATTAAAATGTTTTAGTTTTAATTGATTTTAAGAAAATATCTCCTTAACCAATAAAAAATTCCAACTTATTATTTATTAATTCACCAAACAAGCAATTTAGTAACTCTGTTTCTTAAAAAAAAAATAAAAATAAAATGGATGGCCCCCATTTTACTACTAATTAACTCTCTTTAAATTCAAGAGAAAAATAAAAAAAATTTCATAACGTATTTGTTTATTCTCAAAAGCTGACAAAACAATCGACCGGTGAAATGGCATGTATAGTATTAGTAGTAAAGTGAAGTTAACGGTCAAATTTTATTCATTTATCCCAGTAAAAATTGCACCAAATCACTTGTTTGTTGTACCTTGCTGTGTACATGCATAAATTACTGTAATTTGTACGTAACAGACGTTTCATGGCCCCTAACATTTATAGTATATATATGTCAAATCCAAAGTCTCTAAAAATCAACACACATTTTAAGACAATACGCCCCCGGACATGACATTAGGTACACGGTCCGTTTGGGTACTTGAGTTTGCATGCAAATTGACCTAATTGCACATGTCAAGGGCACCTTGTCCTTGCGGTTTTTGGTGAAGGCACTCAAAACTGAAGATCACAAGTAGAATATTTTTCTGATCTACCAGACAAGAGGCATGATGCACTTATCTTGAAATTCGTGGCAATTTTTTTTTTTTTTGGGTTATTAATATAATTTGTTGGTAGAATAAGAAAAATATCAAGTAATTAATAATATACACTATATGGCTTGAAAAATAATATGAATATGAATAAGTAAATTCTCACACTTTATAAAACTTATTATGTACCATATATAGTTTACAATTTGTACATCACACTGGCAATATAAATTACAAATCTGAAAATCTTAGCACTACCCCCCCCCCCAAGAATAATTAGCTAATAAACTAGGCTACTATAGTATAGTACGTACGTACTACTATATTCTATAGCTAGTAACAATCAAATATCCTGCAAGAATCGTTTCCAGATTATGAACAAACTAGGCGCCTGATCAATCTCATCAATCCTCAAATACCAATTTCATCCTACTATATCTTTTATAATATTATGTGCTCAGATAAATATAATATTCATCAATAATAAATATGCTACAAATCTTCTGTATATATAATATAATTAATCATCAGATGAACACCAAGCTGCTATCTTCGTCAAATTGCATTTCCACCAGATTTGATGGGTCTCTCAGACCCGATTCCCCAAAGTTCAACCCGTCAAAGAAGAATCCACCACCGTATTCCTCCTCGCACTTAAACTGTCCGGTTCGGTTATTATCAACCGACGACGGGGCACCGCCGTGCATGATCTCGTGCGACAACTGGAGATAAGTATTCCGGTCAAGCTCCGACGGCATCATGGCCTGGTGGTTCGGAATATTCCCGAAAGAAGTAATCTGCCGGCCGTCGGGAGAAGCGGCGCCACCTTCGCTTTCCCGGCCACCACCACCGCCACCACTGCCAAAGCCGCCACGAAGAGTGTCGTACACGTCGTTGGGATCAACTCCGTTATCAGCTTTGGCTTTGTGAAATACCCTACAAAGAACCCAGTCTTCCTGCAAAAACATCAGTACACGTATATTTAATTAATTTAGATTATCATTTTTTTTTATTATTATTTTGCGTCACTGAAATAATGTAATCTCTATAGTACGTAGAAATTAGGCAGTACTGTTTACAAATGACAATGAAGTCAAGTGTACGTATAAGCTGTCTAGCTATCAAATTAGACCTAAAATAATTCTGGGTTGCTTCAACAAGATTTTCATCAAGTTTCATACGTCAAGATTTTCATTCTCTACGCTTCTAGTCCAAGAATCAAGGAATTTAAGATACAGATAATCAATAACTAAATACAAAAACACACACCAAACAAAAGGGTTTTTATTACTCTCCATGTCTCAAAATTATTGTCCAGTTTGAGATTTTATTTTAATACAATTTGAACTAAAAATGAAAATCCAAACTGGACAATAATTATGGGACGGAAGAAGTATGATTTTTTTTAGCCTTGTTTTGGCGAGGTGTTTATGTAGTACTACTAGCTAGTTAAAAGTAAATAAGGCAAATGAAACAAATATATACAACAGAAGTAATTAATTAGCGTGACAATCACTCATTAGTTAAAACTCGTAATCAGACAACGTTAAATGTAAACACACACCTTCGGTGGTATATGGGGATTTTCCAGACGAAATTCGTGCATGATCCAGCCGGTTTTGATTCCATTTGGCGCCCGGTTCCTGTAGAAAACCAACGTCTTTCTCATTCCAACCATACATCGGGTCCTGGGATCTCGCACCGTACGATCTTTTCCGGTGGCCTTCCAGTATCCCGAAGTGGTTGCTCGGTTTGTCCGGAATCCAGTCGCGTACTTCCGGTCGCGAAAGCTGAAGAAATACCACTCGTTGGCATTCAGCTTCGCGACCTCTACAAAAAAAAAAACCAAAAAAATTTGAAAAAACAAAACTAAAATTAAACATTAAAAAAAACAAATAAAAATCGATTTTGGTCGCAGATATAATATTCATTACGCCTTTTCACTTGTTTTAGTAACATAATAAAATAGAGATATTTTTGTAGTCAGGGACTAATGCTAATTACAAGATTGATATAAGATCGACCCATGAATGCTTAAAACTCGCTTTCGAAGCTTAGAGAAATAAAAAAGAGAAGCCAATTTGGGAAAGGGGTCCTTTCTTTTTCTTTAAATCAAGACATAATTGGATGGTGTAAAGTCTATGTCAAACACAATTAATTAATAATGCTCGTACAACCTACGAATCAAATGAAAGGATGGACTCTACGACTACTTACACTCTTGTTTTCTCATTCATTTCATCTGTTTAATTAGATTAGATATGCATGATGATCAAAGTATAACAAATTATTGAAACAATCAAACTCATTGTGTTATGCTATACAGTTGTTCTGTATATAGATACACATGGAATATTACTGTCCTTTCCTAGCTAGCTGAAATCTTGCCCCAATTAACTCGTCCCGGATCACATGCCCCTCCGTGTTTTTTCTAAGTGAAAAAAATATGCTTCAAGCAATTTAAGGTAGCTAGCTATATATAGCCCACAACTTTGGTCCTCGTCTCCCATAATTAGGAGACAAGAGGAATCAAATTCCCCCACTCATTTTTTCAAGAACTGAAAAACATTAAATTTATAAAAGAAAGAAGAAGAAGAAGAAAACACCAATTAGTATCATGAATAACACTAGTACCATGATCTTCGATCCTATTCTGGAATTTGAAGTGGTTTTATCACCTCATAATCCAGTTGTTAAACCCGTAAAAAAATACATTTTAAAGCGCGTCGATTTCTGTTAACTATTATTCTTTTTAATAGAAAAAAAAATCGTATTTTCAAAACTTGTTTATTTTTAGAAATGTAACGGAGTAATTTAACTTCAATGGTACTTAATTTAGTCCCGAATTCGCTACATATATACGAAATTAGTGCTCTTTCATGTTCTGTGTTTATTCTTTTTACGATTTATATACATAGGTGTAGAAAAAAAAATTCTTGACTTCCAAACAAATTAATAAATCCTTCTGTGGGAAGCGACAAGGGAACTGTTTGTGATAAGGCTAAATTTTCTTGTACGTTTTCCTACTTTCATATACACAGGAGAAATTAACTTAACATTTCACAACATGCCAAATCCATGGACCGACCTTATACATTCGATATATAATCATGAAGTCTCTTACCATTAGCACCAACATGAAACCTTATCAAACTATAGAATTGGATTCATTACACCAACCTAGTTCCAACATTAATTCAATTTCCCTTTTAAAGTAAATGCAAGTGAAGTTGACACACCATTAAATGTGAAACAAAGATTCTAGTTTTAGTATTTCGAATTGATTTATAACCGTAAATTATTCCCTCCACCCCCACCCTTAATAATTTTTCCCTCTTTCTCTTACTGAATAATATGTTGATTGTTGAGGATCAAACCGAGCTCTAACATTTTTGGTGTGATTAACACGATATCAAAAGAACCGCATGTTTTTTTTTTCCTCCATATCCAGATTGATGGGAAGGAATCAAACTTAAAATGCTTTAGAAATCAATGAAGAAAGACAACTATTTTACATACCAGGGAGTTGCCATGGTTCACAAGTATGGAGATCAATTTCAACTAAACTATCCTTGGAAACTTCACCATTTGAAACTTTTTTGTAGAGGTAGTGGCAAACCAGTTCTTCATCACTTGGGTAAAATCTGAACCCAGGAGGCAACGTTGCTCCAATGTCTCTGAGACCCATCTTTCTTTCTCTTTTTTTTTCTATCTTTTTTGGTTGATCGAGTTCAGTTTCTTCGGGACGAAATGATCAAGGGCTAATTTGCGGAAACCCTAATGATTTTGAGACTTGAAGAAAGAAAAAAAGAGGTGTTTTAATTAGTTAAGGATTAATAATGGAGAAGAAAGAAAGAAAGCAAGAAGAAAGGGGAGGTTGGTGGTAATGAGGAGAAGCTTTCAATAATAACGATAATAATGCTTTTGTTTGGGAGTATATTTATTATAATGAAAGGGAGAAGGGGTGGTATAAATGTATATATATATATAGAGGAAAAGGGTACGAAAGAAGTTGAAAAAGAGTAGTAACCTTTGCCACATGGGACTTTTCTAGCTAACACATATATTCTGGAAGTGTTTATGCTTGTGTAAGTTAGTTATTGTTTTTAAACTTTTAGTAAGTAGAAAAACTTTCAAGCAAAACCAATGTCACAAGCAACCTTACCTTATTTTGCCGGGGTTTAGGGGGAGAGTGGCAAATCATATCTTGACCCGTCCCACTTTTTGTGTTTCGGCTGTATTGTGTTAAGATTACGATACAACGATTCTTAAAATTAGATCTTATCCTTAATATAAACGATTTCTCTCTTTACATGAAAAATATAGTTTCACTACTCTGACACAACTTATACAATGTACTGGGACAAAACATCATATTTTGGGTTTGGGGAGAAACATTAGTTCATGCAATTAAGGAGGAAAATCCAAAGCATGTGTTTGGAAAGAGAAGAATCCAAACTACTCCTTTTTATAGATGCAAAAAATTATTATAATGGAGGAAACTTTGATTTATTTTTCGAAATTATGGCCTTCCCTCCGTGGAATGAAAACAAAAGCATAGAGACAAAGGGGAAGGAAGAATTTGGTCCCCCGTTGCTTGTAGCTAGCTAGCCTTAGTTAACTAATTAATCAAAGCTCAATCTAACATATTTTTTGAGAAATTTTGGATCCGGGGAGATATTTTGTGAATATGAGGGGTTTATTCATTTACCAAAAACGGAAATAGTGATGGCATCAAAGATTCACCTAATTTAATATTTTATTCGTTCTACTTGGATACTATTTTGGGTCTTTTCGCACAATAAAACCTTCTTAAAAGAAGTTCCAAGACACCACATTAATATATATATATATATTTAGGTAATGTGGATTACTAAATTAAACTCATGTTTTTCATATAATAAGAAAAAAAAATGTTTGGAGTTGCTTTCGAAATACTCAATCAAGTTCAGACTATTTACTTGTAAGTGAACTCCATATAATTAAAATCTTCACAGAAAAAAAAATGAAACATTAATAGAAAAATCTAAAACTAACAAATGAGCTAATTTTATTTATATCTGATCACAGAATTTCTTCTCATAAAATAATTAGTTAGAGTTCCAATTGTACGTCTAATCATGAACTAATTATCAACATGATTAATGAGAGGACCGTGCTGATCATCTTCCTTATGAAAAGTGGCTAATTTTTTTCTGGGGGTACTTTAAGTATCACATATCTTTTATGATATCGCAAAAATAAAGCAAAAAAGTATACCTTTTCTTGAGGGGAAAAAAAGTTAAGGATCCTGTTCTTTATTATTATTTTTTTCTTTCGATTCTTTTTCTTTCCGGGCACATACAGTTGATTTCAGCGCAAACATAATGAACCTTCATGGTATATTTCCAAGCACTATTAGGCCAATTGCAATTGCAATTGATTTTCGATGCAACTCCCTTGAACTTTCCCCAAATTCCCTTCCAAAACTATTCGTAGATTTTTAATTTTATTTTATTCCTTTTTCAGTTTAAGAATCATGTAGCAACCACTTATTAATTTATATATTCAAATTTACTCGGTCTTAATAATTGTTGGTAAATTCAAATGAGTGTCACATTATTGGTGGATATAGAGTACAAATATATTAACAATCAATCATGCAGCGCATGCAAAAAAAGAGACAGAAGCCCTCAATTGTTTATGTCCAAATTCTTCTCTTATGTGTATATCTTTCAACTGAAAACAACGTCTACCTGAACAAAACTGTATAATTTTCACTAGCCATCGCAATTGTAGAGCACAAAATGCCATGAAAAAAAAATATTGTTTTCCGCAAATCTGGTGATGGATCTATATTATTTATTTAACTCTACGTACCCCTATGATTACACATTTACTTATCCAAATATTTTTTTTTTCTCCTCTTATATCATTGTAATTGGGTCGGAAAAAGTTACCCGGTAAAAAAATCCATCCTCATTAATTAAAAAAAAAATAAATAAAACCGTATTTACAATGAGTTTCAAAAATGTAACATGTACGTTATGTAAGCTATATGTTGTACAAAACTATACTGCTTTCACGTTAATTACATTGTAAATCGCTCATCGACTAAATCATTATCATAAAGATATATATATATATATATATATCGACTTTATTGGAAGGGGAAAAAAAAGTGAAAGAAATGAAATGATGAAACGGTAAGCTGCCACGTTGTTTGTACGTAGCTTTTCCCGGCAAATGTTATTTTCTCGCCGTCATTCAATAAAATGTCGACTTCAAGCCACCTCTACTATTGTTGATAAATATAAGGTTTCTTTTGTTTTCTTTTTCCAGGTAAAAAAATTTTCACACTTAATTTATAGTACGATCGTTCCAGTGAGACAAAACTAGTTTTCAAAAAACAGTTCATTTATTGGAATTTCCCCATGTGACATAACGAACCATAGGACTGAGCTTGTGTACAATATGCCATTTTTGCCAATCGCTTGGATTTACATAAAAATTAATTAATAATAATTTAGTTCTTGGTAATTAAAGGCATAAGTTATAAGAGTGAAAAAATAGTGTAGCCATTGGTATTATAATTGACTGTGGTATTGGACCCCCAAAATTGCTATATATCGTTGTCACACCCTAGCTAGTAGCTAGCTAGCTAGCTTGAAGATATGAATCAGATTGTACAACGAACAAATGGAAGAAAGAAAAATCGAAACCAAATCCAAATTAATAGTACAATGCTATATAAAGGCCAAAATGATTCCTCCAATAAACGAATTGTCATTCATAATGTTAACTAGGATTTAACCAAAAATCAATAGAACGAACCTCCATAAATATAGGCATTTGACACTAATACTATGGTTGGAAATATTGCTTTTCAATCACATTGTTTCACCAATTGCTCCCAATAATTAATGTGTAGTACTGCATCCGTCCCACAAAAATAGTCTACATTGAATTTTGAGTTTTATACTGTTTTTAGTAAAAATTTAAAAACTCAATGTGGACTATTTTTTTAAGACGGGAGTAGTACAAAATTAGAACTTTCTCAATCCTTACCATGAGGATTTTGAGATAGTTACTAACGTGTCAATCACACGTTGACTAGCTAAAAGTTTTAAAACTATACTTGGACATGTATTCAATCCCTTCAATCACTAATTATTGCTAACTCATTATGTAAATTTTCACCATCTCTTTCATTTTTCACAAAGTTAGTAAAACGTGCAGAAATATTACTACAGAATTCCACAAATCAAGCAGATATTATTAGATGGAGGGAATGCTATAATTAGTTATCAAGAATGATAGAAACCTAGGGGAATCAGTGTTAGATGATGTGAGGTGTCCCAAAAAAAAAAAATGAAGGGAATTAATTAATACACGTCACTTGAAGGGGGTGACGCATGGATTATTCCTTTGAAAACCAATCACAAAAGTGACTTTTGATAATCAATTAGAAGAAAGAAACAATGATTGTTAGTTTTGTAGGGGTCGAGGGTTCATTTCAGTTTCCCTAATTCGACATATAATTATGTCATTGTAACATAATTTTAAAGAGTACACATAAATTTATTTTTCAGTTAGCTACCGTATAATCATGGAGTTTCAATTATCATCACATATATAGTATCAAATGTACGTGTATAGCTACGTTGGTGAATGAGTGACGGCTTAGTATTCTTAATTCATCGATGTGGGACGGATCGAAACACCAATAATTCCCTTCTCAATCTCTTTAAATATACTTATAACAAATAATAATTGGAAGTGTCTATTTAAGCTACAAAAGGTCACTTCCACAAGTTATGGGGTTACATGGGGACGGACAAACAGAAAAGATTAGAGACCTTTCACTCACATGTCTCGATTCCTAAACACTATTTTCTTTTCATGTTTGTTGTATTTAAGGTGTACTCCATTTCCCCCTCCTCATTATAAGATATTTTAACTTTTTCTAAATTTTACCTAGTACACATTTTTAATTGATGAAAAATCTTAAAAAATATATTCTCACATTTGTTGTATTCTCTTGATTGTTATGATGTATTTTTAAGGTTTTTTCGTAAATTAAAAATATGTATTAGATTAAACCTAAGACAAATCAGAATGTCTTATATTAAGGACTGGAGGGAGTATTAATCATGAGTACTAAATGTTACTATGAAAAATTGTCTGACATAATGTATATGATGAAATAAATGATGGAGTTGGGTTATTTTATAGAGAGAGAGCAGAGTATCCACATCTCTTTATCCTTCCATTATTGAGATCCATCCCCATTCATTCTTTGAATCATCTCTTCTATTCTCCTCCATACAGCAGACTATTTGAGGGACAAAAATAAAATAAAATAAAATAAGATAAAGGAACATAAACCCAATGAGGATGCAATACGCATTGCACGGGCAAGAGCTAGCCTTAATGATTGATTATCAATTTTAATTTTGTATGAAAGAAAAACACAACTCTCTAATCATAATCATTGTGTTTTGTGCGTGTAGATATAATGAAACTTCTACAATTCCCATCTCCAATTAATAAAGGAATTTGGGACAAATAATTATTCTTAAGTTTTTTGGTTGATAGACAAATAATTGTAATTAATCACTTACTACAGAGATAGATGTATGTAGATAGCAAGTGATGTGATAGTTGAATTCGAAATTGGAATGGGACATGTCATCATCGTGTACATTTGCCAACAAAACATTGTCCCGCAAGTAATTGATCGAATGTAGGACATGCTCCCCTTCCGTTGAAACTGTCATTTGTCAAACTCATCTATATATTTGTTCTCATGTTAATTAATATAAGTAGCTGTATTTTTCACAAAATAATAAATTATAATTAATTTGAATCACAATAATATTTCCCTTACCTACCTGACATTCCGTTTGTTATAAGTGGGGAAACGATCAAAAAATTAATGCATGGATTTATTTTTCCTATCGTTTTAAAAATTAATTTTGAAACGGATGAAATATAATTAAAACCAGCAACATACGTAATTGTCATTACATACATTTTCTTATAGCTTCTGTTATTTTAACTAATTTGACGATGATATCATATTAATAATTAGTTATACTTTACTGTACTCTTTTAAATAATACTTATAACAGCTTCTAACTG